TCTTTGCACAGGTGTACTAAATTACTAAGTTATTAAGTTAAGAGTTTTTTTATTCTAAATCTGAAAATCAATATAGACTACATTTTGTAATGGTTTTTCAAAAAAGTTTCCTTTTGGTTCACTTCTGTTCATCCAACAGCTGTCACAACAGTATCTGACAAATATTTTCAAAGATATTCTTGTAATTTAACTCTTAATAACCTACCAGTGAAGTTCTTCAACTAAATCCTATCTGACACTACAGGCATGTTAATGCCATTTCTTAACTAAATATAAGTCAGTATCTTATTAGTTACGGTTTCAGCATGTTGTTCAGTGTTTACTGCCTTCAGATTTGGTGGATCTTGCTTTTTGTTTTCACAGGCCCTGGATGGACAGCTGACTTTGAAGACATGGTGAATTCGAAGCCTCCGGCCCCCTGTGTGGCTGTAGATGTAGGTTCCAGTGTTTGGGACTCGGCTGTTGCCCCTCAAAACACCAGTGAAACTGAGGAGAAAGGATGGGCAAAGTTCACCGATTTCCAGCCTTTCTGTTGGTGAGTGTAGGTCTTGAGCACATAGAACACATAAAACTTTTTACAGTGCACGTAAATAACTTTCTTTTTATTGTGAGCATATTTAGAACTGAAGAAATGTTTTATAGAAGAAATTTAAAAAAAATCCTCCTTTTGGGGACCTGTGAAAGTGTGAAATGGGGGTCACTTTACTGATGTGAGCTTTTGAGTTCTGTAGGGGAAATTAAGGAAGTTTTTATTCTCCAACTGTTTTATCAGCAAATTTAAGCAATTGTTGAGCTGACGTCATTGTTCATGTTAGCTCTCTTCATTGAAAAAATGTAATTAAGATAAACATGTTAATTATATAAGGATGTATATTACAAATCCAATTGTTTCCTCATCAATAATGACAAATCTGAACACTAACTGAACTATAATGAAACTAAAATAATAAAAAGTGTTAAGTAAAAGGAGCTTTAACTTATATGGAAGTATTTAGGTTTATTGCTTGACATGTGAGCCTTTAGTTTTTGTGCTGAACTACTCCTTTCTCTATGGCAGACTGTGCCTGATGTCCTCACTTTCTTCTTTTACATTTGATGGTGCATATGAAGTTCCTTTATTGTAGGTTTTTATTTGTAAATGCTGTTTTTGCAGCTCAGAGTCTGGCCCCAGATGTAGCTCCCCTGTTGACTCAGACAGTAATGATTCTGAAGGACATCCCAAACAAAATCAGGATAAAAACTGTAAGTATACGAGCAGCATTGCTTGGCAGACGTGCTCTCATGTGTCTTGGATGTGTTATTTCTGCGGTTTCTAGGAATTGGGACTCCATTTCCTGTACTATAAGCAGCTGAAACCTATATACACCACTATCTCTTTTTATGAATGTTATTTTTATGAAAATTCAATACTACAAAGCATGTGAATAGTTACCCATTTAGTTACCTATAGTTATAATAGTAACTAATAACTATAATGGAATATTTACCCAATCTGGGATTCGAAATGGATTTAATTGAAATGTAATTTAATGGAAATGTTTTTTTTCTTTTTACGAATTTTCTCTGTACGACGAGGTTTTTGGTCAACAAATAGTTGGTAAAAAGAAGTATAGGTGTATTTTTTTTTCAGTTTGGAAACTTTTCTGTGGGTTTATAACTTGTTTAAATGCACTGCAACACCACCTTGTGGCAGTTGAGATGTACTGTTAAGTACACGAAAATCCATGCTTTCTGGAACAGAATTTTTGAATAATGCCACTATTAACTAAATACTTTACCTCAACCTATTTAGGTTTGTTTGCATTTCTGTATTTTTTTGTTTTTATTTTTCTGCATGGGTCCTATTTTCTGAAGTAAAACAGATCGATTTTGTTGATATACAAGACGAATATTTAAGTTTTTCTGTGTTGTGATCAACTGATTTAATATAACTGAAAATTGATATTCCTTAGAAACATTAATAAGGCAAATGAAGAAGAAAGAAACACTTATGCTGGCAACTCTCTCAAGACAGTGAAACAGTAACAGGGCCTTTGTCATTTCCTTAGTGTCTTACCTTTAAGTGACTTGCAAGGGTCTGTCAGTGCACACTACAGCAGATGTAGAGACACTGATGTATCGCTGTGTGACTGTTGCAGTCATCAGCTCCTCTCCCTGCGTGTGGAATGTGTGTGTGGCGCGGAAGGCACCTCTTGTGGCATCAGACAGCAGCTCCTCAGGGGGATCTGACAGCGAGGAGGACGAAGACAAAGCAGACATCGTCACAGAAACCATAACAACAGGCTCGGGCCATGAAACCATCAAACTCACCATGGATGCCAAAAATGAGAAAGCAGTCTTCACAAGGTGCGGTACAAAACAAAACTGTGACAGTTAGTTTATTTTTCTTTAGTTCGTTAATAACAGGTGATGTTCGATGCAGATTCCCATGTTCAGTAAACCTAGAGATTTTAACAAAGTTATTTTGTGTTTACCTCTCACTGATCTCTAAGAAAAATAACTCATCTGTTCTCATGTCTTTCATGTAACTCTGCCTCATGTTGGCCATGTTACATTTTTAGGCAGTAGCACGTGGTTTCCTGTGGAGTCTGCTCTTTCTTAGAGTAAACTTTTGGTCACTTAGAGAAGAGCTTAGGGGTCTGAAGTTAATTTATCCTTTAATACCACAATATCATTTAATTGCAAAGCCATCATTATTTAGTGAGCATCAGACAAAGATTAGTTTGTTTTTTATTAAAGATTTTTTAGAAAACTCAGAGTTATTTAAAGCTTAATACAGTTTTAGGTTTTGAATATTTCTCCAAAACAGACTTTTGTTATGAAATGCAAGCACTGCAGGGCATGATATCCCAGCTGGGATATGATATCCCTGTGTGATGTTGTCACGCAGTAAAGGATACCTCACGCTATGTTCATACACTGAGCTTGGTTTCCTTAATAAGAAGATAGTGTCAACCCACGGAAAGTATGTTTCTGTTCATTTGTATAAATTCAAATATATTTGCTTAAATTTTTACATGGTTATGTGTTCTGGAAACACGTGCAGAGTGTAATTTTAAGACTGCATTTGTAGTCTTGGAGATTCATAGAGTTGTTCAATTTAAACTCTCTAGCTATGCACTGCCTTATCCTGTGACAATTATAGAACTCAGTGACAGCCGCATAAAAAAAGTCTAATTGGATTTTCTTGCTGCAGTGTGGGATGATTGTTTCTAGCATGAATGTTGAATCTTTAGAATGTGAAATCACGGGAAAATAATTTCCTTCATGTTCTGTATGCATTCTGAAAAATTGTCTCCCCCCTCCCCCACAGGTTGGTTTAGAACATTGCCTTACTCGGATAAACGTCCTTCTGTTAACTCTCAGGATCTCTGTTCTCTATCAAGTGATTGCAGTCAGCTTCAAAGAAAATATGTAATTACTAAATATTGCATTTGACCCCCTAGATTTTCAGAATGTATTCAAATCAGTCGCTGGGCTCTTTTATGGCTTTTCCTGATTCTACTGAACGTCAGATACTGCCTTAATAGTCTTAAGGGGTTATCTATATTTATCTAGTGGGATACCTTAGCCATTCCTTCATATCTAAAGCTGTCTTGAGAATGTTTTTATGACTGTTTTATTATTTACTGTGTTCATTAATTTCTGGCATCATCCTTGGGCATGGCAACTAGAGCAAAGGACCCGCACAGGTACAAATCAGTATAGAACTGTTCTTTTCTTTGTGACCCGTGATGTACATACGGCCCAATCCCTACATCAGTACATGTACTTTGAAGCGCACAGATGCTTTAGATTACTTTTGAAGTGCTCACTATCCCATTGTCTTAAAGTGCTTTTTTTCACCTTGACCTCTTCTTTTTGGGATATTTGGTGGGAAATTGGGGAAAACATGACCCTCTATTTTCTGTCATCTGACATTTTGAAAACAGAGACCTCATCAGCATTAAGACATCAAATGTACAGTATTTTGTGGCTCATTAAAGCCTTCCTTTCTTACACTTAAAAGACAAGGGGATACTGTATTGGCCTTTTTATTTCATTGTTTTTTTTTCCGATTCAGAAACTGAAAGTAAAGGCGTGTTGCTCTCTACCATTCAGGTAATAGCCAGCGATGAAGCCTTTTACTTTACAGTAAAGCACCACTTACTGTACTTGTGTGACATGTTAGTTGGAGAGTAATGGGAAGGGGTGACCAAGACATCTTACTATAGAGGTTTCTGTGACCAACTAGATGCAACAACTCTCGGTGCGAACTGCAGAACAGGAATCTGGTATATTTGCATATAGTTATTTTTTTTTGGGGGGGGGATATATATAGATTACATTCACAAGTAATCCATTAGCAAGGCAAGAGATGGGTATCACACTACAGTACCTTGCAAAAGTATTCAGACCCTTGACCAATATTCTCATTTTACTGAATTACAGCATATTATAGAATATTTCACTTTTTCTGCCTTCACAAGTTTATATTGTAAAATATATGTATTTATAAGATACTTAGATCTAAAGAAAAGCAATATCTTAAATATGAAATATGATATACTCCCCAGACTATCTTAAAGTCAGTGAATCCTGAAATTATATACTGTGTAATCTTGTATTCTATTTTATGATTAATTCTATGCTGAAGTGCAAATGTTAATCTAACATTTTTTTTTAAATGTTAGATTAGAGCTACAGCAAAACATTAATGCCACAGTAGTTATTGGTTAATGAAACAATATTCTCTTGAATTCTTAACCAAGACATGTGAATGTACAACTTGAAAACAACTGCAGTTGATATGAGCTGATAATACTGAAATGTGAATATTTTTTTCCCCATGCAAAAAGTCAGATCAGGTTTTATAAAAGTGGTTTTGAAGAACCCTAAAACAAAGAAAGAAAAATACTTTAAAAGGTGGTTTGATCATTTTATTAAGTATGTTTGATACACATTTAAATTAAAGCAGTGAACATTTCATGATCTCACTTAAGTTCCATAATATTTCCATATTTTTTAATTAAAATGAGGCTTACATTATAAAGCCTGATTGAAGAATCTAGGAGATTACCACAGATTCATCGTGCTATGTATTTTTTCTTAAGTAACTTGCGTGAAAATATTTTAATTCCATTCTTCTGTAAATAGAGTATCAGTGTACACTAAATACATGGAAATAATGATTTTAATCATTTAATAATCTAGTTTTAAATTAGAAGTAAAATAGGACAATTTCTTAATTCCTTAAACACTCCTTTCCAACCTCCTCTCACTCTAAATAGAAGCATATGTGCTGCACAGGTATGACAACAGCACCTTTTTGTTTCTGCTTTTCATAAAGTCAAAGTAGGCAAAGTACGTGGGGTCACACTTAGGGCTTTAACTCTGTTGTGTAATGACTGGTGCTTTACTGTACATGCTATGCCTTTGATGTCTGCTGTTCTTATAGTGGTTTCTCTCTTTCTCCTTTTCTCTTTTTCTCCCTCTCTCCCTGCTGCTGCGGCTCAGAATATTTAGGCCTGCAGTTAGAGGGTATGTAGCAAATGCTATACAGTGAGTCTGAAATATCCACATAGCACTTGACCCTTTCTTTGTAGAAGACAAATGCTTTTGTAGGAATATATTAACCTTGTCATTTCAATTTTGTTAAGAGGTTTGAAAGCTAACAAACATCCTCAAAGATGGTATTTTTTTAATCTGTTCTGATCCTAAACACTCATAGACACATGGAAGATTTTTCTTTTTAAAAAGAGATTAATCATTGAAAGCTTGCATTTTTCATCAAGATAGGTCCTTTCTGTTTTTTAACTATTTTGGGATTTGGACTGTAGATTAAATGCAGGCAACTCCACTGAATCAGTTAAGAGAACCAGGAAACAATTAAACAAAATTCCTGAGTAAATTACACAGGGCAAAAAGAGATTCCATGCAAGGGTATTCACTTCTGAAATCCATGATGTCCTTTTTGTGTTTTTAAATTATCTTTGCATCATTAATACTTTATATACTGTGTGATCGTTATACTATATATTTATATGAAGTGAAAACCAAGTCAAAGTTATTATAACGGTTAAAAAATCTGAAAGGATCATCAAACAGCATGGATTTGCACTTAATAGGCCATGTACATAAAATCACACTAACCTTGTTGAATAAAAGTTTTCTCTTCTTTAGGCTAACAAGATTTCTTTATAAAATTCCTTTCTCTACCTGCAGCATGCCAGTGCCTTTCACTCTAATGACTGAAATCTTTCATGTCAGACTTAGAGTCCCATTTTTCAAAGTTTCCTCCAAAGGGTCATGTTTTCTGTGTGGATATACAGTACATATTGGTGACACACTGTTGGGAGTTTTTTTTGTCCATGCTCCATTCCCCTCTGCAAGCTGTGCACCATTTTCACTGGAGATAGAGAATTCACCCGCTAGCATCGTTGTGTTATTGAAGTAGAATGTGGTTGTATTATCTGATGCAGGGATGGGTGTTACCATGCACATTGTTTAGGTGGTAAATCTGAATGTTGCATGTTACTAAATGCATTATCTATTGTAACAGGTCCCACTGTGAAAGAAAAGCAGTCCCTTTTGTAATGTTGACTTCTCTACCTCTGCGTTTCAGATCATTTCACTGCTATGATGCTGCTGTTTAATTTTCTCAGGGTGTTTTTTTAAGGGACATCAGTAAATGTTCTCACAGTTAACGCCACAGCCAGTAGTTATAAAAGTAAACGTTATTTTCCATTCATCATTACACTGGGTGACAGAAGCTTTTGAGCTCTTATAAATCTGGAAGACGAATCTAAACTGCTCATGATTGGGGATGTGACTAAGTGAAGCAGGTTTGAAGAGATGAAGAATGTGTGTACCATTTAATGACTATTGATTGGTTTCTAAATCAGAAGCAGCCTCTTCATCTGTCGTAGAAAGTGATGCAATATGTTCTTGCAAGCTTGAAATGTTTGAATAAATTGGACTCCTTTATTGTGGACTGTGACAGTGACTCAAAAGCTAACTTCATGCTGCTGCTGAATTCAAACACATAACAGTCATGTTTAATGTACTGCAGCCGTATTGAGGTTGTGCCTAGGTGTGACTTTAATTAAAAAAAATGATTATTTCTTTGAACTAGCTGTTCTGCCTCCAGTTATTTCCAAATATTTTCTCTACTGACATTCCTCAACTCAGTCTTAAGCCACATCTTGAAGAAGTTATAGTTTCTCAAAAGTTATTCTAATGTATTTCTAGTAGTTATAAAAATATGGTTTATTTATATTTTTGAAGAATTGGGTGTGTCTAGCAGTTGCTGTCTCTTTGTTTGATTCACAATAGAGCTAGTGTCTATGTAGAGTTTTTTGGTGAAGCATGTCTGAAAGTTTATTCACTAACAATCTGGAGAGTCTGACCAGTGTTTAGTAAGGGACTCTCAGCCTTGAATTGCTTGCAGGTTTTCCTTCTTATCAGGGTGTGCCTGAGACATGTTCTAGTTGTAAACAAAATCAAGTTTACCGTAAAGTCATTATTTGGCAAAAGCAGAATTTCATTTCCATGCAGAGTAGAACAATCCTTAATTCCTCATTTGTATCTTTTTCTTTCTTCTACAGTGATGCCGACTCCATGCTAATAGACAAGCTCACTCTCACAGACGGGCCTCAGAGGGTCTCTGAGTCTCCAAACAGAACTGAGGTGCCTACAGACCCACTTAGTTCTGCGGCCACAGATAACTCTGCAACAGACCTCACTGTGAAAGACAAGTAAGTTCATTTAGCGCCAGACTTACTCTTAAACATGTGCTGATTCAGTGTAGAGGTAGTAGGACAAAACATGTAATCCAGAAATAAATTGCAGAATAGAGATAGCGTAGCTCGTTTATACAAAAGATCATTCCTTATCCATGCACTGGAATTTTACTTGAATCTTCTTGGGATGGTGGAGGGCATATAGTGCCTGTTAATGTGTGTTTGCAAAGGGAAGATGGGAAGTTGAAGTACATGACCACCCTCTGACCCTCAAATCTGTTAGCTATTTCTTCATTGTTCTTTTTTATAGAGCTGTTAGTTATTTTTATCGTATGAACCAGTTTTGAATAAATATTTTGGCTTATGGCAATAACCCCTATATACACACAGGAAGGTAAGGAAGTACAGGCAGGCTTCTTTACCTGGCTCACCTGTCCTTTGAGCTGTTCTTCTTTTGACCCATAGCTTCAGGCTACAGTGATGCCACTCTGGGAATTTTCAGGAGTAATTTTTTGGGGGTATTGCGGTCACACCAATGACAAGACCTCATAGAACTCAGAGTTTTCTGATTATGCCACTTGGGTTTTTTAATAAAATAGTTAAATTACTTAATATAGGTGGGCAGCACAGTGCAACAGTGGTTATCATTGTTGCAGTAAGCCTTCTGGTCGTATGCAATGGTCTGGGTGGAGTTTGCATGTTTTTCCTGTGTTCATGAGGGTCTACACCCCATGAAAACATTGCAGACAGGATATAAGAAATTTAGGGAGACCATACTCCTTTAATGACACAGGAAACATCTAGCAGTGAATGTGCTTTTATTTGTTATGCAAGATTGTAGGACAAAGTAGAGGTTTGTGTTAATTTACTTTTTTTTGCCTACTGTGGGTGATTGTTATGGGACATGGAATTAAATTGATTTGTACTTTCGAGTCTGGGTTCAAATTAAAAAATGTATGGTGAACCAATGGCTGAAGCTACTGTATCTTTCAGGATCAGAGTGTGTCACTTTTCCCAAAACACTGGTACTGTGGTCTTCATGTTGAAGGACCCGTGGGCTGAGCCGGGTGTTGGTCCCAGAGATGTCAGGGTCCCAGTCATGGTCAGGGTATCAGGCAATCACTTTTGCAGTTCAGTCTTGTCCCATTCCTTACAGAAATATCCAGTCAGGTCAGGGCTGAAAGTACAAGACCACGCTCATTCCTGCCAGAATACACATCTACAGATTAAACAATTCAGCTCTGTACCCCATCAAAACCCTGCCTTGACAGACATCATCTGGGAGTTTAATTATCTGGAGTCCATTCATAACCTTAAATTTCAGTAATCTGTAAAGAGATATATATATTTTTATAAAGCCTTGTTTATTTTTAATAACAGTTAGCATATCCAGTTGCTTTGGATAGGACATATTGGAAACACTTCATCCAAGTAACACTGGCAACTTTTTTTTAAATGTTTTTTTTTTAAATGTTTGTTAAGACCTAAAAATAAATATGGTTTTATTATAGACTAAAACTGGCAAAGATTCATCACTTTGTGTACTTTAATAATGTTGAAATTCAGCTGGTCTGTATTTTCTCGTGGCATTATGTTATTTTGAAACTCCTTTCTGTGAACTCTTGCAGAGAAGAGGCAGCCCCTTCATCAGAGGCGACTCTCAATGGGCCGGCTTGATCACACCCGGATAGGGGCAGGTCGGAGACGCTCTGGGCCACTTCCATTTTACTCCAAAAACCTCTTGATGCAACTTTGTGTTTCAGAAAATGCTGCGATGTTATTGGACCCTGCTAGTCAGGACCAGTAAATGGGGGAGGGGCTAAAAAAATCTTACAGAAACTTTTTTTTTAGCTGATGTTGAAATTGTACTGTTTAAATGTAGCAGTGAACTTATGATTATGGTTTCAAAGGATTCAACATTTTCTTCATTTCCTGGAAGACCGACTATGGCTGTTTCCTTTTATTTGAATTTGTTTTTAGCTGTAAACAGTATTGGGTTGTGTGACAGGAAGTGCTTTGGGATAAGAAACAGCAACCACGTCCTAAAGATGCGGCCTCACAATCTCATTCCTAAATAGTTGAATTGCACTTGAACCACTTTTTAGACTAGCCCAGGGATGCCACATTGTAACAATTTTGGTCAAGAAGTCAAAGACGCTTCCTTCACAGACCGCCTCTGTGATGTCTTCATGTTCCAAGCTGCAGTTTTACATGGAGTTTGACGTTTCTTTTAAACCGGTTTGAAAAATATTTTTGTATCAGGCCTATGTCAAAGTCAATGGAGTCCAATCTGTTTGAAACGTAAACATGTATTTAGCATAAACCACTCTGTCACAAGAACATAGCAGAATTTCTATGGAGAAAGTCCAAGAGCAGAAGTGTATCTCTGTACTCAGTAATTTCAGAGTGTGGTGGCCTTTCCCCTTAAAACTGGGATTCAGCCACTGTAATCACAAAAAGAAAAGGGTTCATTGCATGTTACTGTTTTGGCTGTTACTGTTAATTGTTCTCATTTCCAGAGTTCCCTTTTTCTATTATGTAAGCAGGTGTTTCATGGAGAAGTGAAAGTCACTGATATGTCAGGGGATGTCACAGTGCTCAGAAATGGTGGAAATAAACCATTAATCCCTGCCTTTTTGCTCCAATAAATGTTTCCCCGTTTAATAAAAAAAAGCCTTAATAGGAAGTACATGATTGTGGATGGCAAGTGGTTAGAGGAAGTCAGACACAAAAACTGTGCACACTGCAGTGAGAAATGTGACCCAGTTTAAACATGTCCCCTACTTTCAGTGGTTTTACAAGAATTTAATTTTAAAATTAAGCAAAGGTATTTTTTTGTTACTAACCATATTTCTGAATGTTTGAATGTTTATTGACGATGTATTTATTGACAATGTAAGCAAATTAAATGGTACAATGATTCGTTTTTTTCTGCCATTAGGTATTATTGGGGAATTAAAATGGTGTTTTTAGGGTCTTAATCAAGTGTCAGTTTTCCACAAGATGCCAGCTAAAACACATGACAATCACCAAGACTGTGCTCTGTGACATCTTTGAAGTGTATTTCTGTGTGGTAAGATCTGGGCTGCAAATGTAAAAGATGTAGGGGAAAAGGGTAGATTCGTGAAAAGAGGGAAACAAGGTCTTCGTAGGGTTTCTGACAACCCACTAAGCTTGTCACACTTATTTCTTAACACATATCAAAACTGTGACAAAATGTGCCGTGTTATTATGGCATGCCACTAATCCTCTGGAATGCAGGTATAGCAATTAACGTCTGTATACTCAACAGCAAAGCTTAACATAGTGTGTGGGTATCTTTTCTGTTCATTGAAGTTTCCTTTCCTTCAGGTTGACTTCTTTCATGTTTCCACACCCAGATATTGAACCAAATTGACTGGCTCTAACAGTTGAGCAATCCTTGTGATACTTTGCACTTCAAAATCCTTATAGGATATTCAACACTGTTTGACCACAGTATTTTTTATGTCACTTACGATTCAAAAGCAAATGCTTTTAATGTATATTAGGTTATTGTTTTCCGTAATTGCACTTCTCCAGTGACATTGAGTATAATATTGAACAAAGCGAACATTTCAGAGTTCCGAGGTTTTACATGCCTTTAAACTTCGCTCAACCAATGGCAAGATTTAATTTGTCCATTTTTGTTACAAGTGAATGTTCAGATCTGTTTTTGAAGTTAAAAAGTGCAGGGGGTATGAAAAGTTCTTAATGAACATTTTCTCTACCTTTTTAAAGCCAAATTGCGTGGCCTCTTTTTAATGTTGCTAGATCCAAGTTGCTTTTCGTTTAACGAAATGATTTTGTGTAATAATACAAGTCGCGTAAAAGTTCCGAACTCGCTTCCTAAAAATGTCCCCATTACCATACTTGGGTGATTTTCACCAAAATGATGCCGTTTTTAGTTTCTGTGTGTAAAAATTAGAAACTAATTTTCCAGAAAAACAAAAATATAAAAGAAAATAATATACACATTTCCCCCTTTTAAAAAAAAACTTTATTACCAGTTCATTACTGTAAGAGAGAGGATTTTTTTTACCAGGGAAGATTTTTTTTTTTACCAAGCTTATAAAATTAAAAGTATAAAGTCAGTCCTGAAAGGTACAGTGTAATTTCAAAAGAAGAAAGTCCTTACATTTGGTAGTGTCTGTTGATTTGCACACATACTGGAGGAATTGCCATCTCATATCAGCTGTAATTGTCATGTGAGAACTTTGCTGCTGTTGCTAGGATCAGTCAATAACAATTTGTATTGTCTTACTGTTATCATGACTGGGAGTTTCCATCCATTAATATAACTTTTTTATAGTAATAATAATCTGATTGACATAATAAAAGTAACCACAATGAGAAGGTCAGTTTTGATTCAGCATTTATTAGCACATACACAGGACCCTAAAATTTCTTTTAAAATACCTTTTAAGTGTTATTGGATTATGTGAAAATTAGTATTTAGTATAATCTGTAAATAAGGGTATTGAGATCACCCATTTTAATGATTAGGAGATTACAGCATCTACAATGCTTTACGCAAAGGTACAGAGTTACTGGTGTCTATGTTGTGAGTCTATGGATTCCTATTTCATGATTCTTGGTCAATCCAAAAGTTATTGAAGTATTTCTTGAAGTCTCCATGAAACTAGGAGAAGTGTTACACACTGAAAGGAACAATGTATTTGGACATGATTCAGATTCTAAAAACAAAATCAGAAATTGTTAAATATTTTTACAATCAATTTAAATGTATTTAGTTTATAGAAAGGTCTACAGAAACTGAAAGGAACTGGAGAAATTACAGTAATGATATATTGAAAAGAAAACATTTTCCTGTGTAAAATGATAATTGTATTGTTATATCCAGCCATCCTGCTGGGTCCCTAGTCATTTGGTGAAAATCACCCACATTGTGAACAAATCAATGCAACTGAGATGTTAACTACAAGGGAATTATAGTTTGCTTATAAAGCAGACTCTGTTGGTCTTTGGGGAAGCCTTTAGACTTCTTTAGTCTATAATATTTGTTTAAATATGCTTGCTAAGATTAAGTGAATGTTCCTGCTATACTTTTTTATTGGATTTTTTTTACCCTATTAATTTACCGTTTATCTGCCTGCATAGAAATGTACTGTTCAGAAAATCTCAGATCTGATTATTAATCATACTGGACCTAAAAGAACAGTATAATCTGCATTAACCTGGATTTGATTATCTGTAAACTTTTACGGTGGACTTCTAAGACTAAAAACTATTGCTGAACTTGATGTAACCTTAACGCTCCAATCATTACTATGATGGCTTGAAAATTGTGCTCTAACAGTACATTTACTAACTCTGCATGATTACTTGTTTAAAGATCCATTTTTGCTATGAAGTCTATTTTATTAGGAGCCCAAATCTGCTTCTTTGCACTTCCTACAAATTCTAAAAGTTGCATTCAGAATTCCACTGGATTAATAGTGAAACAGAAAGCACCAATCAAGAAAATGACCTATGTAACAGCCTATTCCCCGCCAACGGACAAGCAGAGAAGTATGAAAAACACTGTTTTGAGAGAAATATTTATATGATTTCTGGGTTTTGTCTGAAAATGACTTTGTGCATGAATTACTGGAAAGACAATACATTAGAGATGGTTCACTTTACCCCGATAGTATCAGAGTATGACGCACATGCGGTGTATGTTGATATGTACTTTATGCTGTAAATATTATAAAGATATATTTGGCTGTAGCTTTTCTCCTTGGCAAAACGTAAACATAATATATTTTTGATGAAAGCCTAGTTTATCAGCACCTCAGAAAAAAATGTTCTTTCACAGGTTTCACTGTAACAAAGCTAAACAAGGCAATAATATTTTATTTTTGTTCACCCCAGCATCAGTTACCTGTGAAACATACTTCCTTTAACGTTTCCTTTTCTTCCCCAAAAGTGCTTAAATGCGTTGTGGTGCATTAATGCACATCACACTTCATAGTTGCATGTAGTTCACGCTATCAAACAGGATAAATTTAGAATGTTATTTGAAATTTGAAATTAAATATGCACATCTTTTACTAGCTGCAGTTTTAAAATTGATTCTGATTTTTATAAGAACATTACCCAAGTTTGAATTGGGCAAGTTGTTTCCAGTTTGATACAGTTTGTTGTGGTAAGGAGGGGTTGCAGGAGCTTTTCATAAATTGTAGGTTAGACCTTCAGGCTTTTTTTAAAAGAAAAAGAAATCTCTCAATTTTGTTTTCTGAGCACCTCACAGAACTGTTCCAAATGATTTATTTTTTTAGGATTTTGAATAAATGGCCTACGTTTTAATATACAGATTGTTTTTCATGACTGTTGTTGCTGAGTTAGTGATCATGCAAGTAAATGTGCTTCTTTCACTTCTAGTTTATTGAACCAGATAGTGTTCCAGATAATCTGGAGAATACTCTAGACTAATGTTGTGAAGTGCCATGCAATTAAATTTGTGCACTGAAAGCATTGTTTTTCCTTTAGTTTTTAATGGCAAAAAGTAACTGTTTTATAAAGGATTATCAAATCTTGTCAGCTTCTACATTCTATCAATTAACAACTTCATCAGGCTTCTGTTTTTTTTTTCCCTAAAAACATTGTGTTCCTTTGCCTTACTGACTGTGCTGTTAATATGTTCAGAAATTAAACACAGTACCCCAGCAGCTTTCTGATGCTGTAAGAGAAGTTAGTCTTCCATACAGAATGTATTTAAAAAAGGCTAGTGTTCAGACTGTGTGTATGATTTTATTTTCTGTCTTACAAAATTCTGCAATTGTTATGTGTGCATTGGATTGATTTGTCATTTCATTATTTTTAGGAATTCTTAGAACATTAAAAACTGAAGCCAAAGTGTTTCTCTGCTGCTCAGGCACTTTTTCTTGTGGCGCTTAATCTTAGTTTTATTTAAGCACTTGATTCTTCTTGTTCCAAACAGTATTTGATTCACCAGTATAAATCCATTATTCACAACAAGATAGTGTTTTCTTTTAAGGGAAGGAATCCAAAAGTAAAAATCAGGGATTGGGAATGTAGGGCAGCCACAGGGCTTGGTCCTCACCAGCAACTTATGAGACCAGGAAGCTCATAAAACACTGCCAATGACGATGGTGAGGACGTTATATTTTAAGGCATGTCTGTAGTCATTCATCTGTTGATCCAGTCTTCGGTTCATTTGCTGTTCCTAGTCCTCTTCCTATTTGCCTTGATGGCTTTTTTCCCCCTTGTGTGTCAAATGCAGCAAATTAAAAGATTTCATTCTGGTTATGTCTGGAAACTCTTAACACTGGTGGTTTGAAATTCTGAACGAATCATGCTCACTGTTATCAACTTATGCATTTTGCAACAACATGTAGCAGTTTTTTTAGACAGTAGAGTGTTTAGAGACCTCTAGAGGAGAAGTCGTTTTTCTCCCTCGAATTGTGAAATGAAATGACTTAAATCTGTTCATGGCTGAGAAAATTCAATATATAGATCAATTGAAATGACCAGAGGGTGGGAAAAGATGGTGCCAAAAGACAAAAAAAAATAAGCTTGGGAGAAGACAAGCTCAAGTAAGACTCCCAATACTTGGTTAAGCCATGTCTCCTTAGCAGTTGCTGCTGTGTCCCACAAGCTGAGCCAGATGAAGGACTTTTGCCATTGTTGTTAACATTACTGTAGTGCCTCTCTTGGTTTCTAAAGCTAGAGTTGTCAAAGACGTTTTTAGTAACAACTTCAAATTGTTACAGCTACAGTATATCTGCATTCAACATTTGCGCTGAGTATTCTAATTTGAGCATGCCGCTTCCAATGGAAAAAACAAGCGACTATATTAGCGGTTTTTGCGGCTCAGAATGGATAAGGCTTTCACCTGGAGAGTTCATCTGTGCACCTCTTTCCTGATGGTCAAAATTGTAATCTTTTTTTTAAGAAATGATTTTGAGTCCAGGTACAGATAATGACAATGTGTTGTGAGAGTGCCAACTGATGTTGTCCCTCACCACAAATAAGTGCTAGCAGACCAGAAGTAATAAAATAATGTTGGTGTCAGTGGAGTTCAGTTCTGTTCTTCCTTCTTCCCATTTACATGCAGTTAATGCCTGTAACTGTGGCATTGTCGGTAAAATACCTCAAATTTGAAAGAGAAAATGTGACATTTATAATAAAAAAATTAATCAGAAGAAAAATGTAAGCACCACCTAATAAATTTAATTTAACATAAGTTACCTAATAATAAACCTAATAATTAAAGAAGCATGCTGTATTGTATTGTCAAATACAGTCCAATTTCAGGTATATCAAATAAAATGCATTAAAATAGAAAAATACAGTGTAATGATCATGCAGAATAAATCTAAAGTTTTTTTTTCTGCAACTCTTAATCAAATATGAGAATTTAATTATACATCTTTTCTTACTTGTTTAAGTAAAACAGTTAACAGACTTTTCCTTGAGGGATTTCTGGATTTCCGTCCATGGAAATAAAAACGTCTGTTGGTGATGTAGTTTTAAATGTTATTTTCTGACCTGTAACGATGAATTGATTGTGGAATAAGACAGCATTGCTTGAACTTGGAATTACAGAGGCATGAAGCTACTTTTAATTGGTCCAGAATGGTATTGCAATAGACAGAACTATTAATTTCACACAGAATTAGTGACAGGGATATGATGTGTCAATAAGTGAGGGAACTCGGTTAAATTAAATTGCCATTTGCACATTTATATTGCACAGGCTTAGCTGCTGATAGTGGTCAAATAATAAATGTCAAGGATATGTAATCGTTCTAGCTTTAAAATTCTTAAGAAGGTAAAAATCACTGTAGTACAATTAAGAGTTACAAAGCAAGACCTTCCTTAATACTTATAACCTGTTCTGAAATCAGAAAATTTGCTTAGTTTATTTAAAACTGGGGGAAAAAACACCTGGTTGAAGTTTAATTTTTATTTTAACTTTTTTTTATCATATCCTCCATATTATATAATATGATGAGCTTTTATAGTCTCAGACGTAAGTATTGTCACCCTCCTATTCTTGACAGCATTTTACATTGATGTATTAAGTGTAAGCTTCTATGGTGCTACACAAATACATTTTCACATCCCATCTTAAATGCAGTTTCATCAGAAATCTTAACTTCCACTGTATCAGCTTAATAAATTGGTAAATAATATTGCTGGAGAGTACCAGCACATCTTTATGCAAATGACAGTATTAGATTTTGAGTAGAATAGTCCTCCAGTACCTAGTTTATCTCCTATGGCAAAACACAGATGGATTGTGAAAAAACTGCTGTTATTTACTGTTGTGAATTTTTAAAGATTTGTCTTAACATCTTTGTAACAGCTTCCAGAACAGCTGTAGGTTTTTGTAACCACTCCGTTCCATTTCTTTGAGACTCGTTACGAGCAGTAGCATGTTGTAGTGGCTAGGGCTGTAGCCTTTGGACCTGAGGGTTGTGGGTTCAAATGCCCCACTGTATTATGGCTCTGCGCATTGTTCTTGTAAATGAATGCCTCTCAAATTGTTTGTGTGGTAAAATAAAGGAGAATGAAGAGTGTGGTTTGAATCTCTGCATAATTATTATTCCCAGAAGGGTGTCTTAACTACTCTGGAACCACTTGACGTGGAGTTTTCCTTATGCGTTTGTTAGAAGATGACATACACTGGGTAACCCCAGAAAAACTGCTTTTTTTCTTTGGTCAGAAAAGATGTACGAAGACGTTCTGTCTACATGGCTGCATTTTCAGAATATTCATTGGTGCTTAAGAGAATCCTGATTAATTCTATCCAGACATAAAGAAAATAGTATAATGTTTAATACATTATAATGTGTATATACACACACATTATATTATAAATCTAAAGGACAATTATCTTTGTTTCTTTATTATTCTACGGCTTATTAAAAGATCTGTGCAGTTGAAGGTGGGTGTGAAGGACTTGATTACAAGGAACGTGTGGTATTAGACTTGTTTTTAACTCGGATGGGTGCTAGTAGGAATACAGTAGATGTCAAAGTCGGTATTGAATGTGAAAAGGGTTAAAAACTAGTTGGAGCCCATCTTGCTCATTTGTTTCTTATAGTTGCGGTTTCTTGAAAGAAATGCCAACAAACTGGCTTTAACAACAGAGTTAGAAACCACAGATTGGAATAGAAAATTACAAATAAAATAACAGGCTATATAATTCCTCAAAACCATCTCGCTGTTGTGTTTTTTTAAATACCATAACCAGAAATCTCATTCTTGTTCACAGATCAGAATAAAACTCTACATGGCCAAAGGTGTTCTAAACCTACCAGTTTTAAAATATTGCAAAAGAAAATTGTTTGGTTTTATCCTTCCTTATGTTCACTATAATAACTTACATGCATTTGCTCCATATCTTTTCACCACTTAATATGTGGCTTTTGCATTAAATTGTATCGATTCTTGGTCACAAAGAAAAGTAAGGTAAGCCCTTGAGGATTGGAAGGATTTGCTTAAACTGCATAGTACTTTTAGAGTGTGTCATATTTTATCTTTGTAAGTATTGTATGTATGTATTTATGTATATGAGGTACAAAAAAAATCTCAAAAATAAATCAAAAAAATTCTGTACTGCCTTCAAAGTCTGTGCATTTTATTACTTCTGAATAAACGGTCTCTGTTACTTAGTCAAAAGCCTTTTTGTATTGTCAAACTGATGCTGGTGGTTTCCTTTATTTTTTGTATAAATACAAGACTGTATCTCTTCTCTGTTGTCAAATTTAGGCTGTAAATTCAAAATATTAAACAAATAAATATTTCAAACATTTAAGTTTGCATAGTGGAATTTATCATGACTCTCAATGAACTCAACCAAGTTTTTTGAGGTTTTGTTTTAGCTGAGTATTGTCCACATGTTTGTTTTCATTGTCAGGAAATGCACATTTACCAGGAAATGCCTTTAGAAATGGGGACATGTGCATCTTTGAAGTTGGATCCTGTATCTTAAAGCAGGAAAGGGCAGAAATACACTGGTGGGGATCCTTACCAAACAAGAACTGATGATGTCAGCACATATTAATGCAGTTCTGTTTCTCTAGCCATTAAATTGATTTCTTAAGACTTTCAGTGACTAAGATTCAGTTCTCAACACAACACATCAAACCTGTCCCGAGTGGAAGAAAGTGAAAGGGCAGCACATCCATATGAATCCTGTTCATGCAGTTGATGCATGAAAACCCGGTGGAATTGAAATGGTAACTCTTGGAGGCAAATCCTGAAATGTCTGAAATTAAAATCAAAAGATTTCTAGACTCAAAAATAGTATTCTTCATATTGTGAAATTAATTAAAGACAAACTGGCTGTTTCCTAAACTGTTGACATTATTACCCATGTTTTAATAATATTGTGAGAGAAAAGGATGTATACCCTCATATGTTTTTATTCCAAACCTAGCTTTAAAGTCTAGTGCATTTTACGGTGTATTCTAATACATATTCTAGCCATGTAGAAACTGGGAGTGTTTCACTATTCCTGTGGCTTGCATTGATGTTGGAAAACTATTAAACGTTTTCATGCCAAGCTAAGTACGTCTCAAAGATCTGTGAAGGAGTGACTTCTCTGTATGCTTGTATACATTATGTGCAGCAGTTGAAAAGGAGACTTGGGCACCAAGGACAGTGCTGTGGGAGCAAACCCCATTCCTAACTAAAGGAAGCATGAGGTTTGTCAAAGCCTCCTTTTTAATTAGATTTGCCTGAGTATTACCTTCTTTACCTGAAGGTGAAAGTGTACAGGCTCTCATCTGCACCTTTGATTTTGCCATGAATTGAGTTTTGAGATTTAACAAGACATACAGTCTGCAGCCCAGTATTTAGTCAAATGGAAAGTTGCACATTTCCAATTATCTCCATTTTGGTTGATAAAAACAACACAAACATGGCAATTATTAAGAAACTGTTTGGGATAGGGGAGTATTCCAACAATTCCCCACATTCTCAAATAAACAAGGAAATAAAATGAAGTACCTACTTTGACACCACCCTGAGTTGGAGCAAACCAGACCAATACGTTGGAACACTGGCCACAACAAGGCATCTGTGGGCGATAGATGCGTAGTTTATGTTGTCCTTTGTAAAGAACCAAAACCAATGTCCTATAAATGTGTATCCGTGGTTGTTTAGTTCTTGCTTCTTTGTTGTCCTGTTTACATGGGACACTTTTTACAGCACACTACTCTTATGCTACCAAATAGCAAACTACATATTTAATCAACTAAATATACAGCACATGGAAAGCATGCATTAAACCTCTAGTGAGATGAAAATTAAATGACCCAAAAGAAACTACAGATTTGACCATAAATGTAGGACAAGGTTTTACTGAATTAAAACTCAGGAAACACAAGGCTTATCTTCTACTGACCTTCTATGATCAAGGACACTTGCATTTTAAACACAAAGGAGCCTGGAAATAACATCACAGCAGTGCCTGGAATAGACTTGCAATTATGTATCATCTTTCAATAAAAAAGGCATGGTAATAAATGGTCTCTGATTGGACGACCTTATAATTAAAAAGGGCATCAAACAAAATCTGGAATTTGAGTCAACTTCAGAACATGGTTCCATGTAGATTTCCATGAATAAAAAAGGATTCAATTTGAATCTTTTAGGTCAGTCCACTCATGAAGCATTAAATTACAACGTTCATCGTTTTTTATTGCTAATGCCAAAATATTTCCAGAACAAACCACAGCTAAACAGATTTGGGAGACTCTTCAAAATGTTGTAAACTTGAGATGCAATGACAAAACCTGAAAGGATTCCCAACTCTTATGGGCAAATAGAGAGATTAAAACCTTTCCTAGTTTTATTGTAAGGAGTCAATAAGTAAGATACGGTTCAGAAATCAAAGATAAAAGAACAAGAAAAGTTACAAATAAGAGGAAATTATTTCACCCGTGTATCCTGTTTGGTATTAGCTTATTGACCTGAGAATCTCATCCAGCCGTTTCACCAAAGAAGCCAAGCATGGTAAAGAAATTCAGGTGGGTACCTGCGCCAGCATGTGAAGTCTGCAAAGGAACAAGTAATAGGTTTATTCCATGCTGAAAAAAAGAAGAAAGAAAACACAACGTTTCGGCCTTGGAGCCTTCTTCAGGTGTGAGAGAGACAAGGCAGTAAGCAAAGGTAATGTAGCGGGAGAACAAAGGCTGGGAGGCCAAACCAAAGACGATTTTCCGAACTCATACATCAGAAAGACTACCCAAACCAAACTTATCCTGCAGCTAGGATCACACATTTCCCCTTCTTTTAACGACAGACTACTCACTACGACAGAAAGAGGTTTCATTTCACATCTCTTTCTGTCCCCTGCTCCCGCCTCTCAACCCTCCTCCCTCCCAGCCTTTGTTCTCCCGCTTTGCCTACTGCCCTGTCTCTCTCACACCTGAAGAAGGCTCCACTAGCGAAACGTTGTGTTTTCTTTCTTTTTTTTTAGCATGGAATAAACCTATTGTTCCTTTGCCTGGTAAAGAAATGCCTCATGTGCTCAGATTTAAATTCAGTCCCACTTCAATTTGTGACCGTTTATAAAAGAGTTGCCAAGCGCATTGCATGGCTCTATCAAGAGGTTTTGGTAGCTTTAAGAATTACATTTCCATGTGGTTTTAATTTATTGAATTGAGGAAGTCTTTTATGCACTGTGCAAAACATACATTTAAGGGGGACGTGGCTGACCTGGATTTATAGTAGAAACTAATGAAACACATGACTGGTGATTAGAAATTGCTTTTGATAAATGCTTAACTGAAGTGGTGATTATACCTTCTAGGTGTTAACCCCTGACTGAATTCCTAAAATCAGTTCTTTTAAGTTCAGAGGCTAATAACACATTTCATTTTTGTCACATGAAATATTAACATGCAGCTTTGCAGGCTACGAGGGACACATCCAAAAAGATGAAAAGGACTGAAGGGCAGGGACAAGAAGAATTTTGAAAATTAACATTCAGCTAAAAAGGAATAACTTATGTTTGTGCTCGGAAGGGCAACCCTGCAGACTGTGGTGATTAACAAACAGCTACTGGAGAACTATTTACCGTCACCCTAAGTGCAGCCTTCGAGTTAATTTGTAACACTAACCTGAATTCCTGGTTGTAAACCTGATTCAAGCCCAACCCCTGATTTAAAGGGGAACTGCAACACAAGATGAGTGCATTTCAACCACAATAAAAGTAAATTGTTGCTTGTATAACCTCCAATTTACATCCCAAAATAGATTACATTTCTAGGTATGCGCAGCGCTGTGTTTTCAGAACATGGCAGTAAAACTGGTGATTTTTTGCGGCATTTAATACATTGTAAAGAAGTGGGCTTGTGAATACATCTCTTTTTATCCAACAGAAATATTGCCCTCGACTTCGAGAAGGTTTTGCTGACAAATATCACTTGTGAACTCACGTTGGAATCGTGATCACGTTGGATCATTTATGTAGTGAAATGTGTGCTGCACAACCTGTACTTGCAAGTCATTCCGGCGACTAGTGAGCAGGGAGGGCTGTATCACATCCCAATTAGTGGGAACTCGAATGTGAGTTTGCAACAACATGGCGACTTCACAAAGTTCATTTTGTGCTTCATTTTTTCTCTATAACGTCAATTAATATATTATGTTACCAAGATTTAAAAACTGGTCTGAGAAACTGGGACTGCAGTTCCCCTTGAACTGCAGGCCTTATTCTTAATTTCAGTGTGTCCCTGGCCCTATTAGTCTCTTAACTAAACGTAAAATCTAATGTAAAAAATACTAACTGTAGTCCATAAACTTAATCTCAACATTTACAGCAGCTTAAACCAAACTTTAAAATCTTATAGTTAACATCAATGTATAGTAGATGAAAGCAGTCCTATACCCTTAATGATAACACTGACATGAGCCTTAGCCATAAAATCATATTGTCTCTCTGGCATTTAATTACCATGGAAGCTAATACCCTGTCCTTGTCTTTCATGCACAGATGCACTCCTCCTGGCTAAGTGCTGAAGTGGAAACACTCATCATAAAGGATGTGCTTCCATTCCCTCAGCGTGCACCAGCAGCATCATGGAATCACATTTTTTATATAGATACTCAATAATCCTTCTAGGCGTAATTACCAAGAGGGATATTTTTTTCAAATACATTTTAAGCTGCAATTATAATGCACAGTATGCCACCAATTAAAAAAGTCATTTGATTACTTTATCCAAGTTCATGTTATTGTTGATTAAATGGTAAGCCATTATCTTCCCTTCCATTTTCTAACTGCTTTATCCAGTACAGGGCCACAGGGACGCCAGTCCATTGCAAGGCACACACAGCCAATATACACACACCAGGGACCCAGGCAAACTATGAACATCCACTTAAAGTGGGACTTTGAAGTGTGCCAAAATTTAGTGCTGAATTGTCTTTTGTAAAGCAAATTAGAAACCACTTACTATAGAGTCATTTCCATTCATGTCCATTAGATTTAATTTTAATATTTTTCTCCGTATATGGAAATGTTGGATTATCAATGCAAAGAGACACCTTAATATACCGAGCCTTTGCTTCAGTCCAGGAGGATAGTGCTGAGCAAAAAAATAAGAAAACCAAATTGTAATTTAATTTAATTGTAAGGGCCAGCTTTTCAAACAGAAAGATCTTATTTGTAGTAAACGTAGTAAACTGTTTGGGGGGCCTGTAATTGAACAAGTACAGTAGATGTGAGCAACACTTTTAGATTTTTTCATAGTAGTTACATGACAGTTAAACCTTTATTTGTCCAGAGATGTAGACTGCAGAATGGAGAGTTATGGTTTACCTGTGACGATAAATATCTTTACTGGCCTGCTGAATGACAATGTTGCAGTACCTAGACTGTGTTCCATCTTGTCAATGCCCGATAACATTCAGCCTTCATCCTTCCTTCTTTCCTCACTATTTTAAACTGTGTAACTGTTAAATTCCTTTATACAGTGTAGCCTACCTAGAGCTCCACCTACAGTAAATTCAAGTTTCTGAAGCATCTTTTTGCGGGGTTTGGGGCTGCTTGCACACCACCCAGAGGATTGCAATGCTTCAGTGCTGGATAAAAAAGATGGTTGAAGTGCTTTTGGATTCCTTTGATTAAAGATAAGAACACACTATGTCACAACACTATCCACACTATGTATCATGTGGATAATAGCCACTGTTTCATTTGCTTCTTTAGAAACCAGTAATAAACTATAGTATATGTCAACAGATATTTCTCTTATTTCTTCCACTTAGCTCTTAATGATACTACACACTGTTGTGTTGTACTGTGCTGGCTTACCTGTCCTATCCTGATTCCTAGAGGGCCATTTTCTCTTCAGGCTTTCATTTTAACTGTAACTTCTTTGACAAGAATAGGAGTGGGTTGAGAGTCCAACTGACCGTGAATGAGAAACCCAAAACTATCAATATATTGGTTAAATTTTAATGCAAAATTGTTCATTGTGCAAACTAAGCTTTAGCACGTTCTCTCTACATATAGTGTATATACTATTATGGAAAGGTTTGGTTGAATTAGTGGTTTGTTGTGGAAGAACGAATTTCTAAACAGTTAAATGACAGTTAAATGACTTTGGGATAATTCAGTGGTGTGCAAGTACTTGCTTGTGCCTTTCTTTTAGCATGTCTTCTGTAATTACAAGTTTTCAGATTCCAGCAACCAAGACACATCCAGACAGCCTCAGCTTGGCCATAGATATTCTGCATTATAGCTTTTACCAACTCTAGTTGCACAAATGCAAATTTTAATTTGTCCTGCTATACCATATTCCATCTTCCAGTTTTTGTACTTTTTAATCCCGTTTAATTTACAGTAATTGATGTCCTGACTGGTTTCCATGCAGTGTTCGCTCTACTAATGAAACTGGATAAGTGTTCTACTAGTGCTGAAAGAGCTATTAACATGAACAAATTGACTATTGACTCAACAAATGAACAGCCGATGATGCATTAGGGGAAAAATTTGAAATGTTCTCCAATCAAAATCAGTAGCAAGATTTTAAGATGAGAAATAAGTAAGTCCAAAGGGATTCTTTGGTTTTCTTTGGTTTGTTGTATTATGACACCAAAAATGGAGGACAGTTAGCTAATACTGTTGTTAGGATAAACCATCAGGACAGACCTAAGAGACAAACCAGGAGTATATAGGTTTTTCTGCCTCATTTGGCTACTTTAAAGCATTTCTGCCTCTAGTGGTGTCAAACTTTATACATTCAACAATGAACGGTTTAATTCACAAATGCATTTTAACATAATGGCTGCTATTAACTGCTATTAATGGCTGCTATGGCCTGTCCAGCCATTTTCGTTTTCAAATTTTATAGAAACTATGCCAGGATAATACTAAAGACTATACAGGGGGTTCTAATAACTACATCTACAGCCTCCAGGTGTCTGTGGGTTTTCAGTTACAGTATACTGTATGTATTTGCAACACTAGTCTGAAATCAGTTTCAGACTTCGAAGTTTTATCTATATACATGAACAGTGTTATACTGTATACTCTAAACATTATGTATGAGTATACTTTCCCCAACAAACATTTCAATTTTATTAAAAATGACTGTGTCTCCTGAAACAATCATTATTACAGGGTACTTTGCTTCTCTAGACCACACTGCATCAGCACAACAGTTAGACATTCGCCACACCTACACAGTTTTAACAGGTTCTGGTCTATCCAAGTAGAAAAAGGACTCCTGTAGGCACTCACCTGCCACACTGAGAAAGCCCTGCAGCGAGAGAGTGAGAGGTGGTTGGGCTGCCAGTGGGGGTGGGAGTTTCATTTGAGTAAGCAAGCAAGCATCATATGAAAGGCAAATATGTCGAGTTAACCTACTGGTTCAACTCGCCTTGCAGCTTTTGCCTTGTGGAGAGTGACAGAGCATTGGCCTGACGATCCCTTGCATGTCAGTGGCTGTGGCGTATCCCCCCCCCACCACGCCTCACTGAAAGGAAAACAAGAAACCAGCAGCCGGAGTGGAAAAAAAAACAACACATGCACTCTCTGGAAGGGAAAGATCTGGGCATCTTCAGCTAACTTTCTGCAAACACTCACGGGAGGACTGACAGACTCCAGGGCTGAATGTGCCTCTTCTAACCCCACCGAGTTTGCAGGCACAGCACATCGAGTTTTCTGTGGTTCCAGCAGGTCAGCAGCTTTCAGCCTATGCTACTGACTTGTTGTTGTGAGCCAGCCTGCCCCACATGGGGAGAGAAGACATTCTGCGCCTGGGTTGCCTTTTACTCTGGTCATGGGTGGATGTCACAGCTACGGCAAAGGGGATGTAGAAACACACGACCAAAACTTGGAATTTTCCAATATCCCCGTCCAAAAACTGTGAGTATTTGGGTTTTTATACAGCTGCAATAATGTTTTTTTGAAAGCATAGCTTGCCACGTCGGCACTTAAAAGTTGTTTTGAGAAACACATAAGATCAGAAACTGCTCTAAATCTAACAGGCTGAGGTCCTGGCTTTTAGTGACTGTTGGAAGCAACAACAGGTTGGCGTTTGAGATGGGAAACGTAGCTGCTTTCATCTTGTCGAGCCACAAAACATGCTGCTTTTAAAAGGGATTGTGCTAGCTGTTTTTTTTTTCTGTGTGGTTGTTGCCAAGTTAAATACGCATGGGGGCCTCTTACCTCAAATGTTATGTTACTCAACTAGAAAGAGATTCCTTTCTGTTGCAATTGCCTCTGCCTGCCAAGGTACACATTGTCTTTATTGTTTAGTGCAGGTGAGCGAAGGAAATAGCCGTGTTACAGACATTGGAGTAAACAACATTAACTCATGGCTCACATTTTTATCTCTCCTCTTGGATCCTACTTTAACAAAAAAAAAATCACATGGTAACTTGAATAAACAATTCTTGGTGAGTCAGGGACAATGTGTGCTAACTTCATGTGCTAAAGTGAAGGACACATATTTGTGGAATAGCATCAGCTTCCTGAAATTCTTTTGTTTGCTCTTTACTAAGCAGCAAGAAGTGAGGCAGCCTTTTAGCAGGCTTTAGCCTTTACGCTGAAAATCCTCATTACTCTTCTTGTAGAGTTCATGAAGGCGGCCATGTACAAAAACAAAAATGGGGATGAGAGGAGGTACGGATCCTAATCTCTCTCACCATGTGCAGCAGTTTATGAGAGCAGCCAGCCCAGGGACTGGGTTTGTGCGTTTGAGTGAGAGCTGGCGGCAGGCAAGCCCTCAGAAGACAAAGACTGTACCGTGCGCCAGAGAGACTGCCTCTAGGCAACATGTAGCTAACTCTCTCCCAGTGGAAACTACCTCAGAAAAGAGCGGTGGGTTCATTTGGAGAAACAGATATGCCACGTGACATGGATGACATTGTTTTATCAATAGCAACGAGGTTTTATACTGTCAAGTTCACAGTTGCATGCCAGACATTTTCCAGGAGGGCTTTCATTTGTAGAAATCATTACCATCTGTTTGTAAATTTTGACACCCAGGATCTTCCATTGGTAGTAAATCTGCCATTAAGGCTATCAGAAGATCTTAGGATGTTTCACAGGTCTTGGAGAGCTAAAGGTCGAACTAAACTAAATGAAATCAGACCAGGGAGTAAATCTATAGAATAGCTACAGTCTATTGAATTTTGTCATAGGAACAATCACTTCCGTGCAATCGTTTCCCTAATAGCAAGAGAACATTAAAACATGGACAATTTAGAGATGCCAATTAACCTAGCCAGTACTTCTCTGGGTGGTGTAGATAACTCCCATGGGGATGTGGAGAAATTCTTCACGGAAGTTACCTCAGTCCAAAATCGGACGCAAAGGCTTTGGGGAGCAGCACTAGCTGTCACACCACCATGCGGCCCTTACTTGCTCATTTGTCTCTAAAACGTTTCATAAATTTCAGCCTAGGCAACCAGTGGTATAAAACCTAAAATGTTCTTGCAGGAATATAACTGGGCTTAGAAGCTAGGGCATTTCCAGGTGCACATGAATCAAAGGTATTGGAATATGTAACTAGAAGGTACACAGTCTGAGAACTGAGAACTTTATCCTTTCAACCATTTTCTAACTGCTTTATTCAATACAGGGTAACAGGGGAGCCAGACCCTATCCTGGCCAGAAATAAATGCAAAACAGGCTACACTCTGGACAGGACACTAGTCCATCACAGTGCAGACACAGACATCAGGGCCAATTTTCCCAGAAGTCAATTAACCTGCCAATATGGTTTTGGACTGTGGGGCACTCTGAAAAACCCCACACAAATGTAGACACAACATACAAACTCCACACAGATAGCACCCCAGATCCAGAATTGAATCCAGGGCCACTGTGCTGCCCCATCTATTTTATCATGACAAAAAAAATGTGTACCACAGCATTAACTATAAATTGCATGTCTCTCCTGCACTGGTGATAGATAATAATAACAACAACATTGAAGAAATGTATCTCACACCATCAATTATTGTGCAAAACCTTGACTGATTGAAGAGGCACTAGACATTTTGCTATACTCTACTTAACTGAAGTACTCAAATATCCACCTGCCAAATTATATAATTTGTTAATTACAAAGTAAACAACAAGTAATCAACGTTCACTAGATGTAGTGGAACCAAATTCCCACAATGGAGTGAATGCAAAAGAAGGATGATTCTGGACTTAAAATGACTTTACTGCAGTTTACTGATACAGTACTTTACTTTACTGCATGCTCATACTGTACAGCAAAGATTTTTCACTCTGCAGCCTTGTTTGGTAGGTTACCATGTACCTCTAGGTAGAACACAGTTGGCATCAGCCCTCAATCATAATCTTAAGTGCAATAGAATTATGTTTCTAGCTATAATAAAAATTGTGGTGGATACAGAGAGGGCAAATTAATTAAAACTTTAAACAGAGGTTAATACTGTATCTAAAAATCAGACTCACTGGGAAACCAGTGTTTGCTTGTAAATATGTTAAAGATATGGAAAATCAAAACACAGCTTTTAGCGTTATTTGTGGGTTTAAAAAAATGAATACAAGTTTCAGGCGCTGGAATACGAAGAGCAGGCTTGACCCACAAAACAAGGGTCACTTGAAAAGCCTGTATAACAAGCGAATCTTAATCACTGTTTTACAATAGGCAGTTTGCTTCCACTCTACCTCCTAGTAATAGATGTCATGTATAAAGCCTGCCTTTGGGCATGGGGGAGAACAACCATTAACTTGAATGGGTGCAGAACCCAACTGGGCAGCAGCAAGAGTCTGTATGAAGCCAAGTCACAAATTCCTTTTACCCCACACTGCTGTGGGAGAACCCACGTCACTCAGACGTGCAGGCACTAGCACCTACAATGAACTTCAATGAACTTTTTTCCAGTTTTTGTTTCCAATCTGTACAAGGGGAGCTAATTCATTAGTGATTATTACTGTTAGAATAAATGAATCAGGTTCTAGTAACGGATTGTGGTAGGTACAACGTGTTTACAGATTATGGGTAACCGGGTCCAGGGTTGATACCTATTTACTATGTAATTACCTTCCTATTGTGTAATTCTGGACATCAAAAACATCATTCATTACAATTTGTAACAAAAGAAACTAGTCATTGACACAACATAAAAAAACTGAACTGTAATTGTAAACAAAATGTGTGTGGGGAGGGGGCATAAAGGCAAAAAGATTTTTAAAAATATATTATACTCTTAACCATTCTGAAAAGAGTAATATTTTTGATGTAGCTGTATCTCACAGTAAATCAGTAGTTCAGCAGTGCAGTGAAGTTTACAGGACCACACTTCTCTCACAGACTATTTTGCTTTATCTGGTTACCAAACAATGACTGCAGATGCAAATCATTGGGGTCTTTACCCCTGTGTGAATCAAAACTCGTTACTTGAAAATCTTGCAAAAATATTTCTTTCTGACCCAGGGTGCAAAATAACCCAAAGAGAAATGCCAAGAATACAAACTTACATGCAGTTTTAGTTATTAAACTGCATGTAAGTTATTTAGTTATTTAAATCTAAAGTGCTAAAGTTGATTCTAATGATATCAGATACAACCTTCAATATCTTAAGCATGTGCGAATTGTTCAGAAATATTGATAAGGGCAATTGATGTTCAAAAAATGTTTTTTTATTTCTTCTTACAAAAAATAGCCATTGTTATCAAAACGTTTATTTAAAACTTTCTCAATAGCTCATTTACCATAAGCTGCTCTTTGTATAAGAACAAATCGAAAAATAGAAATCATAGAAAGTTCAAAACGCTCAAAGTTGTCATGGTTATATTTTCATGATTCAGTAATACCCCATTTGGAAAAGACCATGTTGATTCAGCATGTAGGGAGGTACTGCTCAGAATGCAAATATTTCCATTACTCTTGAAAGACCCAATCATTTATTAACAATATTATAGGGACATAGAAACATCAAAAATAAATACTGAATTTTCAAACCTCAAACATTTAAGTTCAAGTTTTAATTCCAAACATGGCTGCTAATTTAATATAGATAATAAATTAAACATGGAATATTGGCCATCGGTAAATCTGGATTTTGAATTTTGCAAGTAGAAGGATTTCCTAATCGAAAAAGAAAACACAAACTGCACTTCGAAAATGAATATTTGTTTTCAAAAAAATGCAGGCTGGTACATGCTTCTCACTTTTTAGGCTGACTGGTGGAATGTTTTATCTTAAGATTTTGCTTTCTATTCACACAACCCTCTGTCCTCTCATTTGCACAAATGTCTTGATATTTTTCGCTGCTGCCACCTCACGTTCGGAGAAAAATGCCCTTTTGATTTTGGTGTAGCAATTCCTATAGCAACTTTGTTTCATATGGAATGCTCATATCAATTAATCTTTTAAATTTAATGGGATAATTAATTTGACTTGGATTTTTGGGCTGGAATAGATGACAATTAACCCCTACTTTTTACTGGAAACCATACGAAAGCACCTAAATCAAAAAGCACTGTACAAGAGTGGATTATATTACATTGTATACATTTTTCTAGGGTGACTTTCATCGCAGATTTCTGTTGTGTAACTAGACCTTTTATTTAGTCTCATTCACACACTGTTTCTGCACCTTAGGGTCACTGTAGCCCACAGTTTTCCCTGAATTTCCTGAAATCTCACTTGAAAGCCACATGTTGTTTCGTGGTTCAAAGCCTGCCACTGTACAACAAGGAAGAGTTTCCAGCTGTTCAGCATCTCAATATCAGATACAACATCTGCTTTTCATTCATTTCAGAAAGAACAACAACACCAAAGCTGCGCCGTCTCTGGAAGAAAAGCCCTACCTACTTTCAGTTTATGTTTCAGAACGGATCACAGACATGGATATGAAGACGCTGTCTTCGCTACCTGATGGGTTTGACAAAGCCGAGTGGATGGCCACTCACAGTATGTGCCTATGTGTTGTTGTTTTTTCTGTTAGTTGTATTAGTGGCAATCCCAGAGCATTTCAGGGTTCCCCTTCATTTCTGTTTCGGATATAAACACTTTGCCCGGTTCGTTCTCAAAGTCCTTACCAGAGCCATGGTAGCTCATTCAGAGTTCATCCTGGTTGTAGCATTAAGCAAAGTGACTCCCCGTGTAGTTAGGACACCAGTCTATCACAGGGATCACCACCAGCAATGCTGGTCCCCATTTGTACAGCTAGGTGGGCTGGAGCAACTGTGCTAAAATACAGTATCTCGTTCAAGGGTACAACAGCAATATCTACAGTAGAACTTGAACCCACAACTTGTCCATTATGAGTGCAGAAGCTTAACCATTATGTTATGCTAGAGTGTCATGACAGTTTTATGTTTTAAATGAATGGAACGTTTACCTTGAAAGGCTGCTTTTCAAGTTGGGTCTGATTAAATCAAAGTCTGCCAATCACAAATGTCAAGTATTTTGATGGTATCTTCCTGTTTTCAAAAGTTTCTTTTTACCCAATGGAATGCATCCAACAAGAAAACTTTGTCTGAAACTTTCACAAAGAGGGACTTCCTTTTGCTTGCCTTGTGAGCATTTTACTGAAGTCATTTGAGACTGCTTCTTCACTCACAAAATAAGGAAAACCTTTATTTTTCAAGTGTAGTTCCAAGTATGTGTTTGATTATAAAACACAAGGTCTTCCTTCTCTTCTTTGTCCCTACCAGAAGCAGTAGAATGAATTAAGATTAGGATTAAAGTAGGCCAACTTTTTTGTTTCTTCTTGATATTACTAGACTGTTACCAATCAAATTAGTAATCAACCTATGTAACAATTAAAAAAAAATGTGTTTGCATTTTGTTCTTAGTGGAATTCTGTTTTAACATGTTAAATTATATTATATACAGTTATCTGAAATTAAGGAAATTACAATAGCTGTATGACAGAGTCATAGTGAGTATGCTGAATGTTAATACTCAATGTGAGCTCAGGCTATGCTACAAACCCATTTTTTGTGTTTTTAAAAATCTACACAATGTATTTTCTTTTTTCAGATTGGCAACATTCAATAGCGACAGTCAATCTTTATTTTAGGTTTTGCCCCAAACAATATGAATTGTTAATCATATAAAAATTGATAATGGGATGAGTGGAAAATGAGTAAACTCTCCTGTTTCTTTTTCCAGCCATTGCCTTCTTCAAACACATTAACCTGTTTTCCAGCGCTCTTTCGGAATTCTGCACCACCAAAACTTGCCCAACCACAGCTGCTCCTGGTAACACGTGAGTGATCCTAGAACTCAGTTTTAGTCTGCCCTCAGCTTAGCTCTCAATGCTCCAGCTGGGCCATCCCACAGAGAAAATAAGCCCTTCTTTGCCACGTTAATGGGCCACAGTGGCAAGGGGGGGCATAGTGATAGGGGACTATTGTCACTGCTCCCTCCCAGTTCCCGTCTTCATTTTCTGCTTTTAACATCTGTCTCTACGGTTGTATGCTTTCCCCATGTTCACGTGGGTTTTTGCCAAGTACTCCATTTTGTCTCCTTCTGCTGAATGTGTGTACATGTAGGTTAGCTTTGATTGGCTACTCTAGACTGGCCATGTCCAGTGGGGTTTGTTCCCAATATGGTCAGTATTGGTTAACAAATTAATTGCATACCAGTACAATTTGGGATCAATCACCAGGTATTTTGAGATTAGGAAAAAGCTTTAATGCACAGGTCCTGCACAGAGAGAATGAGGACCAGCAAGCATGTTGCTTTGACACACCCAACCCTCAGAGCCAGTCGTGTCCTGACCCTTTGCAAGTCCACAGAACCTGACAGGGGGGTTAGTGCTAATTTTAGGACCTGCATGTCTCTTGCTGATGTCAGAGAAGGTGACAGGTGTAGCTCTTTATACCACACATACTGAATTAAGATCAATTCTAGGATAACATTCATGAAGAGAATAGAAGCAATATTAAATCAGGACAAATCAATATATATTAATAGTGAAAATTACATAAGATATATGGGTGAAGTGACCACATATAAGAGCTATTAAGTGCAATAACTAGCTAATAACTAGCTATAAGTGGCAAATTTCCATAGGAAACAATCACACAGTATGTTGAAAGATCATGTCTGAATTTACAGTTTGATGGTAAAGGTAACCAATCTATTCTTACGTGTTATATTTGACAGTTATAATCCTAACCACAATAGAAGTGGTAATGAAACGTATGCAGTTGTATTAGTTAGACAGCTCTGCAATGTAACCCACTATCTATTCACCAGGAAAAGGGTAAAGTCGGGAATATGTTACTCTTGAAACCAGCCTCCTTAACACCCTAGCTGTGGTACAGAAATACTGGTACACCCATTCAGCCAGCAGTCATTTACCATGCTTTCACTATTTGTTTATATTTAATCAGTACTATTAAATTGCTCTGCTATTAATGTATGATTTTTTTCATATGTTTGTCGAATACTGGTTCATCAGTGATTTAGTGAATGAGATTAAGTTCAGACAGGGTGGATCACACTTAATTATTGAAAAACAAGTGCAAAAAGGACTTGAAATTGACTATATGAAATTGTGATCCAATGGAAAAATATTACATACAGGCCTATAAAACAATTTTGGAATAGTTTTAAGATATTTAAATATATTTTAAAATATGTTTTCTTTGTGATTCAGTTAATCTGCCTTCAAAAAAACAAAAAAGAGAGTTTGCTTTTGCCTCAGTGTGGCACATACTGTATTCATTTGGGCCTTAGAATCTTTATTTCCAATCAAGAAAATAACATCACACAAGCAAACGCAGTATGAAAGAAACCATTATAATTCTGCTTTGAGATATTTTCTAGGAAACCTTACCTTTTTTTTTTTAAACGTGTTTCAACAGGACTTACTACTGGCAGTTCGATCATAATAAGAAGGAGAAGTGTTCGGCTCCACTTTACATCGACTATGCAATGTCCTACATACAGGAACTCCTAACGGATGAAAATGTTTTTCCAACTAGCACAGGTGAGCAAAAACTCTTCGAGCATATTCTTTATGTATTTCAGTAGATTTTGCAATGGTAAATGTGAAATAAACTGTTTTCTTTCTCAAAAACGAAGCACAATACTAAAATAAAAAAGCAGTCATTTATTTTCCTTGGTTCGCCCTCAGGGTCCCGATTCCCCAACGGATTCCCCTTCCTGGTGCAGAAGATCTTCCTCTACCTCTTCCGGACCCTGACTCACCTCTATTGGGCCCACTTCCGAGAGATAGTGAAAATGGAGATGCACCCTCACCTGAACACTCTCTACATCCACTTCATGACTTTCAGCAAGGAGTTCGACCTCCTGGAACCAATGGAGACCGCCATCATGGACGACCTGACGGAGGCTTTGCATCGATACAACAATGTCTGACGAGCCCATGCAAAGCTCTGCCCAAAGCCGAGAGCTGCCTAAACCACATAAATAGCGGGGGCTCTCGGCTTACCTGTGGAATGAAATTTGTACCTCTTCAGGAGCCGTAATTGAGGGACACCTGTCTGGAAACATGAACAGACAGACATTATATAGAGCCTGCAATCTGATTTTGGACCATGGACCACAGCATCTCATTTTGCAGAGGGAGGAAAACAAAGGTTTCTATCAAGAAAACCATAATTTTCATAAAGATGATTAACAGAGAGGGACACATCCTACAAATAATTCATGAGTATAGATTTAATACTAATTGAGACTAAGGCATGGTGATTTCTGGATAGTATTGACTTGTTACTTGAGAATTTATTTTAAGTTTGACATTTTACATTTGTTAGCAAAAGGTACTGAAGTGTATATGGACAGAACCACAAAATATCATCTTTTCAACAGAGACTAATCTGATTTAGAGCAACGCAGTGCTGTTGACGACAAGGACAGTATAGTCGGTGATGATTGTTTATTAATGTTGTTAAAATAGAAACATTTTTGGAGAAATCACCTGTGGTAAATCTGTGTCCAGCAGCAAAAGAGGTGTGGAAAAAAGCCTCATCCTGAGCTTTTTTCTTGTTTGAGACTTTATGGAAAAGATTCAGTATGTTACATACTTCAGGGAATCCATTCTCTCAAAGGAAAGGAACTACGCTTCCACATGAAATACATACTCTTCCACTGGAATTTGCTTTATAACAGGTACTTTGTTTTCGTAACTACAGCTGTAGATTATGTTAAAAATTTAAAAGACCCAGACCACCCACACACATTACATGCACTGTCATTGAATTTCAGCTGTTTTTAAAAACCACAGAAAAGACTTACGAGTGGTAGCTCTCTCATCAGTATCCTATGGTTCCATTGGAGCTTCCCTGGTATACATGACATTTAAGGTGCATTTTATCTTTCCATATCTTTTGTTTCTTCACTTATCTTGCAGAATTGGTAGAGCTGCACAGACAAAAAACAGGACAATTCCTAAAATAACAGTTAACAGGGAAAAAATAGAGAAGCTGCTATCCCTTTAAGTTTTGGATTTAATTCTGGTCGTGTTTGTACTTTGCCCAATTAAAAATTTGGGAACTTATGTTACTTAAGTTACATTGTCTGTGCAATAGCTAAAATGGGACTTTGAACAGTTCAAATTTAACCTAGTATACATTTACAGTTAAGAGTTCTGTTGGGTAACGGACATTGGTTGGGAAAAACACTGCAGGTATGTGATCCTAACTGTCTTAAAAAATGAGTGGACATTAATCACTGTTATAAAATCAAGATGCAGTCAGAAGCTTACAACTGTTGTAAAAATAAGACATTGTACTGCTACTCATTCAATTTAAAATTTTAAGTTTTATCAGCTAAATCTGAACTATGAAAATAAAATGTAAGTATAGTTGCCAAAGAAGCATTAAATGTCGTTGTGAGCAATATTTTAATATAGTTCAGGAGGGGAGCTGCGTCTGCATGCGTAGGCTGCAAAGGAACAAGTAATAGGTTTATTCCATGCTGAGAAGAGAAGAAAGAAAACACAACGTTTCGGCCGTGGAGCCTTCTTCAGGTGTGAGTAATATTTTGATGTGTCTTTGTAGTTTTTGTTTTGCCAAACATGACCAGTTTTCAAAATGAAGGTCTTCAAAAGTCCTACAAACATAGGACTTTTCTGAGCACAGAATCTGGTCCTTGCTGCTGTCCTCAACGAGATTAAAAATGCAAGTGTGACAGGCAGTCAGCTACAGTAATTACCATCTCAGAGGATGCAGCTGTGTACTTTCTGTATGGTGGCAATATCTAATCACCACGATTCTCGCCATAAAGATGTCTGCTCCTTATGTGCAATCCTCTCTGTAAAAGTGTCTAGTACAGTAGGTGTGTGAGGTAGTTGGAAAATACCAGAGGCACCACATACCAAGGGCAGACTGTATAGACAGACTGAACCTCTGATATGAAAGAGCCAGAAGACGTTACCGCTTTGTGAAGCAGCCTGTGGGATTAACAGCTGTAAGAGAGAGGCCGAGCGACAAGTGAACTACTGAACTTGTGCAGCAAATGCGCCTGAAGGAAGAATGTTTTTTTATTCACGAAAGCACTCCGAATGTCCGAGGACTGTCCAAAAAAGCTCTGAAAGCATTCTTTTTGTCTATTTTCTCTTTTTATTTAACCCTTTATTTAAGAAAGGGTTCTATAAATCTGCATTGCCTGAGGGATTATCTCTCCAGACCGTAAAAGCGTAGTTCTTACATACACACGTCTCTGCCTCTTAAAGAAGAAAACAGTTTACCATTTATTAGAGATTTCCAGCCTAATGTCAGTAAGCAGTTTATAAATAGTTATAATTTTTTCTTTTTAACTAAACTTCCCTCTGTTTGTCGGTTTTCAATCTACTCAATTAAATCTTCCAACCTGAATAATTGAAGAAGGTATTTACAAACATTGTTAATTTTGCTGACATTTTAACTGTCTTGCAAATTAGGTGGTTATCATCAGAAGGCTAATCACCCTGTCTGATTATGTACTGTACATTTGGAAAAAATTCTGTTTAGCTACTCCAGTTCAATTTTTCTGGAAAGAAAAAAAGGATTTATGTATTTTCATTTAAGAAAGTCACAAATGAAATGAGGCCACATATACTATATTGTTATACAGTACCTAACTGATCCAAGAAGCCCATCCTGCTATTTCTTGACAGAAGACAGGCTATAAACTTCAACAACATAACACCACATCCCATTGGGTAAAGAACTGATTCCTATTCTTAGTTTTAAATATTTACACATAGTTTCCATTTATGTCCTCTGGTTCATATTTCATTGTTCATTATAAAGAAGTCCACTGGGTGCCTTGAAGTTTACCTACAGTACATTGTTTTGAATTTCATTTGCTACTGCTATAGTATATCGTTCACTAATTCTTCTAATGTGAATGCTCTAGAAGCTGATGATTATCAAAGACTTAAACTGAAGAGTTTAAGACACTGGACATAACTGGATGCTAGCATCAGCTGCGAATTGTCAAGGAAAATTCATAAAAAGCAACCAAGAGGGAAGTGGACCAATGTGTTAGACCTAGGATACTGCAGGGGACCTGAAAAACAAAAGTGAGACACTGGGAGTGTTGGTCATCTGGTGTGAAGTCTGCTGGAGTTGTCATATCATGACTTATTCATTTTGGAGTATTAAGGAACTTTAAGTAGACAAGACTGTGCAAGCCCAAGCTAGAAAATATCCAGGACAAGAGGGCTAACACTACTTCTCTTAAGAATGGTGCCATACAGTGTAAGATCAATATAGTGCCGTATTGTATTGGAAAATCTTGTACATGAAAAAGTGTTGTTGGTAGACCAACGGGTCTACCAGCACTACTCACAGCAGCAACCTGATTTTTCTTAAGACGTCTTCCATTCCAGTACTGTCCAGGCCCAGCCCTGTTTAACGTCTGAGATACAAGGAGACAAACTGGAACTGTAAGGTAATGTTTACACAAGCACTATTGCCATTAGTATTGATGACACATGAAACACCAAGGATACTTCCAAGATCAGTTTCTAAAGCAACCCTACAAATCAAGAATCGAAGCAAAGAGTTTGCATCCATTTTGCAGTGAGTCGTAAAATAGAAACCTAATCCAAATAAGACATAACATTCAGCTTTGGACTAAAATGTCACAATGCATTTTGCAGGTAACTAACAAACAGTCTTCATGTTCTATTTTTAAATAACTGTTCACATCTTAGTTCTTCTTATTATTTATCTAAGGTATTTGAAGATTCTGGATATTTGTGGCCAAAAAACAAGCTACACATTTTAATTTAAAACAGAATTTTCAACTTTGAAAATGAAAGTTGAAAATGAAAAAAGTTCCCTTTCATAGGAACTAAGATAAATATTAGCATTCCATAAACTTTCTGTTACACACAGAAGGTTTGGCGGAATATTTGTATGAGCCCAGAATATTTGTATGAGTAGCAGTATGGAGTTAATTAAATAAAATGCAAAACGTTTTTAAAATAAACCTAATAACTGTGCATTATATTAATCCACAAATTTCACTACAGGTTCCAACTTTAATTTATTGTTATTACTGTAGGTCAGAAATAAAATCACTTAAGACAAAATGACAAATTTTAGTACCAGTATTTAGTCCTACAGTTACCTTTCTTGTGAGGTAGGCGATTATGGAGGTGTCCAATAATCCAGATAAAGTGTGTAACACTTGGCAGTGTAAACATTTCCAGCTCCGAAGCAGAGTGGGCGTTTCCAGAGATGTAGGGATCCAGAGTCTGTGATCCAAGCAATCATACCTTGGTTTACCTTAATTAAGTTCTGGGTAAATGATTAAGTGTCAATCAGCAGTCCAGAAAGACGCAATATAAGATCAGATCAGGAGGGGAGAAAGGAAGAAAAGGTCAGTGAGAAAGGAGAAGAGGAAAAGAAACTTAAAGCTTGCGCCAGGCGATAGTCCCTACTTCATGATCATCTGAAAAAAACAAACAGATTAGAGCTACTGTGCTTCTAGTGGGTGCACTGTAGAAAAGGGAGATAGGATCGCATTTATTCTGTGGCATACGGCTTAGAGAGAGGTTTAATCGGAGGTTGTATTCTATTTAGTTTAGAAAGCAGTGTATCTCTTCTTTGGCCTCTGAAGGCATTATTTAAGAGTCAAGTACTTGGTAGCAGCCTGAGGTTTTCTGGGTGTTCTAGACATAAGTCTCTGACTTTTCTTGTCTGTAAACTTGTAAATACAGTAACTTGTGTGTTGTATGTTTCTGTTGTGTGTAGTGTAGTGTGTGCCACTGTCATTGTTAATAAATATTTAAGTGTGCCTGAATTATTACTGAATTTTCACCGAAGCTGTGCCAGATAATTAATGTGCCTCTAGCTACACCAACTAAATCCTTATAAGGTGGAGGTTATGAATATTTATTTTATTATTGACTAATACACTTGGTCAGTTCCTGATTTTCTCTATTTTTGTTAACCCTCCTTTATAACAATATACCGAAGAATATTTGCATCTTCCCAAGCCAATCATATAGCACATTCTAATTTAGAAGGGTTAGTGCACATTTCTTGGAGGTACTTTTGGAGTCCAGGCTTCCTCAGTATATACAAATGCTTTGCATCTCTGTTATCAGTCAAGCCTAAATTGGTTTAAGTCCATGTTCCCAATGCAAACAGTGCAATACTGCTGGCAAGCTATGTAGATATGCAAGTGTCTGCTTCCCTCTTAAAGGGGAACTGCAGTCCCAACTTATCAGAGCGGTTATGAAATTTTGGTGGTAAAATAAATTGCACTGCAAAATTTTACAAATTCTGAATTTAGACCAAAATCATGGACTTTGTGAAAGTACTCTATAGTCGCCATGTTAAAGTGAACTGCTGGTCTTACCACCTAGCAAGAGACAAAGCATCCCTTCCTGCACACTAGTCCCTGTAAGCAAAAAGCAGAAACTTGGTCTCCAAAATAAAAAAAGACCCTTTTTTGACTCTCAACTCATGTATACATTTCAAATGATGTCTCTGTCAAGCAGAACATAGTGGTCGCAAATAAAACAGAGGATTGGCTCAGAAGTTAAACTGTTTCCTTTTTCAAAGGTTATTCAATTAGCCAGGAGATAGGTAATAAACATGGACATTGATATTGGACCCACTAACAAGTTTCCCCAACGAGTATGAATGAATACCTAAGGCTATGCAGCAGAGATTTCAGTGTAGAAAAGTTCCAAAGTAATCTGCATGCAGAGTAACAAGTAGTATTTGTCGATAATACCATCTTGAAGTTAACAGCATTCAATTGCACAAATTGGCAGTCTAAAGATCTACAAAAACATGTTGCCTTGAATGTGTTTGTTTAATAAAATTAGATATAAATTAATACAGTACCAAATTCAATATATTCAAAGATTGTCAGTTTGGGATAGGACATGGAAATTGAAATGTATTCTGCTTTGGAGTTTACATAAGTGATTAAGCCTGACAGTTCGGAATATGAAATATATTTTAATTTTAAATACTGAACCAAAACCTGCTCAGACCAGGTGACACTCCTATCATTTTTAAGATGGATCATGTTTAAGACCTAAGTTAAGATGTGCATTAAATGTTTTTTTCTACCAGATTAAAAGAGATGGAGTACTAAGTACTATCCCAAGCTTTCTTGTTTACAATGTTATAGGGCTGCTTCATGTCACCAGAAGTTTTGTTACCTCGTTCTTAATTGCAGACAATCGACAGCAATATGGAGTGGCACATACCTGGACATTTAGTCTATTTTGTGATGTAAATTGGAGGTTTTACACGAAAACGTGTGTTGCAGTTATCCTTTAAGAAGGTCTGTAGACTAAGAGACAAGTGCACCCAGGTTTAAAAAAAAAATCCTAATTAAACCGCATTTCAACTGCCTATGCATTTAACTGGATCCAAGCACATTTCAAGCATACAGTATACTGTACAATACTAAATCATTCTGAATACAAAAAAAACAAAATACATACGTTATAATTGTGTTGTGAGTGCTTTTTGAATGCCTGCAGACAACAGAATTAAAGTGATTAATGAAGTTAAGATATACACCCAATTTTATATTCACTTCATTTTGAAGAACTAAAAGATTGTACTACTGTAATATGATATCAACCACTTCAAAAGTAAAATGACGAATTTAGCGAGTAACAGGAAAAAGATACACACAGACGATACACAGAATTTTAAACCCAGAATGTCTGTTGTTTAATCCTAAAAAAAATGACATGATTGACAACATAACCCGGCTCAGAATATTTCTGGAAAACAAACTAAAAATAAAAACAAATGTTCATGTTTTACACATCCCCCCATATTAGGGAATAATTTACTTATCAATGTTTGCATAGCAGTTTGGACATTTGCAAAGCCAATGACACTATTTCTACAATACATATTATTGGCTGCGACACTGTGAATGTGCCACACAAAAGCTACAGAGATGTTTTCTAAAACCCAACCACAAACATGCTGTGCCACAGAAGGTAAATTATTCCCTGAGAAATTAAACCTTTATATCCTGGCCTGAAGATCTGATATTTCTATGTCAGAAAAGAGTGTGGTTTGTGTGTTTTTTTTTTAAAAAAGCTCAAGTTTATGACCGCAATCTTTCCAAAATAAGAACAAAGGTAGCAATGTTAATACAGAAGTAAACAATGGCACATATTGGATATCTACTAAAAAACAAAAGAGTGATCTTTAAAGGGCAAACTTTCAACTTCCTTACAAAGTTAAATAAATTACTACCATACGTTACATAAAAATTTAATAGTATATACAGTTATAGTTATTAGAAGAACATCTATATTTGAAATGGAGATCTGACAGGAGGATTACCATGTTGACTCAGCAGGCTTTGTGTGAATTGAGTCTGTTCAAATGTACAATTTGCCACATTTTCCAGTTGCTTCTTCCCTTCTAAGAAATGCAGAACAAAGCCCTGTCTCAATGCACTATTGACTTACCCACGCACAGTGAAAAAGTACATCACTGGATTGTGAGCCAGTTTTAAAACCTAGGCTACTGTTCTCCACACCAGGGCATTACCCAGCAGTGAATGTTGTGAATTTGGTAGCAAACAAGTTTGCCTCGGATTGTTTCACTACTTGCTAGTGTATTCGTAGTTTAGGAGTCACCCCTCCAGGTAGATTCCAGAGTGAATATTTTTTATAGTGAAGCCTTAAAGGCTGTAAATCAAAACATATTTTAACATCAGACTAACTGTTAACTACTAACACCAATAGTCATACTACTTCAGTATTAAGCAGTCTGAATGAAGATGAATGTTCTTGTCCAGTTTTCGTGAATCTCACAATTTGCTTATTTACCACATCTAAAGGAACGGGGACCTATTAGCATCAATGCCAGACCTCAAAGGTAGAAAAAACACCATGGTACTTTTTTCTTTTTGTTTGAAAAGTAAATGTGATGACAAAGGGCATGACAGTATTGGCTTTTTCTTTTTAACCTTTGCTTAAAAATAATTTTCTGATTCAGCAAGAACTGTAATTATACATCTGACTTTGTCTGACTATATTAATCGCATATTAATACATGCATGAAAAAGATTCTGTAGTCATGATCTTCTCTCAGTTCTCCTGTGAAATTACACACGGACAGGATTCTATCAACACAAGGTAACATTAGAAATGAAAGATGTGGCTAATGTTGTCATCTTATTAGTGATAAAGACTGAAATGCCAGATAAAAGCATATTTAATAAACCAAAATTACAATGTACACATGATTGCAGGTAAAAAGGTCAACCATACTGTATTTTACAGTGTTTCAACAATTACCATTTACAAAATTACACCATCCTTTGGAATGATATGAAGAAAAAGGGAATTACACCAATGAAGCAGTTTTTAATTCCATCTCCGAAGAAAGCTTTTAAAATGTGAGCTTGGTGGGAAAAAGTTTAGTCTTATGTAGCCACTGAGCCATGACAATTAACATGTCTTTTTATCTGTTGGAAAAGAGTAGAATGAAAAACTACAAATCTAATAAAAAATTAATTTAATTTCAATGATGCTTTCCTGATTAAACTGAATTTACATTTCTAGCCAATGGGATTACAAGTTGTGAAATGGTGCAACAAGGTACAAGATATGTGCACGGTGCCACCTAGTTAACACCTCTGAGGCTCCGAAAACTTTCAATAAATTTGTTTAGTAAAAGCATCGCACTACTGACAATGCAGAAACACACACAGTGCTTTGTTACACAGGACCAGAAAGAGAACTGGAAATTGTGGCAAAACCCCTACACACTTTTAAAATACCATGTAACAATGAGTGCCCTGTTCTGTATCATTACACTGTACAGATATATAATCTCTCTAAAAGGCTCTGCAAGACAACATAGATTCAACTATATACAAGCTTTACAAGAAGGTAACAGCTTCTAGCTAAAACACTGCTTATTAATAAAACGACAGCTGTGAGAGAGTTGAGACTGGCTGAGACTTAAGAAATCTTTCATGACATCTTTGTCTTGCTTCTTTCGGGCAGGCAATGGAATTTCACCTTGCAACAGCTTTCATTTGATTCCCACAAAGAAAAAGTGCAAATTGCCTGGAGTATTCATTGGTTACAGCCCTGTGTAGATAACGACACCAGACTACCTTTTATTTCAATTCTTTGCCTGGAACCTGCCACACCGGTTTATTTCAGGAAAAAAGCCTGTTAGGTTTTCACATCTGTTAAAAGCAGCTTAAAATGCGATTCTGCAAATAGTGCAGGGTAGATTTCTCCCCTTTGAGTTAAGCAAATTTTGTGATGAACAAATCCTTTATGCAATTAATTTACTGAATCAATGTATTGACTTAACTCAATTGCTACTGACTGACCAAAAGGAATAGAAGGCCAATAGGGATATTATAACTTAAAGATGCTGGGCTGACCATTTGGAAAAACCTAAGAACTGGGTATTGTGAATTGTGGTTACTGTGATTGTGAATAACAATCCCTCCCAAAAGATATGAGAGCAATTGCATGTGTTTTGAAACCCTTTAAAAATGAAGCTCCTGGTTAGATGAGACCCAGCGCGTTTTTTTTTAAAAGCACAAAAGTGTGCTGGACTTTCTAGGAAATATGAGATGACAGAACTAGCAGAAGATCAGACCAGCAAGTACAAGCCTCTCACAGCTGTGCTGCGTAAACAACTGGAGCATCTACTAGCTATTCTGGGCATCCCCTTTCCCTGTGTTCTTTGCATCGTTAAGTCTTTTTTCATTTTGCATAAGTTAATAATCACAACAAAATATATCCCTTGTTCTCCTTATGCTTCCCTTACATTTTAAAACATTAATAGTGGTTTCTTACAAAATAAGAAGAAAAAGGAAAATGACAAGTATTGTTGGTGGCGGCTTTGTAAACAATCAAATTTAAAAGCTCTCTTCACTAGGCTAAATATGACCCTTATTCTCTGGCATTTGCTTGACAAACTCAAACGGTGAAGGTTTTTCTACAGAATCCTTGCTGCTAAAGATAAGAACACACATAATGATGTTTAATTACATTACATTAAAATGCAGAACAAAATGGTTCACTTTAAATCCTTCATGACCAGTGAGAGGACTTCCTGTATTGACACTTCTGTTCAAACACCAATGAGGGAAGCACGAGTGTTTCTACCTTTTCATTTGCTTTGTGAAACAATGGTTCATACACACATTAATGTCAGCTGGATTGAGATGCAGCTCTCTGGGCGGAAGGAGCCGATTCTCTCTGATATCACATACAACAAGGCCAGAACTGTACTACCCCCAGAATAAAGTGCAACGGACAAAACACAGTAAATGAGGCCAGGTCACCTTATAGATCTTAATCCATTGATACAAGACCGCTGCTTATATCAGTGCTGATGAGAGCCACATAAAAGGAATAATCGATTCTGGCTAAAAAACAATAACCCCTCTTAAAAAAACAGCCATAACTCTTTTTTTTCCCCTCAGTGTCTCTCCTATGCTATGCCCCACTCTATCTAAAATCTATCACCTGTGTGGAAAACATGAACATGTTTACATCACCAGGCCTCCATATTGGCAGATCAGTGATGACGTCAGATTGAGAACTTTCCAGCCAAACATCAGCAAAGGAATACCAGTTAGGTATATATGTGGTCTGGAGAGAGCTGTGCTTTGTCCAAAATGATGCTTCGCACTTTTCTTTATGAATTCAAGAGTAAACAGTGGTAATGTAAGGTGGTTTATTGTATCAGTAACTTACCAGGGCTGTTGTAAAACAAAAAGACAACAGCATAGCCTTAGAAGAATTGGAAAAAAAAGAACACTGAAATACGATGTGACATCATCAGTTCGATATCACCAATACTGAACAAGGTCACCCCAACACGCTTCCGTTCAGGCTTCACGGAGCCTCCAGAACTGTCCACTGGAGCGGTCTAATGTTTCAGTTCCCACAGTTCCTCTCCAGCGCGCAGCAGAATCACACTCCTTTTCCTTGGAGGAAATGCCTTGCTTTTGAATAGCCCACCCTGATTTCTCTTTCAATTTATGCATCAGACAAGCAACTCTGTATACAGTCTATCCATATCTGAGCACTCTGGCTGTCTTGTGCACAGAAGTTGTAAACCCTTTTTGTCGTCTTCAGCTGCAAAAAGAAAAAAAAACATAGTCACATCTGAGAGTGTCAAAACAAGGAGCTTAATTATATTGCGTTAACAGATTTAACAACATTGTAAGGTTATACATTTTTATTTGCAAAATTACTGCAGAGTGACAGCCCTACAGGCTTTGCTGAACATTTAAAAGCATCAGTGGCTTAAGGCTGTAGCAACAAGAGTGATTTACACCATTGAAGTCAAGACCCTATTTAATGAAGTCGTTAGAGGTCAGACTGGATGAAATTCCCCTGGGCCTCAAGGACTCCAGTCTATTCTGATTTTTACCCCGCTGCAGAGCTTAACTGAAGATTAAGTGATAAATTAACTTGCTTAACTAAATGTTTGGTTTTACTTCCAGCTTTTTAAGAAAATAGCAGAAAAAAAAACATTTTAAAGTAGTCTGAAGTATCCAACCATCTGCAGAGCCGAAAAACAATTTAAAACGGTGGAATTAAGACAACTCAAGTTCAACTAAGGTTGGAATTAGGAGCAGAGGACACAGAAAGTGGTACAAACCCATGAGTGAGAAACCCTTATATGGGCTCACCAGGTCAAAAGAGTGAGTGCCACACGTCTGCCTACCCACGCCTTTCCAAAGCTGTCTAGGTCAGTGAAGGAGATACACGCACCATTTGATACAGATTTTATATAACAGAAAAAATTGTTTTCGCAAATACTGGTCTGTCAACCTTGACAGATGCCCCCCTGAAGTTCGTAATTTCCTGTATGTTCTTAACCTTGATATAGCTCAGCAGTAAAACCAGACTGATTGTATTACGATTAAAAAATGTCCAACAGTGTGTATGACCAGACAGACTTCCATTCTGTTTATTAATAAAGAAGATCATCTGGTAACTTGAGAAAGAGAGAAGAAAAACTAGCCTTTGAGAAAGCAGACTTACATCAAAGAAGGCTTTTTCGTCCACATTTTTGGGGGCTCCCATGGCTGGGTTCCCAGGGGTGACAGACTCCACTTCAGCAAGATCAATCACTCCCTTGCACTCCTTATCTTGCCGGTTTTCATAGTATCTTAGCTGGAATGCAAAGCAAGAGTATAAGGGTTCATGTAGGCTGTTCATGTATGCTTGAATGCTCTGATACTGTACGATTCAGAAGTATTGAAGTGCTGAAGGCTAAAACAGTTCAGAGTTCCAGTGGTGTCAAGCTGGTGTCTGCTGTTCAGTCTACTGTTCATCAGCTTAACCTTAGTCTGGTGTACCTGATGCTTTGTTTTGTCCAACACAAACCAGCGAGGCCTCCAAGGCTTCAATAAAGCACCCTTCTTGTAGAGTGTCCCCTCAAAGGATCTAGAAAGGAGAGAAAGAGTCAAAGAGGCATTCACACATCAGTAAGCATATGGGGGGGGGACGACAAAAACCTTTTTCGCAACAAATATACTGTATGTGCTCCTTAGTGCAAGCAGCAAGCTCTGTAACTACATGCTCTATCTAGTGTGAATCACAGAAATCATAGAAATGTGTCCAGTAGTAAAGACTTTAACATACATTAACTTATAAGAAGTTACGATAAGACAAGTGATAGTTATGATATGACAGATAAGTTATGATTATAAGACAGGGGGAACTCTATTATTCAACTTATCAATATGATTAACAAAAACCAAACTCTTAATTTATTCGTAGTTCAGGTGGGTAATTTTTAAATTTGATCTAGTTTCAATTTATTAAGTAGACACTGTGTAAAATGTTAGTGTACACCATTCTCATTCTTCTTCAGTGCCTATTTGGTAACTGGGCCACATTTAACATAACAATAAAACCATGTAAGCCAGTCCTTTGAAGTAGTTTGCAACGCTTTCCTAATGAATGATTATGCTTCAAAAAGAACAAGTTCATTTATTTTTTCTTAGGCCCAAAGCAAAGTTTTGTGCATTGTTGGTGAATATTGGTACAATTTTACCTCCAACATTCCATTCTGACGCAACATTGGGCAATTCTGCAGCTCTTTGCTCTAGAGTCTAAACCCTAATTTATGAGAAGTTGTCTTTCACAATGAATATACATTCATGTACAGATGTACAGAAGAGATCTACCTGCATGTTTTAAATCTATTAGTTTGGCTGCTGCACTTTGGCCTAAGTCTGGCAAAACATTCAGAAAACTTAAGCACTGCCAAATGCCTGGCAATAAAAACTGTAGCAAACCAGAATTGGATAAATATGTTCAGCAGTCCATTTGACTTTTTCTACAAACTTTAATTTTCACAAATGTTATTTTTTCTACAATATTTGCCTTCTTCGGGCCAATACAGGAGCTAGGAAAGGCTTCAGACCCCCTGCGACCCGGCATTGAATGCAGTGGTCAGAAAATGGATGGATGGATGGATGGATGGATGAATTTGCCTCCAAAACCATCTTCAGTGATATCAGCCGCCCTCTTCAAGATGACTTCAGAGGAAAGTAAAACTCGAAAGCTCTACAGTAAACTGAAATTTGCTGAAACTTCTGTCCTGTGATATTCAGCTCTTCAGACCATTCCAGCGTGCCCCCCCTCACCTGTGCTCGCTCTCTGTGGTCTGGAACTGGCTGTACAGAGTGCTCGTGCTGGGCCGTCCCCCTGCCATGCTCCCGGAGGGGGTGGAGGTGGCACTGCTTTCGCTGTCCAGCGACAGGTTGATGGACGAGCCCATCCTGTTCTCCTGGAGGTAGACCCCCTGTGATCGCCGGTGATGACTCAGGTTGGACGACATCAGTAGAGAGGTGGAGAGGGTCTGTTAGCAGGACAAAAGGGGGAGAAATAAGACCCTGCTGTGGAAACAAACCAGTCAGGAGTATTTTGTTAAAGTTGACCTCAATACACAAAGTGGAGGAAAGAGAAAACCGCAACGGTAACTGCCTGAGCTGATTAGTCCCGGCAGTATGTTTAGATTGTCATTAAGTAAAGTGAATAACATGACCTCTGGTCTAAAACCCAAAGGAAGTTGGTATTCTATATTGCAATTTAATCTGTATATTTAACATGTTTTCATTAAATAATAATAATAATAATAATAATAATAATAATAATAATAATAATAATAATAATAATAATTTCAGCAACATTTACCAAATGTTGATGCTGCTAGATGCTTGTGTTCGACTTACCCTGCTTTCAAGCTTGCTGTCTGTTCGCTGTGTGGCTTTGATCTTATCCCAAGTATCTTTCCACTTCTCTGACACCTGACCTAGTTCCACCTCTAGTGACTGGAGCTCCTATTCAACCAGTAAAGAAAAAAGTCAGAACTGAGGAAAACACACTTCGTTTCCACACGACTGTGTACTTGACATGAATACTTGCTTACAAGCTAATAATAATTATAGGCAGTGTAGAATGTGCAAGAATGTAACCTGTACCATCTCTTCAGCAGAGTGAGAAGGGATCTTTAATGACCACAAGACAGATAGCGCCATCTATTGGTCCTGCGACCTGACTTTCCTTGGGTTTTACAGCTAAGCTCTGACAAGACTTGTTTTAGCTTCAAAGGTCTAATGAAATCAGGCTTCAAGGTGGCACTGTTGCCTCTCAGGCATGGTGGCCCAGGGGCTTTGCAACATCAGATTGTGTCATCAGCACTATACAATGTATATTTATCCAAGACAAAAACTGAATGCATTTATTATTCCAAAGGATTACACAATGTTTAACATACAGGAATGGATGATGTGTGCCAGGAACTATGTGCTAACAGCCCCAATACACAGCAGTTCAGGTAGCTAAAATGAGCTGGAACTTTAGGTAGATTGTGCAAGCCCAGAGTGGAATTTAGGCAGAATACCAGGGTTCACACCCACTACAAACAATGCCATAGTATCTTTAAAGACAGAGTAGTCAAGACCTCAGTGGTAACACTGATGAAGACATAAAGTTCTTAATGTTAACTAATAGTTAAGCTATAATTTAGTTACACTGATGTTAACACCACTACAGGGCAATGTTCCCATAAGAAAATTTTCCATTTTCCATTTTTGAAGTTTGCATTTTCTAACAGTTTCATGCACTTTATGGTCACGGGGAGCTGGAGTCTATATTGAGTCTATATGGAGTCTAATTTTATTTGACTTTCTCTTTAATTTTTCTCCCCTTGTTCCTTTGCAGCTCACACGCTGATGCAGCTCTGCACTCTAGCCTATTAAAATACAGGACTGGTAAGGGTAACTACGAAACAAAAATCTGGGGCGACTCGCAAATTAATAGATAAGACACCTGATGAAAACTTTACAGCTTTTACTTGAGCATTTACAAAATGTTCTAAGATAAGCATTCTTTATCGAAATGCAAGTACATAAATGAAGGACTTGATAATCTTTGTTGAATGATGGTCCACTGGTTTTGGTCTTTTCCCACTTCATAGAAAAAAAAGATACTTCTGATGGAAGAAATGTTTCAATAATAATTATTTAATAAATTAGTATCTTGTAGTTGAAAATGTAAAACAAAGAATCCAACTGTTTTTTTTCCCATAGTCTACAGTGTGTGGTAATTATAACTCAGACAATCCAGGAACTGTTAAGATGGTGTATAAAACTGATTTGATGTTTTTAACCCAATTATTATAAGGAAGCAGAAAAAATACTGCATTCCTTCCAGGCACTGATTTTTTAAAACAAGTTATAATTATTAACCAAGCTCATGTGCAATAGGACTGTGCCTTCTCTCCAGCTAATTCTATAACACATTCGTTTCTGTAGTTTTGCAGGGTCTGCGCCTGTGGCTGGAAGGTTGCCGGTTCGTATCCTGCGGCCGGCAGAAGAATCCTACTTAGTTGGGCTCCTGATCAAGGCCTTTGACCCCAACTGCTCCAGGGGCGCCGTATAAATGGCTGACCCTGCGCTCTGACCCCAAGCTTCTCTCCCTGTCTGTGTGTCTCATGAAGAGAAAGTTGGGGTATGCGAAAAGACAAATTCCTAATACAAGAAATTGTATACAGCCAGTAAAATGATCTTATCTTACTTTTACTTTATGAAGTTAGTGAAAATCCTTAGGGACCCTGATGTGGTTATCATTGTGAAAACTGGAATAACAAATTGCAAATAATGCTTTGAACAAAAGGGCAAACATAAACCTGAACTAGACAAATCTCCTTTTACCTATGTCTAATTATAACCAAGAAAGTCCATTTTAACAGCTCAAAACCCTGTTAAAATCTCTAAAGAACTATTGTCCTTACTTTGCAGGATTAGTTACATGCACCAAAGTGGATGCCAAAATAAAGAACATAAAATGTACTACCTGACTGCAAAAGTACAACAGTTGTCTTGGGAGGTGATATAATAGTAAAAGAATTCTTGGAAGAAGTTGGAAGTGCTGGGTTTTAATGGCCAAGATTTTAACAAATACGTTTTTTAAAAACATGTGTGGAACTAAGGGGCAATATTACAGAATAGACATGTAAATTTACACATGGGCTGAAAGGTCAAATAAATTTATACAGGAAAAAGTAATAGGTTTATTCCATGCTGAAAAAAGGAAGAAAGAGAACACAACGTTTCGGCCGTGGAGCCTTCTTCAGGTGTCAGGTTGCCGGTTCATATCCACAAATAAATGTATGTTTTCATCACGTCTTTTTTTATATTTGGTTGTCATGTGGTAAAACTGCACTGGTTCAGCCAGTGAAATAGTATATTGTAGTATTTTACACATTTTCACAGAACTGTAACGAGATGAATACTAAAATCTTATTACTAATATTACTGTACTTTAATTTTATTAAGCATAGAAAAAGTTGTTTTTCCCCTTTTCTTTTACCAGAGAGCTGCACATTACTAATATCTTATTTCAGATCTACTAAAGGTGCTTTATTTCCTATTGGACATTAAAAGCCACACTTAAGCACACTGAAAGTGATAAATTATATGTGCAAATCTATCTTCTGTAGCTGGCAATCATTCGATCCTGAAAACAAAACAGTTACGTTGGTTATGGTATTTGTGCCAAAGCTGGTGTGGGGAGGCACATATGCAGTAACACTAATAGTGTATGTTAATGGGAACTTTACACATTAATACACATCATGTGATCCTGAAAATATCTGGCTCTCCAAGACAGATTGGAACTGAAGAACAAAACAATACTATTGCAGCACGCACCTGCAAGAGTTTAGTGATGGCATCTGGCTCCACTTTGCTCCTGTTATCATAGCACGGCCAGATGATCTTGCGCTGTGACTTGGCAGCTGTGGTGTCCTGACGTTCGCCTTCCTCAGTCTGCTCCTGCTGTCCCTGTACCAGCTCCCAATCGTACGAAGGGCCTTCTGACAGGGTTTCTTCCGTGTAGAAATCCCAGACCTTCAGGTTGGAGATGTAACTGTACGGCTTCAACACCTGGCAAAAAGCCAAACAGAGCTTCTGTCGTTCTGCAGTGCACTACAGGAACACATGGTGGCGCCACAAGCACATTGTAATAAGCGATCTGCTCATAAACACAAAATCTCACCTCTCCATCCTCTGGGGCAAACATGTAGTTAAAGAAGATGGGAGTTTTCTTGTTCAGCCGATCAATGTAGTCCCAGACTGACTTGTACACTTGCTGGCTTTTTCTTTCACCTTTCTCCTCATACATTACACCTGCGGAAGTTTTTGATACATGTGATTTGATGCTATAGATCCTCTATCAGAAAGCATTACCCCAAATCTGTGGCGTTAGTGGCTACGCAGCTACACTGACCTTTTCTTATTTTTAAGACCACTTAAATTTTAACGCTGCTACAAAATAAAGTCACACACAAACTAGTGGAATGCAACTGTTTAAGCAAAGTGCTTTGATTTCTCTTTCACATCTGCTCGAGTCTTGAAACTTGCATTCACGGTCAATGTTAAGAACTTTCAGAACCCACATTCAGAAGTTCACAGATGTGTCCTTGCGGTTGTCAGACACAAGAAGAAACCTTGTTCTCCAAATCTTGAAACAATACAAGTGCATATACAGTACAGTACGCAGTACGTGACATTTTCCTCACAGCTGTGATGTCAAGCAGACAGCCAGCTCAAGGACACATTCCTAAAGGCAAGCTGATATCCTGAGGTCACTGAAGGGTGATTTTAATTTTTAAGTTTGCAACTTTTCAGGATATGAGAACCGGAAAAAAAAAATACAGGTGCAACACTTCAAAATTCAGACAATACAAAGTGACATGGAATGGTGTTTTTGAGAATCTACACTACGTAATCACTAAGTAATGACTGGATGGCAATGTTTACCATTCGTGGCTAAAATTATTTCTTGACAAGGCTTATGAGGACGTGAGTGCAGTTATACATAAAAAAGCCAACATTTAACTGATAGATTAGACTGACAATTGTTATTCAGACACAGAAGAAACGTTATGTAACTACCAAAAGAATGTGTTATTCAATACAACAAACTTGGAAAGAATTCAAAACAAGTCAAAAGATTAGCATTTTACCACCTCTATTCATACATCTGGATAAAGAGTTAATTATAAAGTAGCATATGTAGGTCAGGTAACAGTGTGTGACTCACTCAAGTCACAGACAAGTTTATTACTGTAGTTCACATAAAACATTCACCTACAATAAAGCAATGCTGTACTACATTTTCTGCAATGTCATACTGATAAGAAAACTTAAAAACCATGGCTGAACTGGTTATTTCAGGTTTCATTGTTATCTGGAAATCTCACCAAGCTCGATCCTTTCATAATCTGAATCAAGCAAGAAGGTCCTGAAGCGGTTAGATACATAGTGGTAGGCAAGGAACTTCAGGTAGTACTGGCTGAACTCAAACTCCATTGGAAACTGAAGATGAATCTGAAAGGAGGGGGAACAAAAGGTGGTTACCAGCGTTTTAATGCCATTGCTTTCTTATTTTCACAAACCTAAGTCTTAAGGTGAGTTTGTTGCTCATATCTGGCCGTGTTCCAATATGCACACTTGTGGTCTTGTGCCCTTCCTATGCACATTCCCACTCTCAGGTCTGCAAGGGTTTAGAGTGTCCCATTTCCAATTTGGAAATTTCTAATGAAATCTTATTTTCTAATTATTATTTCATAGTTTCTAAGTGCTCACGAGTGCGACCAATGAGCCCTTAATCCCCCCTTCTCTGATGTCGGCATCAGAGCAGTCCTTGCTGAATGGAATTACTCAGAACTGCTTGCAGAATGGTTTCCTTTTCTAACGTATGAAAACAGAAAGAAGTTGCCATGAAGAATAAAAACACTCATGTGCAAATCTGACTTTTTTTTACAGTTTTAAAATATTGATAATATTTTATGTAAAAAATAACTAGGCTACTTTAGATTCAAAGGAACAAGCAATAGGTTTATTCCATGCTGAAAAGAGAAGAAAGAAAACACAATGTTTCGGCCATGGAGCCTTCTTCAGGTGTGAGAAAGAGAAGGCAGTAAACAAAGGCATGGAATAAACCTATTGCTTGTTCCTTTGCATCATACGCGTGCTGACGCAGCTACCCACATGAACTACTTTAGATTCGTATGCATTCTAGGTACAAAGTGTTGACAACTTTTTTTATTTAGATCCCCCATTTCAACAGGATATTAATTCACCTACGGTGTATTTCGTACATAGAAAGAAAGAATTTTATAGTACAAAACTCTGAGGTATTGCCAAGTTTACCTTATTTAACTTTGACTACTTTGAAGCAATCCTGTGCGAAGTGGATGAACATGTTATGCTCATCTTACTGTTATTTTTTTACTGCGACAGACGAGATTAAATGTATTTAATGGTACATACTGTATCTGAATAAACAGAGAGAGGTATTGCCAATCTTTCCCTAGTTTACGTTGCCCGGTTTGAATCGATCTTGCTCAACATGCGTGAACGGGGAGTGTTCCTTTAACGCATGGATCTTTCATCAATATCCGAGTGGAGAATATTTTTTTTTTTTAAATAAATCTCTGCAGATGTGCATTTTGCCTCTGGAAGCATCAAAACCAGAAGGCATTTTGACTGTATAACCAACGAGCAATGTCATGCGAGGGTGTGTCATTACCCTTTTTATTACAGTGCTCCCTTAAGTGCTTGCGCAATTTAAGTCCACATTAGCTCTATATCACAGAAGTGCAGACCTGGAAGGAAGGGCTTAGGATTTAGTGCGGCATTTGGGACATGTCCTTTGAGCACATACTGTACAACATGAAAACAAGGGACTGTTTTAGTTTAATAGAGATCTAACGTGATTTTTCAGTTTCCCCAGTTACTTCCCCCACATAAAACGTGTCAGGTTTTAGCATCTTCAAGTCTTGCAGTCAGTCATCTATGTTTGGCTTTCAAGAGAGGTGCACTAAATTAATCGTGCACAACTATCCTGTTACTCTGTATTGTTCTTTACCTCAGCTTGATATAGAAATAAACAAGATAGGAAGAAACAAGAAAAATATTTATTTAAGAGCAGGACATGTAAGTTTATATTGGCATCCAAGTCCAAACAGATTGGGAAGGAAATACATTACACTAATGATGCTGACAGGCCTAAGAAAGTATATGCCCTACAGTGTAGGAGGGAAGAGTACATTCATACCTGATGAACACAGTCCAGAAATTGCAAGAAGACAGGAGTAAAGCCACTACTCTGGCTGGCTAAGGTCTGAGCCCCTCGGTGACTGAAGCGATGGCCAAACGACAGCCACTCCTTCTCCACCAGCAACCGGAAGCCATCGAAAGTCCTGTAGTAAGGATCTGACAGCAGCTGTACCAGGGATACTACCTGCAAGGCCAAACAGAGTGCAATTGGATTATCACCGTGAAAGGAACATAGAGGGGCACAACGAGAAAGCTAGTTTATTTCTGTAGTATTTTGTCGATTCTGAGGCACTCCGCATCCAAGCTGTCTCAGCTAAGTGCAAGGATGAAGAATTAATTTACCTGTGTAGTAATGTCCCAGCCGTCCTCCAAGCTAACCATTACTGAGGAGCCAGTATCCAATAACTCTACCACCAACACGGAAACCTGGAGAATCTTGTGCAGCTGCAGAGACAAAATAACTAAGTTCAGGATACAATATGCTCTGTGCCACATTGTGAAATGAATGTACATGACGGTCATTATTTTATCTACAATTTTCAATTAATGTTAAGCATCCTCGTAACATAATACAACTGATTATTTCATTGCAATGGAACAAATAAACAAGAACTCGTTACCAGGCACATCCATTCAGATTCCTCAAGGCACCGGTAGAAAGTCATATGGGGGTCTGAGCTGGGAACACAAGCCTTCATTAACTTTTTAAAGCTCGCCTTCACCTGCCTCACATCAAAGACTTCAATGGGCACCACTTCCCACTGCTGAAAAGAGTCCTGCTTGGCACCCTATGTAGAGGAAGTGAAAGAGAACAAAACACACATTTGGAAATAATATGGAAATTCTAACAGGGTACAGCACAAAGAAATAGAAACTTGTAGTTAACTTTTACTATCTTTGCATATAAAGTCAAAAGATATTTATCATTATTAAATCCATGCTGAGTCACATCAGTACAGTATGTTACCTTTAGCTGAGACTTGTCTCCAATGATATAAAGGTATGCTCTCTGCTGTCGGAGAAAGTGGGCCTCAGATGGCCCTCCATTGGCCTGTGGTGAGGTGTCTTTTCCTGCCAGCCGGGTTCCTATATCTGGATTATAGCTGCTTATTCGTCCACTGCCACGGATACTGCCCCATTTTCCTATAACACACATGGGATCAAGCTGCATTAGACTCAGCACAGCCTGAGTGAATAAGGCACAGCCACAGATCATGTGACTGAGTGGTGGAAAAATAGGTTTAGCCTAGACAACCATATGCTCGTTCTAGATGAAAGACGGAGTAAACACTGAATAATCGCAACTAAAAGAAGAGAGAACTATGCATCGATTCCTCAACTTCGGTGACTATCAGTTCCTGCTCTTGTAGAACCACAGTCCTGCGTGTTTTGTAGGGGACCCGAAATCAATGACACTGGGAAATTCAATTAAATCATTAATAGCCTGCAGAGGATTAATATGGAAGAGCCATAGTTACAGTATGCTTTAACGGAAATACACAGATAGATAAAATAAAATCCCAGCAATTTCAAACACGTACTTAAATACACCTGACCTTTGTTTTGGATTTTAAATACTTTGAAAATTATTAACAAGACAATGAAAGTCCCAAGACAAAATCAAGGTAAACTTCTGCTATTTACCAAAAGGATTCCATTCCATGAAACTCAAATAAAAGGTAGAAAAGATGAACTGGGTACAACGAAGAATGGATTTTTTTTTACCACATACATCAACTGAGAATGTTTTTAAATTTACAATGATGCCATTGTTAGTCATCTTAGATATGGTAATATAACACCACTTTTCAAGGATGTATCCAGTAATCAAAGTAAATATCATAGTTATACACCATTAACAACAAAAACAAACACAAAAAAATAATAGACTGTACTGCTTATCTCCAACTGTCCTCAATGCAGAAAAACATTTATTCACTTACTCACACAAATGCCAATTATAATCCAGATTAAAATAAACACTTGCCTAAAAAAGCAATGCAAGTGGCCTTTTAATTTTTTTTTCAATGTTCTGCATTAGATACATAAATGGGCTCAAATACCTAGAATTATTTTTAGTCATATTGATTTTGGTTTTCTTTTTGGAGCAAAACAAGACAGCTTAGGGACAGAATCACAAATTTAAGGGCACAATGAAGTTCATTCTGATGTGTAGATAAACTTCTTTCAAGCTAAGGTATATCAGTAAACATAGAACACTGGACTCTACACAAAAGAATCAGCAATGTGTTCTGTTTTGGTAGCATTTCAACTAGAGCAATGAAAAAGACTGCATATTCAATATTATTCCAAAGTTGCACAGCTTTGTTAGATGCTGTGCTGCTAAAAGTGAGAAACTATAAAAATGTGTCTCTATATATTTCAACAAAGCAGATTTAAAGATTAACATGACAACACACGACATGATCAAAAAAGGTTAAAGTTTAGCAGTAAATCACAACATAATTTGTTAAACTATAATTGGATTGTAGAAACAAAATCAAAACGTTAGTTCTGTAAGACAGAGACAATGATTAACAATTAAAGAGACTGGTTAAGACAAGCTGACACCACTGTTAGAATACCATATGGTTAGGTTTCAGTTGAAGCCAGTGGTTTGGTTTACTATACCTCTTCGAGTGCTTCTTGCCTTCACTGAAGCTCTAGGTTGAGAGAGAGAGATGACCCTAGCTCTTTGACCTAGCACTGAGGTTAAATAGGACAGAGATTCCTATTACACAAAGTGTATAAAATAACAATAAAACCGCTTCAGACAAAATGTGAACTGCTGGCATGGAATTTTCCCCCAAAAAACTAAAAAATGATAAAAAAAAGTCATTACTGATAGAAAACAGAGCAGAGTCACCAATCAATGCATGCAAAAGCCATGTAAGAAATCCCTCTTAAAGGCTTTTATGGGTTGCAGGTATACAGGAAGTTGAATTGATCAGTTTACTGTTAGCAGTGAGAATAAGGTTCACTTGAAGTGATGTTCAGGAAGAAAATAACACAGTTTAAAGACCCTGGATTGGAAGTCTCCCCAGAGTAAAAGAAAAAAATGATTCTTAGATGTTAACTGAGAAACTGTCACATGATTGATGGATCTTATCCATTTAAAAGTACTCTGAGAAACAATGGAAGACGTAAAATGAAGAATGTTTAGATAGGAAGCAGACGAAAATCACAACACAGCCAGAGATGATAATGGCAAAAAGCCAGATTTCTTACATATGAGATTCTAGTTCAGAGCATTTCTCCTTGAAGGAGGAGGTAGTATCTACTAAGGCTGGGAAAAATATTCTACATGCACAAAACAAAGGTTGTTTAGAAACATCATAATCTTGGATATGTATACATAAATGTCAAGGTACAGACTGAAATACAGTATGCAAAGGAGCAAGTTAAAGGTTTATTCCTTTCTGAAAACAGAAGAAAGGAAACACAGTGCTTCAGCTGTGGGTGTGTCAAACGTTGCCTTTCTTCTCTTTTCAGTATGGAATAAACCTTTAACTTGTTCTTTTGCTGACGCAGCTACCTACTTGAAATACGGTATGGTTGCTAGTTCTTTAAACTACAGATTTCAGTCTGAAGTATAGCAGTTGTAACTCACGGCAGTAAGGAGTAATTGTTTTTTGCTGGTGCAATTGCAGATCTTTAAAGTAAAGGTTACTGCCATGAAAGAAAAGCAATGTACCTTGTTAAGTACAGTATCATTATGGTAGAGTCAGGGTTAAGATTAAGGCTAACGTTACTCACACCAACAGCTTTTGTCAAAGGCTATGTGGCTCACTTAGTGTGAGCATGGTGCTTGGTCCATTGAGGAAGACTGAGGGATATCCAACTATTCGTACCTGTGACAGAAATGATTCTTGCCTTTGTTTCCTACAACCTGGACAAACCCTGGGGACTTTATTTTCAATCTGAATTAGTAAAACTGCCATTTTTTCATCAAAGGTATATACACATGATAGTGTTCCACTATTCATCTAACCCTATATGATTGTGCTGACTGATTACTTTGTTTTATGAAGAAAGTTAACACACTTGTTTGTTTGTTTTTTGAGATGTGACAAGGGACAATGAGAAAAAACAAGGAAACAAGAAACCAATATTTTGATAATTTACAGGAAGACACATTACGTTGATCTGGACCAAGACATATACACAGGGCAAATTTAAAACTGGATTTAAAAAGGAAACAGGAAAAGGAAAGTAGGAAAAGAGGTGTAGCCTACTGTACTTAAAAATGAGAAACAAAGCTATAAACTGCAGCATGCTGCCAGCTTCAAGGGTCTTGCTGTATGGAATTTCAGAAAGATTGTGTGAAAGGGCCAAGATAAAAACATGACCAAATGCAACAGCGCTGACCTGGCTGACCTGGTGATCCCCCTTGTGAGGGGATTCCTGTTTCATGCAAGAAAGCAAAACAATGCACCTTTAGCTGTTAGGTAGAAATTGAAACTTGAAAGCTTTGATCCATAATTGTTCCTGAAAAAAAAGCTCAATTTCGGCATTTATGCTTTTTCTTTGAGTTCATGGAATGTATATTTGCTCCCTTATGCTTCTTTCATACACTGAGCTTCGTTTCCTAAAGGTGAGTCAAAAGCCCACTCATGTAACACTGTGTGGCCACTTTAGATGGTTCTAACAACTGTGCATGACAGTACATACAGTATACTGGTTATATCGATAAGACAGTCATCTTTTCACATGTCTGTCTACATCCTGAGAGCAGACTGCATGCTCTGACTACGACTTCCACGCAAGATGTGTTATTTCCACATGGACACTCAGCCAAGTCACAGGAGGTAACTGGGAGGAGGTATGGAAAGAGTAACAGTAACATATTCAAGAAGACTAAGCAGAACGCTGAGCAATCAAGCACTTAATGAGAAACACTAGAACGAGGTAAGAGGACAGAAGTGCTGACAGAAGTGCTCTATAATATCCGCTGTTTTGGTAACCCACAGTTAAAGCAGATTGACGTCTGCTCTATTTTCCCATCAGCAATGTTTACTGGCTCTTTGCAAAAACAAAAAGGACAGTTGGATAAAATTAACCTGACATGTATTACTAATATTTCATGTGTTCAAAAAGCTTTAATTGCTGCATGAAATATCGCTTAATTTAGGACAATATATTGTATATGAATAAAGGATATATATATATATGGTTAAATTCAAGTCTAATATCTCAGGTTTCAGCTCCTTTTTTACTTTTTGATACTGAAATATGATTCTAAGAACCTTGAAAATAACACAGTTTATACTGCAAACATCACCAAATCATCTCCCGTTGAGTTGACCACAAATGAATGACGTGAAAAATGCAGTTAACTTGCTACCTATGGGCGCTGCAAAACATATGGCTGCATGCAGAACACAGCACGATGGCAAGTAGTTATGAAACAAAAAAAATGTTTGAGAGGATGGAGTGACCCCTCGTTTTTCTTTCTGCGGATAGCATTGGGGTTCACCTCACCTCCCCTGCTAAAGGTACCTGGAAGCTCCTCTTTGGTGCCCATCACCTGCTTCATCAGAGCCCCAATCTTTGGCTGCCTCTGCTTATCTGAAGAATCTGAAATACAGCCACAGACACATCTTCAAATCACTGGTTCAAACATCTGCTTATCGAACATTTCAATTTGAATTTACTCCACAGAATTACATGTAGGTGGGTTTAGTCCTTTCCAGCTATTTTTTAGAAGCACAGAAGTTACTGTAGAAAAATGTGCCAAAACATTTCTTAAGTTTTAAAGCATTTAAGTCCATTATGTTTGTTCAAGCCAGCTCAGACAAATAAATGTTTTTTAGTTGGGCTACATGGAAGGGGACTTATAAAAAAAAAAAAGTACTAACTACCAAATTAAATATTTGTTTAATTAAATTGATTTAATACAAAAACTACTAGTCTCTCAACTCTATTAAAAAGAAAGCAAGATTGATTCATTATTGATTTTATATACACAGTTTCCTGGAGTTGTACTCCATCATGCTCATGCTGTTGATTTTGAACTGGTAAAAAAAATATATTGTCAAGTTATGAGATAAGTTGAATAAGTAACAGATGTAAAATCAATAGAAAAAAAAATGATTTTAAAAACTGGTGATCCAATACAGTAATTACTGTGCACCTAAAATATAAATGCTGAAAAGGGGGAGAAAAAAAGGCATAGCCATCGATCTTCTTCATCAGCTTAAAAAGATTACATTGACAAATTAAGGAACCATGCTGTAATACAAAAAAAATGCTCTACATTTTGTTTAATTCCATTGAATTCTGGCATTTACCAGATAACTCTCTTAGTTATCTGGTAAAATCTGTGGGGTACTTTGACCAGATAAAATCTGGAATTCAAAATATTTATTTATTCAATCATGTCTCATTATTAATATTATTCATGTATCACTGAATTCATCTCATTTGTCTCCTCCTCAGATCTGTTACTCACAGATTTACGACACCTCATGATGGCATCATGATGAGCTCCCCCAGGCCCTATTACGTATTTAGATTAAATTACAGAAACAAAAACAAAATAGAACGCATCATCCACCAGGCGCTAGCTACACAAACACCTTAACCTTAAGAAGGAAAAGAAATTGTGGAATATTAGGTAACAATCTAGAAAAAGCCATAAAAGAATGAAAGTTTAAAGTGGTTTTACTGAAGATACAACCATGGAGTGCAGCTGACAGCTAAAAAATATCTTCCTGAAATGACAGAAAATCCATCTCTTCCATTATTGGTATTGTGGTGTGTGGAGAGGTTATTTCAGGGGGTTTAGTGCAAGCTAACCTGAGCTGCTCATGTGTGCAGAGGTGAAGCCACTTAGTGTGTTTCTTCCACTGGCATCTGAGTAGGAAGGCATGGAGTTGATAATGGCTTGTAGATATTTCTCTTGCTCCAGACTGGTGGAGTCTGTCTGGGAGGGTCCTGGAGAAGACAAAAATATACTGAGAAGCCCATAAAGTCCATATATTTTAACAAAGAAAATAATCTAAAAACTAACTCTCATTTAGTTCTGGGAGAGGCACGCTACACTGCATGAGTAACGTAATACCACAAAGCAAAAAAAGAAGAAATTAGCGTCACTTGTTTATATATAGATAGAACCACAGTTAAAATTCCTGATCGAGAAGTCACAAGAAATGCTCAGTCTACACAGCGGCTGAAGTTTCCTTTAGATCATTTTCAATTCCCTGCTTTTGTTCCTTGTGGTCTGACTGGCTTCAGTTCCAGAATCCTGTAATCTACTGTGGTTAGGACCCATGGGAAAGACCCATGATTATACCTCCTGAACTTTTGCGGTTCTTCTGCCCTGCTCATTCTAGATCTCTGCATGCCTACCATGCATTAACGCTGAGGGTGTGTAGACAGAAGTACTGGTTACCTGCTGTCGGTGCATTTGGGGATTTGAAGAAGCCCACCACTCCCTTGCCATGAAGGCCGGCAGACCGCAGTAGCACGGCCTTGGTCCGCGAGTTTCTCCAGCATACTACAGGGAAGCGGTTCTGCCTGTAGCAGCGGGAGATCCGCTGGATGGTAGTGTCTGGGATACTCTGCGGTACAATCAACAGGCCGGGGTAGCTGCAACAGGAGTATGAAATCAAAGCAAGGTCAAAGATCGCTGTGTTGATCTTGTGGTGGAAATAATGCAGCTTACAAGGGAAAAAAAAAAGAAAAAACATCATCAAAAAGGACTAATTTTTTGCACTGAAAAACATATTTTAGGGCAATTCAGACTGACTTGTTTATAGAAAGCAAATGCCCGGAAACTTGGCTCCAAACAGCTTACCTTCGGCAGACAGTGTACATGCGGTTCACAGTAGAGATCTTGAAAGGCTCATTCTTTGACCTTGTCAGGCTGCTGCTTAGTGTACCAAGGCCTAGCCGCTGGTAGTCCCTGCAACACGCCCGCTCCACAACACTGCTCATTGTCTGTCTGTCGGAGGACTTGATGGTGGAAGACATAGTCAAGGAGCTTTTGTCCACCTCTTCAGACACTGATGGGGCAGAGCACGCATAAGAAAGCAGCAACCAACTGGTTAAAAGCAATTTGTCATCTGCTATGTTCGACTGTCCTAATCAAAACAGCAACTCTAACACAGACTATTGACATTCCTTTCCTTCATAAAATACAGTTACAACAAAACATTACATTACTGGAAAAATGGACCAATATGCATCCTTCAGAAATTTTTTTAGTAAGATTTATCTGTCTTCCACTACATGACAACATATTTGTTTTACAGTTTGAAATCTTTCTTATGTTCTTAATTTATTTAAACACTACCAAGAAAATGAAAGTCAACAAAGCATCCTAGTTCAGAAATGTCACGGCACAAACACAATTTAAGAAATGCTTAGCCTCAATAAACAGTGAAAGGAAGTCAATTCAATATATTCTATCTTGTTTTACCTGAAAGAGTCACAGAGGTCAAAGTGAGGGATTAACTTGCTCACCAGAGATTTCATCTTCATCACCCTGAGACTGGAGACTGTTCCTGTAGTCTGGGGTGGGAGGCGTGTACTTCTTGCGTGTCACATACTGACGGCCAATGGTCTTTTTGGCATTCTTCATGAGGTTCTTGGAAAGAGTCCTGCATTCAAATGATGAACAAATTCACAGTGAAATCAATGTGCCTACAGAGAGAACATACACAGGTCATAAACCTCTACAAAGACGGCATGCAGTAGAATAATGAGCAACCTTAACCAAAGCCATTGGGTTAGAAAATAAAGAGAAACCTTCCACCTGAAGTTAATTAATTAAACTGAACTCTAGCTTATCACTGAAGTTTCTACCTTAAATTTAAAATGAAATTCAGGAATGTGAAGCACATGATTCAAAACGATCTCCATAAAGAACTTTTTGAGATCTTAAGTGTGACTTGAAACCAAACTGTATTACATGAAGCATAAATAGACTTGCGAACGGCACCCATCCATATTTAAGAAACCAAAAGCAAAGAGAAGAAACCCTTTCTGAAGCAGAGCTAGGTATTCCCAAGCCATGACTGGGGTTGAATCACATGTGATTGTTCTAATACATAACATACATTTGATAATTTATCAGAATCAAAACCCAGACACCAGTTTTTCACCCACTTTCTTTAAAAATTACAGACATACTGATTTGTGTTGGAACTGGCACTGACCTTACAAACCATATTTACTTAATTACAGGGTAAGAATTATAAGGAACAGAAAAGGACCAGGATCAAAGGTGCACCAAAGGCATGCAGAGAGGAATTCCAGTGTTGAAAACATTTAGAGTCTGAAATAAATCACTAGCACTGGCAAAGATCAAACGAATCGGATTGGATCTCGTGCATTATATACATTATTTACAGCCAAATTGTTTGTATTACTAATGTGGACATGGGCATATAAAGTATGAATATGGAGTCACTACAGGTGCATACAACGTGTTTTTTAGAATTTATTATCGAAACATTTTTTACAAACTTATTTTGTTTCTAACAAACTAACAAATTAAAACTTACACTTTATGTTTCTATTAAAGATGTCTATAAATATTTGTGATGTTAGAAACAATTATAAATTACTATGTGTTCCTAGACTTAAGGTTAGGGATGAGGCTATGATCAGAATTAGGTTTTAATTAATTTAGTTGAGGTTAGGCAGTCTCACGCTTATGTTAGTATACTGTTTAAATCTATTAATATACATTTAATTTCTATCATGTTCATTAATGCCAGTTACAACCCCTAATCTTAAGTTTTAACAAATTCACATAGAATCTAAATCAACACCTTCATTTGTAGGTGTGCACATGTATATAATAAAACAATACATTTAGGACAGGCTCCTTGCATATACCTACACAAAAGATGAACATATTTCTTTAAAAAAGAATTATATTTACAATGCAAATATATGACAACCTAGTAGTGTTTTAGCATTAAGTATTTCATAGTGATGCAGTGTATGCAATATACGTGGAATTTGTGATCGCTTACTTGTGTTTGTTAATTTTTTCCCTCTAGAGAACAGCCCAAAAAATGAGTCTGAACATGCGACCATCTACTGCATGGGAAAAACAATGCTGCTTCATCATCTGAATAAGACACCCTAAAGAATAATGGCATTAGGAGGCAGACCTGAGCCTCTTTTGTTCTCTCACAAAGACATTCTGCCAGTGCTAATGTTCCTTCCATACCCTCTAAATAAAAATGTTTTGGTAGTCTTTTTGCAGTCTTACGTAGTTGAGTGGCTCATACGCCCCATGGTTAAAACACCCGACTTGAGACCGTGGAACAACTCGTTCGTCTGCCAAGAACTGAGGCAGAAATACAGATACATTTGTACATGGTAAGCTGCCACCAACAGAAAATGAATAACGAAAATGAAGAAAAACATGCAGCTGAAAATGCAGAAAACAAACACGTAGACAGTAAGTTGAGACTGCATTTCCGGCTGCATCAGAAGGGGTTATAATAGAAACTAGAAAAAAAAATCTGTACTTATGAAAGAATTCATAAAAATCACCATCATAAAGAGATAGAAACCCACTACCTTCAAACAAGGAATATTAAGTGAAAATGAACAGTAGTCCATTTCTACCTCCTTATACAGTGTGCCAGTGTCAAAACAACTGGATTTGTGATATTTTTATCAGTGTACCGTTTAACAAAAAAACCCCACTAATTTGCTTTGATAGCACCAGAACAAGGAATCAGAAATGGTCGAAAAAACTGGTGAAATGACTGTGCTTTAGAAAACATCATTCTCCCACTGCTCATATTACTGTAGCCCAGTGTCTTTAACCAGCTCTGATTGTAAATTCCTTTCCTGAAATCTCATCCAAAGCATTCTTAAAAATGTTTTGACATGTGAACTTTGACCTTCGATCTCTTTTGTTGTGAGATAACCTTTCAAAACCTGTGGAAATCATGGAGGATGATAAGGAAAATATCTAGCCGATATCAGCATATTCTGTCCTATATATTACACGCAGCTGCATACAGACTTAACCCTTGTGTAGTCTCGCACTTTGTTAGTTAAATTTATTCAGTTATCATACAGTATAACAATTAGACTATTACTACATGCATCCCATATGCAATTTGCAGATTTCACATAAAACGTCAATCAGCTTAGTTACAGTATATGTGACCAAAAACATGCCTATACTTCTATCGACAGGATGTCCCACAATCATTACAAATTCCCCGAGGGAGCCCCTTACTGATCAAAATAACCCATGTTAGTTCTTACTTTCCATATGCTGGGAAGTGAAGCTTATTTTATGACTTGGTAATATCAAAAAGCTTTGCTCACACTTGATATTGAAATAAAATGCTCAAAAGTCTGGTAACTCAATCTTACTTTAAAGACTGGTTCTTCTCCTTATGCTTGTGCTCGACCACCAGCTTGGACGACTGCCCCACAGTGAAAGCAAATGTCCCGTGGACATGCTGTGGGTAGCGCAGCTTGTGGATGTGCTTCCTCAATATCTCTGCCGAGTCTGAGGCTACCTCCTCATCAAAAGCGATCTTCATCAGCTGCCGCACAGGGAGGAAGCAGAAAAAAAATAACAGCTTTTACTTCTCAAGTCAGCGTTGAAAAGAGACAAAGATTTGCTCAGATGAAATGCCAAACACTCATGTTTTTTTAAGATTTCTTGCCGAAAACAGTGCAAAATACATAATGGTCCACCATTTGCTGCTCAATTGGAAACATATTTTTGGCACCTTTTGGTTTACAAGACACAGATGTTCACCTATTCATTCTGTGGGGCCTCCATAGCAAGCAACTCATACCATTAATCTTTTGTTACACTTTGCCGTATAAGATAACATAAGATCACTTTATTGGCCATATAACTGTAATGATAGAATTTCATGTATTAGGAATTTATCTTTTCACATACCCCAACTTTCTTTCCACGAGACACACAGACAGGAGCTTGGGGTCCGAGCGCAGAGACAGACATTTATACGGTGCCCCTGCAGCAGCTGGGGTTAAGGGCCTTGCTCAGGGGCCCAACAGAGCCACCGCACCAACCCATTATAAGGGTTTGTCCCCCAAAGTGAAAAGCGAAGCGGATGTCTTGCAAAAAAACTGGCCTTGATAGTGGACACTAGTAGTCCCGTGAGAGTGAAGCAGAAGTAGACTGATAATTTGTCTTCCACTGGGCTCATGTGTAGAGGGGCAGCTAATAACATGCACTGAATGCAATACTAATATATTTGATTTTTGCTGAGGGTGATTCTAAGGGCTTTTGTAGACAGTGGGAATATTCAGGTGTAAAACAAAAGTAAGACTGATAAAGCAGATGATTTAACTCAAGGTTTCTGTGCCTGTTTAGGTTCAAATACGATTTTCAGAGTTGTGTTTTGCTGTGCTGTTTCTGCACAGACTTGTGAAGAGAAAAAGTGAAGCTATGTTACATCACGCAGCAGGCGTTGAAGAAGGGCATCTCTGCAATTCTGTGCAGAACTGTGAAATTTCATGCTACAAGAACATGATCAAAGTCAAGCAGAAAATAAAACGTATGGAGAGTTGTAAACAATACTTGTTGAAAGCACTTGTTTTTGATTGTGCTTGTGTTTTAGAGCAAGGATATGGACACCTGACCCCGTCAGACAGGCGTATATAAAATGATAATGCAGTTTAATCTCCAAAGGAGTAAGAACAGTTTCAGCTTCCACACTACTGCTGTGTTTGAGACTACTGAAACGTTTTATATTTCTTCACACCTCTCCTCTTGTTATCCCTGAGTGTCGATACTCTTTCTTCCCTGCTCCCTGCCCCTTCTTAACTACCCCGTCTTTTGTTCATCCGATGATTTATTATCTGTCTGCTTCCCTCTCTCCCTCACACCTGAGGAAGGCTCCACAGCCAAAACATTGCATCTCTTTTCTTTTCCTTTCAGAATGGTTTTATCATTCTTACCTGGAATGTACAAGATCGCAACTGCAAGCCTTCTTGGATGAACTGTTCTGCCTGCAGACTCACAGATATCTTCTTTTCCTTTGTTAGAGATGCAATGGGGAATGACCGCGTTACCACCTGCTCTCCCACTGGAAACACAGAGGGAATTGTTAACGAGCTCTGCAGCACAGAGAAGTGAGTGGATCAGATCTCCATTTCCAATGCAGAAAAAGGCAGCTGATCGCATGCTGACCAATCCCGGGATACAGGGTGAATTAATTAAAAATGTCCCTTGTGTGCCTCTTTTGTTATCTCACCTAAGGGGTCATTCGGAGTTCCTTTGAAGATCAGCCTGTAGGTAGTAAGGAAGATGGCGCCCTCTGCTTGGAGTAAAGGAGGCCCCCCCAACACCCCAGTGGCCTCCTCTCTACCGTCTCCTATCAGGTACACCCTCAGCCCATCCATTACCAGCTCCTCTCCCACTAGCAATGCTGGCCTCAGCAGCTTTGGCTGGAAAACAAAATAAAATAAACCACCATAAATTCTAATTACCTACCACCTTCCACCCATCACATACGGTATATATATACACACAAATGTAAGGTATAAACCACGACGGGCCATGTGGAGGATATATACCTCGAACAGGACGCTGCTGAGAAGAGCTCATATAAAGTATACCCCTGGAGCCGCACAGCCCAGTGTGGTTTATACTGCTAATATCACGGGTACTTGTCACATGAGGGAAAAAAGATCATTAGAACACTTCGGACTGGACTATAGTCTTATTTAATTCAACATGAACTCGTTTAGGTAAACTGCAAATCTGTCTTGATTCAAAAGTGGCTTTCAAATGCAGAGGATGGAGCACAAGCCAGTGATGCAAATGGTTTGGACAATGAGAAAGGCCAGAAAAACAGCTATTGTGGAGATGAAAACTGCATCTTGAAGTGGGTTGAGGATAAAGATAAAATTGAACCCCAGCCTTTTGTGTTTTTTAGTGTGTGCGTCCAGCAGCTTTGAAGATTTGTTTTCTGACCAATGTCCAGCTGTAGCCATTAGTTCCCTGGATTGCAGGCCAGCTTTCGGAAGTTGCTTCACTGCTCACTGTTCTCCTCTGGTGGAGATTGTGTTGCATCAGGAGGTGGACATTTTGAGAAACGATTTTGTTAAATTTTGTAAAATGCTGTTCAGACAAATGGGGTCACCGGGCCTGACAAACATCAGACACCGCAGGTTCTCACTTCTAGAGTTTGTCAAGTTTCTTGTGCTTATTTGTAAAACGGTTGCGAGAGACAGCTGCAAAGTCTGTATCTATTCTCCGTTATCTCAACGTTTTCCTAAAGTTCTGATCTCAAGGTTAAAAAACCAGGGAATCTCAGGGTTATAAAAATGGGGGAATAAAAGTGCTCACCAGTGGAACTTGTTGCTCTGGGATTAAATGGCTTATTTCTTTAAATCTGCTGCACATAATTTCTAATCTTTCAGTACATTGAGAGTTCACACTGTTGTTTTGTTTTCCTCTTTGTTCTCTGTTTATTTCTGTTAAAGTATCTTCTTTTAATAGTTGCTGGTGCATTTATTTTTTGCTTCTTTCAAGTAGGCTACATTCTTCATTGGGGATGTTGGTGTCGTATTATTGCATTTTTTTCCACCCCGAAGGAAGAGAACTGGTGGAAAGTCTCATATCCAGCAGTGATTTTAGAATTTATGATGGCAGTTGGTAAGGGAATTTAGAAAGCGAAGTGCAATGATGTATACCTGTAACTAGGCTCATTGCATGTTAGCCATGGCCTGTGCAGCAATGTGTTTAGACACACTGTTATGCAATGCTGTTTAACCTTTTAGAAGCTATTATTCTTTCAAGTCGTGCATGAGTGTTTCTAAAGAGTTAAATGACTGGCCATGTGAGAAAAATGCCATGCACTGACAGTCACGTTAAAGGTAAATGGGATTAATATTGTATGAGAAATCAGTCAAGACTCTCTGCAACAACAACAAAAAAAACAACACAATTTGCAATTACATCACATTAACAAAGAACCAAATCAATTATTAAGAACACAACATTGATTTTTAATCCAGCTTCTGAATATAAACTAACACGTCTTATCAAAATTAATTTTGCCTGTAGGATTAAGAGACAAAGCAGAAAAAATCATTCAGCGTAATTCCTACAGTGCAAACAATAAATAAATAAAAAGACTCGTTAATGTTAGTTCAGGTGTTGACCAGTGCTGCTGTTAACAAAAACAACTAAATAATTACATAATATAAATACATTAATTAAAGTAAAGAGCTCTGTTCTGGGTACATCTCTCATTAAATAATATACAGTATCCTACATTTTAAAACACTCCATCACTAGGCAACTGAAAACAAGACTTGAGACTTTTAATAAAGCCCAAGTTAGAGGTTCTGGGGCTCAGATACTGTCCCTTTATTCTCACTAAGAAAAGCTGCCTCAGAATTACAGCTGGTTTCTGTATTGTACCTCAGACCAGACACTGGATATGGTTAGAAAATGAACAGCATATTAAGCACCCAGAAATGGAAGAAGACATACTGGTATTATATTTGGTGCTTTATCCAAATCAAGCATGGATAAATAGAAGTTTTAAAAAAAATAAACTCAGGCCTTGTACATTGTTCACCTGTCTTGGCTTTTGCTTTATTAAATGTATTTATTAAGATGGAAGAGGATGTGCTTAATGAGAGTACAAGGGATTTTCTATTGCATTCCTGTTCAGGGTTTTCAGACACCTATGACAGATGAATGCCCTTTAGTCACTAACAGGAATCTGCTGTTTTCACACAGATATTACATAACCTGAAGCAGGCTGAAATGCAGGTGTGGCCAAGATCAAAATGATAAGGCTTCCAATAAAAGCTGCAAGATTCTAGGATTCCCATAGAGGAAGTACAAGTTCCTTTTGTGGGAATGAGTAATATTCTTTGAAGGATACAGTACTCTGAGACAAGGCATATGAAGTTGACAAATTAACTGCAGGTATTTGTGTCCAAAGTAATTTGGCATTTGTCATCTCAACACCAGCACTTACCAACAGTAAGTACGAAATGCTTCAAACAAAAGATTCACTTCACCCTTCCATGTGGTTATGCAAGCATTTTCTTCTGTTGTTTAAATTTAGAGAGCTATACTACGGGGGCAACTTTTTCAGCATGCACAGCTGTCTGCTGCTAATCACATGATGCCATTTCCCAGACGTACCTGCATCGGTACTGGACTTTGAAGTGTTGGGTACCCTGCTTGTATACTACATGCCTTTCTCCAGCTTTACATAAAAATATGAATTGGTTACCTTTTGTATGGGTGGCAGTCTCTTACTTTCCCTATGAACTGCATCCAGGGTCTCGATGTGCATCTGAACAATATCTGTAAAAGAGATCGTCATTCCCATGTCACTTAAGAGCACAAGCCAAACCAAAACATGAATCTTGTAAAAACAGCTACCATGCAAAGAGTACCTGGAATCATGGTGTGAAGGGCTTTCAGGTGCTCATTGGTCACACCACTTTCATTACAAACTTTGTCCACAAATCTGTTAATGAACCGCACCACTGAGTTTGCAACATCAGAACTCTCTGCATCCTCAAAGCCACTTTCAGTGTCGTAGCTCTCAGCCATACTTCCCGCGATGCTGCTCAGGACACAAAGACCAGTGTAAGCATTAGTTGATAACACAGGCATGCTGTGATGAAAACTGACATTTGTTATTATTATGTATAGTACATTTTGCATTTTAATTGTCAAACAACTACAAATCCCCAAAACATCCTCTGAAGCTCAGCCAGAGAAGGCTCATATTGATTTGTTTTCTGATACGAGTGCAGTACACTTGTTAGCAGGACATTTTATAGCTTCATTGTCAGCTGACATTCTTTTCTAGGTCTCTCCACTTGGAATCAAAGCAGTTGCCCGTCTGCGCGAGTAGCTATTCTGTCCGGCGACGCTGACCGACCTGACAAAGCTGTTGCTGACACTCTCCACATCCCCCAGGCCTGTGCTGCGCAGGAGCCGGTTCTTGCTGGTGTCAAGGGGCAGCAGCAGGTAGCTCATGCGGTTGGCGTAGTGAATAGCCTGGCTGAACACAGTGCTCTCTTCCTTCTGTATCAGCTCCTGCTGTTTCTCCTTGCTCAGGGTTGGCCACAGCCTCCGCTGCTCCGAAGCAATTTCCAGCGCACATTTGGCCTCTTGCACAGGCTCCTCTTGGTCCTGGTTTGGACAGAGGCATTAGGGGAGCTCGCAACTGAAACAAAGACCCTCATCACCTTTTACAACTCTGGGTTCCCCCCCCCCCAAAAGCAGCCTCCAGGAAGAGTTCCACAAATACATCTAAGGAAACACCACTTTTTTTTCTTATTTATGAATGTTTAGTTGACTTTAAACAATAACACCAAATCTATATTTTTCTTACCGGACTAGGGTGTTCACCTTCACTGACTTCAACATAAAGTGCTCGGATGTGGTTCTGGACATCACTGTAAAACATGGCCTCCCAGAACTGCATGTTGGTCCAGACTGAGTGCTCCTGAACACAGCTGTAGGCAAACTGAGTGATTCCAGCTCCCAATTTCTACAAGGAAGGACAAAAAGCACTCATTCATCCAGACATCTTCTAGACACGGCTTACAGATCTAGCTGAGTAACTACACCTCTTAACCTAAACAGAACTGCAAACTTACTTTTTTGAAATCATAGAAGCTATCTAGCACATTCAAGTTACAAATCTTCTGAACACAACGGCATGAAGGATATTTGCCTAAAAAATACATCTTAACCTTTTCTTGCATCATGCACTGATGATTTATAAAGTTTGTTGTACTTACTCTACAGAAAGCAGTAACAAGGGGTAAAAGTGCTGCTGCTATTCCATATTCATCCGTGTGAGAACAGTCCTAAGAGAAACAAACCAGGGTCAAACATTTCCTTTAAATACAAGATAACGTGTCTCCACTTTTTGAGAATTATATACACCTTCCATACACTAAGTGTCAGTAGGATCAAAACCACTTAATCTTAAATTGTGGAGGTTATCCAGAAAATTAAAGGCAGAAATAATGCAAATTCAGTAATGTATGCATAAAGATTGCTTTCCCATGTTTATCTGGTAAAGTGTTTCTAGTGTATAAAACAAAAGCATGATAATGGGATTAAAATATGTTACACCAATACCGTATCTTTTTACCTTGAAATATTACAGCTTGTGAGCATTGCTTCTAGAGAAACAGACATGCCACCACGAGCCATAACAAAAGCTTATATTGTACCTACATTAAAGTAAATTCTCAGTGTAATATGTACACTACAAAGCAGTGATAGAAACACAAGGAATTTGGAGTGCTTTTCAAAATTAGTAACAATTTAAAGAAAACAAGTCTTAGACTCCAGTGAAATATCCACTGTAAAGTTCAAAGTAAAACCAGAGCTTCAGTTATGAAATCTGTATTTTTTTTTTATTGGCCAATAGTCAGGACTAACCTTTAATTAAGCAAGCAGGAGATGGGGACGTCCAGTCCATGAAAACTGTTTTTAGCGTGGTTTGCATAATGTGTTAACTGCAAGTTAAGCTGAGTACCCAGCCATCCATTTTCTAACCACACACACGAGCCCACTAGGGCCTATTGTCCCAGAAGCCAGTTAACCTACCAGTATGTACTGCTGGAGAAAACCAGACCCCCTGGAGGAAAACCCACGTGAACACGGGGAGAACATACAAACTCCATACAGACAGCACCCCCACCCCATGTTAACCATTGCACCACTGTGCTGTCTTAAAGCTGAATAGTGTATTTATGTTTTCAAGCATACAGAACAATATTCCTAAACCAGCACCTCCCCCAATATGCAACATACTGCCTCATGCCAAATGGTGTATAAAAAAAATCATATTTCTGTGAAATATTTATGATAATATACTGTTTATTACAGTATATTATGTTGAGGCTGATACTTTCATAGTTTTACCTTTTAATCAACAGAAGGTTAATTATTAATGACAATACTAGGAATGATATTGCCACACATCTGTGATCCTTAAACAGTTGAACTGATTATAATATAAGGTTTCTGGCTGTGCTAATTGTCAAATAATACACTGTCCTTTAAACTATAATTACAGCTTTTTAAGCAATCCTTGTGTACTAATAAGGAAAAATGTTTTCAACACTGCCTGTGGTTTAGATACTTTTTGTACTCATCTTTAAAATCTTAAATGCTGTATAAATAAGATATGAAACATAAAATCTTTTTCGGGATTGAAAATAAACACTGAAAATGGGAAGCTCCAAATTACAATTCACTTTGCCCTTCTTTTGCCTTGCACCTATGTTTATGTGTCACTTTTGCTTAGAACATTTTTGCACCACTTCATCAAAAGAACAATTACTTGGTTTCAGTCCCCTAGTACCTGATTTTTACTGAACACATCTATCTAAGCACATCTATTAGGGTCCTGTACATGCAGATGTGGGATGCACAACACAGTAAAAGAAAGATAAGCAGTAGTGAGCCTGGTCAGTACCTGGATGTGAGACCTCCTGGGAAAAACTAAGGCTGCTGCTGGAAGAGGTGTTAGTGGGGCCAGCAGGGGGCGCTCACCCTGTGGTCCATGTGGGTCCTAATGCCCCAGTATAGTGACGGGGACACTGTCCTTCGGATGAGACGTAAAACTGAGGTCCCAACTCTCTGTGGTCATTAAAAATCCCAGGGCGTTTCTCTAAAAGAGTAGGGGTGTAACCCCGGCGTCCTGGCCAAATTTCCCATTGGCCCTTACCAATCATGGCCTCCTAATAATCCCTATCTTTGACTTGGCTTCATTACTCTGCTCTCCTCCCCACTAATAGCTGATGTGTGGTGAGCGTTCTGGCGCACTATGGCTGCCGTCGCATCATCCAGGTGGATGCCGCACATTAGTGTTGGTGGAGGGCAGTCCTTATTACCTGTAAAGCGCTTTGAGTGGAGGGTCCAGAAAAGCGCTATATAAGTGTAAGCAATTATTATTATTATTATAATAAAGCATACTTTCATACAAGTAAACCAAAAATGTGTTATGGTCAGCGGGAGTCAGTCAGTACACAAATCTGATGATTCAGAGCATGTCACTCCAGTGAAACAGTGCAATTCACTCAATGCTCTTTAGATAGACTGCAATAAGGATGCAAAGTCAAGTCACCTGGAGGGTGCAGTTCATCATGCGGACTATGTAGTCAAACTGCTGGTCGTCTAGCACAGCGCGGTTCTGCTGGACGTGGAGGTTCAGCTCCTGTGTCAGACAGTGCCGTGCAGCTCGCCCCTTCAGTGCTCTCAGAACCGCTGGCAACAGCTGGCGGAGGAAAGGACAATGAGCAGGGCAAACATCAAAACACCACCCAACAGCACCGAAAGGCTGTGAGCTCAACACAAGCCAGAAATTCAATTGCTGGAGAAAAACTATTTGAACTGCTGTTTAAATTCTAAAGCAACAATGCCACTGAGGCACAAGGGTATAAAGGACACTTGGTAAAAGGAAAAGTACTTCCTTAATATTCCTTTATAATATAATTGAAATAGTAAAGGACCTAATTCTAAAAATGAATACCAGGACAAATATACCCCCTAATGGGCTTTATGATTACAGAGGGTATCTTCATTGTCACATGAATATAGATTAAAAAGTATAAATGAAAAGTAGTATATTTATAATTTCTTCCCAGTGCAAGGGCATTTGGTTTACAGATTTCTAAACTCTCCAATACTTTAAGACTGTTAATGAGAAGTCACCAAAATGCAGAAGATACTTTTTTCAGTATTTGTTATGAAAAACCTACTTCAGTAAATCAAGTATTGTTTCAAAACCTAGGAATGCAATAGGCTTACACTAACAATTATATTTTGATTGTTATATTTTGTTAGAAATGACTCCACCATATACCTTGTTTTGTCAGCTCTTGGCATTTAAATAAAAATCAGGCTGTAAGTTTTACCAATGATAACTTAAACTTTTTCTACCACAGTCACTTCAGTTTTACTAGTTACAAAAGAATTACATCACCTTTGCAGATAACGCAAACTTTTTAAGTACTGTAATTTTACAGAGCTGTTGCAGAAAGCCACTACCAGAGAATCTGCTTTATTTAAAACGTCCTGAGGATGATGTGAAAAGAGCATTCAAATTGCGTCCTACAGAGGTAACAGTCTTTCATTAAGAAGAAAACTCACTTGAACAAGCTCAGAAACATTAAACTTTTATCTCCAGAGCTCTTAATCGTGTACAACACCTACCTTTTTCGCCTCTAACATTTTGTTTTCAAAGATGTATGTAATGCAGTTCCTGACCACCTCCAATCTCCGGGCACTGTTAGCAAGGACATTTCCGTTCTTGTCCACAATGGCAGCTGGAAAAACAATTCCAGATTGTTTTAATTAAGAAACCACAATGGCAATAACAAACGGCTGCAGAATGTTTTTGTTTCCTTAATTTTAAGAAATAATGAACTGAAATTTGCAGATGAATGTTCTGAAAGAATTAGACACACATTCTGTGAATTGCCTGCTTAGAGCTTAATTGTAGAGCCCCAAGTGACATTTCACTAGATCCTGAAACTCAGTACAATAACCCAGTACAAAACAACAGACTTACTAAGAGGAGGTCCTGATGGAACCATGCATTTCTTCTCAGCCTTGACAGCAGGAGGTGCTGTTCTCAGTTTAGCAGCAGCATGGTCAATGAAGAGCTGCACTGTGACGTCATCCAGGACAGGGAAGGTTGTCTGATGGGATCGCAGGTGGGAGCCCTCAGTTGGCTTCTGAACCTTGTGCATGGCTACTGCTGGGTACGGGTTCTCCTGAAAATATATATTTTTAAAAACAATGGTTTACATTGCTGTTTATCATCTACAGTTCTAATAACCAGGTGTATAGAGTGTTTTCCCCCAAATTTAGCAACTCTATAATCAAGGGGGTAAAAAAAACTGTAGATTGGTCTGAATAAAAAAGGCCATTTAAAGGATTATATTTTAAAAAATAAATAAACATTTTCTTAACTCTGTAATCAATATCTTATTCTAAAGTTACACATTTTGAGGCAAACAATAGTTTTTTGTGAAAATCTAAAAGCGCTACATTTCTATTTTTATTTTTTATTACACAGATATTCACCTTCTTCCAATAATCTCTAATTTTGTTAATTTGTGGTGCATAACAGATTTCTTTAAATGAATATTTTAGTCAAAACGTGAATGTTCAACATTTATGAGTAGAAGTAAAACATCAGTAATAAGTACTTTCTCTCTAAGGTCCCTCAGTTAAAGTTGTACAAAGGTACAGATCAGGAAAACATTATTTAAAAAAAATTAAAAGGAATATCGATATTGACATTGAAGTCAATCACTAAGAAGTAGAAGGTGTATCGAAACCACCCAGAAGCTGCCTATATCAGTCTATCCCTTCATACTGAACAGCCAGGCAAGGAGAAGCTGGTTACACTACCACCAACAGGCCAACTGCAGCACTGAGAGAGCTAAGATGGGAGAAAATGTCAACAAAGAGTCAACAATTTCCTGGGCTACTCAACAATGCTAATCTGTACTGCAGTATGGAAAACGCATCTCAAAATTCTGAGTGATGTTTGCATGAAAGCATTTAAGGGATCTTGCAATCTTGTGGCAAATAGTTTGTGGTCATACAAGAAGAAATAATGCCAAAACCGAACATAATGCATAACGTCACTCTTTCTGTCAAGCATGGTGGTGGCAGAACTAATGTTATGGTGCAGCTTCACATCAGCAGAGTCTAGGAAGCTCATCAAGACTGAAGATAAAATGGATGGAGGAAAGTACAAACAAAACTTAGTCCAAAACATGCTTCAGTCTCCTTAAGACCGAAAATTAGGATGTGAATGTACCTTTCAGCAGGACAACAACCAGAAGCACAAGGCCGGATGCTATATAAGAATGGCTTAACTAGAAGAAAGTGAATGTCCTTGAATGGCCATGTGAATTTCCCACTTGAATCCAATACAAAACCCTCGTGGCACAGAGGTTTGAAAACTGCTTATACCAACGACCCACAACGACCACTACAGAGGTTGACTAGTTTGTAAAGAAGAAAAAAAGAATGAGTGTAAAATGGCTTAATCCCCACTGTGCAAGTCGGTAGAGACCTATCCAAAAAGACTCGCTGCTGTAATTACTGTCAATAGTCCTTCCACCAAATACTAGCTTTGGGGGGTAAATACGCAATGAACGTAGTTTTTTAACGAACAAGAAATCATTAACTCCACACTGAAAAGCAGAAAGAGAGCTTTCATAGCTTCAATATTCACATTCACCTGAGTACTGTAACTATCCAACTAGATTGAACCAGATTATCACCAAATTAAGCCTACGCTGAAATCATTTGGCAACACACCCAGACTTAATTGTTTAGAACTAAACAAATCAAGTGATGATGATGTCATGGTTTATTTTGTCTGGCAACTGACTGTTCAGTTTACTGTGGATAGCTGCCCCTAAACAAATATTTAAAAGGTAATTACACAAATTTTATCATTTTGTTTAACTTCATGACACTCAATGTTGTATTAAGAATGTACAAGGTACCCGAGTAATATAAACAGTAACATGAAACCAGGGACTAGACAAAATCCGCCTGAATGCATAATTTGTTTTTGTAGGAACATTCTACTACATATACTTCTCATTTACCAAGAAAGCCTCCCTATAATCTTCACCATGAAAAACGTCAGACAGCAAAGCACATGAGAGTTCAATTCATTGGAGCGCACAGGACAGTAGGGCATTGAAAGAAAAACATACGTTTTTGAAGAGCTGTTCCGCCAACTCTTTGATGTGATTCATTACTTTGTGAGGGTTTCCTTCTTCCAGTCGTATCCTTTCAACCTCATTAGCTATGAGCTGGGAGGCAAAGCAGGCAAGCCAGTAAGTACAGCAGAGGATGCACAAGGTGTTATTTCAAGTGCTACAATGTTCTTCTGCCTATATTGTATTGGTAAACTACTGAAATTCTACAAAAAATGTTGTTTTAGAACTTTTTTAAAAAGTATTTTTTATGAACAATACACTAATAAAATTAGTGGCAAAATAAAAAAGTTAATAATTTATATGAAATATTTAAAAAAAGAAATCCCTAAATTCCTTAATTTTGGAAGAGCATGTAGTGTCTAAGTATGATAAGTCATACTGCAAGAACATGAAAGACACTTTTGTAACCAGGTATAAATGTAGTGCACTAATAGGCTATATTTAGAAGATATTTGCCTGGGATCTTAGTAAACCTCCGTTTTTTTTAAACTTTAGCAATAAGAGCAAATAAAGAAGATATGCATTACATCGTCAAAAAGGTCAATTGTTCTATACGGTGGTCCTCTCTCTGACACAAATCCAGCAAACGCCATCCCGTCCAAAACCTTCATCAGAAAGTCATCCTCTGTCAGTGCTCTCTGCCCCAGAAATGCTACCTGTACAAAAGCAATAAAGGAAATATTTAAGAATACCATTGCTGTACACTGTCATCTTATCTTCAGCGGGCAAAGCCTTTGACAGCCCAGTCTCCTTGACTGTCCTCAATAATCTGCACATAAACAGAGTTTACTAGGACACACCTTCAGTTTACACATGGAAACAGCACAGATGTCTCTTCACACAGTGAAAACTCCAATGTCAAACGGAACTACTGTACCACTGAATGGCAGGCAACTGCCAGATTACACCAAGAGGTACAGTAGTGCACTCTGATAGCTTATCAAGTCGCTTGTTACTCACACCTGAGTAACAGAATGTATAAGAATAATTCCAAAGTAGTGCTTTGCATCATGTATATGTAACTTCTGATGTGTATAATCATTTGTTTTTTTGATGACGTTTGATAAACACAGGGAGCTACGAGTGCGTGACTCCGACCTTATGAAATCGGATGACTGGTTCCGGGTGGATACGAATGATATGCAGACACCAGCGGTAGCCCTCAAACAGCTGTGCAAACAACCACAGGAATACAGCACGGATTTCCTTATCCTGCAAGATGGGCCATAAAAAGACAAAAAGTGAAACAAATCGCTTTATAATACCCATAAATGTTTAACACGTAGCTGTTTATCAATGCAATTAATAGAATTATTCTTTTAAGTTCAGTCTGATTAAATGTTCTTAATACTCATTGCATATGGTCCCCATGGACAAGATGAGAAAAAAAACAAGCTGAAAAAGTCATTGCTAACTACAGTACCTGGATTTTAAGGGTGGAGGGCTGTATTGAAGTTGGAGGAAAAGCATGATCTGCTACCTCCAATTCAGGATCCAAAACCTAAAAGGAAAAACAATTCACTTTCAATTAACTGCCAGATGCATGGAAATGATAAAAATAAAAACTCCATAGCCAGAATATGATTTCAAAAAGGTTTAACATTCCAAAAAACAATAATAATTCACTTTTAATACATCTACCATGATTTCTCAGAATGAAATATGGAGTCAATTTGCAGCCTCTACAATACTAAAAGAAGTTGTAAACATCGTGGCTATTATAAAAGCTTTATTTGGTGTTGGGATGAAATGTGTAAATTTTAATTATTTTTAGCAGGTAAGGACCCACCAGAAAAGAGCTTCATTGATTCAAATACAGTTAAACCAAGTGAACTGAAGACATATTACAACATCTTTCTTCCAAATGTTTTCCCTGTGTCCAAATACCCCAGTACACATTATATTTACTCGAAGAGACTAGAAAGACTGGAGAAGGCTCCATGCACATACCCCAACTAGGTCTGCACTCCAGATGATAAGAAATAAAAGTTTGCATGCTGGGCATGTGGATATACTGTATGTTTTATGAAGAAACACAAAAATGTGCTTGCATCCACTAAAATCTTCAGCACTGGAGACCATCACTAGAGCAATTCGATTCTGACCATTTACAGTAGGTTGCATCAAAAATTTTTGAAGAACTAACAGCTGAGCAACTAATTTATTGCAATCCAATAGGCATGATGACTAAGTTTGAAAGAAAAAAAACGATGTTTTATTGAAGAACACAATATTAACACATTAAGGCAGAAAGCTTGTATTTCCACTTTTCTTTTATCATGAACTGTTTCTTTTAACTGTTTTGTCCGAAACTTAAAGCAATTCACATCCTGGGACGCCTACTTAATAACAGCACAGTATTGTGAAGTACTTACAGTAACAACACAGGCTATTATAAAGTTATCAAGTACTTCCCGTCTCTAGGATGTGGTTTAAAGTATGAAAGCACTACATAGGAAAAGGCAGACAATTCTGTACACTTAAAAATGGGAATGCAATTACTTTGAAAATAAACCAAATTTTCTGTCCTGACAAAGCTGTAAACTACTGTAAATAGAGATGTATAAAAGTATTTTGTCTCACCATTAACTTCTATTATATATATAAAATATATAGATTATTAAATTATAATAACTAAAACCCAAACAGGGTTATATAACAGTAATACTGACAACTACACAGATTTTTCCAAAAGTGGTCTGTACACTGAAAATAACAACAAGAATAAATCACTGTGAAAGATAAGTTAAGCTTTATGTCTTAGAGTTTATTAACCAAATGAGTGTATATTGTACCCTTCGTCATTATTAAATACTGGATTGTTGAGACAATGCAGAATAATTACTGCTGGTAAGTCACACACCTTCAAGGTAAAAAATGACTATCGTTTAATTATAGCACTGACTATGATTATTCTTATTTATGTTTTCCTGATGGTTATTTTTACACAATTACTTAGTCAATTCTTAGCTGCAAGCAAAATATTTGCCACAAACATATTTTCAGTTAAAATCTACAAATATTTACAAAATGTTCTAAAATAGTCAATGAATGGTTGATCTTTTATACTGTACTTGGAAATAATCCCTCTATATAACTTCCTCTACAATATTCACAGAAATACCAGGACTGACTGCTGTTAAAGCCCTAATATCTGTTCAACAATTTGAAAAATAACAGCAATGACTCAGGAGGGGATCTTTTCCCAATCACAAACAGATTAAGTCTAGTATAAATCCAAGACTTGGATAATCAAGTCAAAAATAAGAAATCCCAACACCACGCACTCAAAATCAAACCTGACAAACATAAGAAAATGGTAAACCATACAGTAAGACCTAAAGAAATATGATAGCACTAACACAATCACTCTTCATTAACATCAAAGAAATAGAAATTTTATTTGTTTGGCCGTATTTTCTAGAATGATATCAATAACCAGCTTACATAAAATTGTTGGCTACTGCTGTCCAACACACTGTTTTTCTGTTGAGAAGCTTTCCCCAAAAGTGTAATCACATCTGTATTTGATATCCATGTACATTGTGTCCTATGATCCTGTTTTGCTCAATGTGCTGAAGATATAGGAGTTGTTTGAGCTAACAAAGCCAGTTCCTTTACAAAATCTGAGTTCTTGAATTTAAGCCCCTGCTCCTGGCTAAAAGAGAATAATCAATTTATTCATCAGCAGTTATTTTGCTTTTTTACTGTCTTTCTAGTATAACAGCAAACTATGCTGCACTATAATATGAACACAATTATAAAACTATGATAGATCTTCAGCATTTCAACATTTCATATATATCTGCACCTGTCATATATCCAGACACCCTTGTTGGCTTTCATTACTGCTTCCCTGCACAGTTTGGAAAATAACCTGTTCTGGCTCTCTCAGTAAATACGCAAGTCCTTTCCTCTTGATTGCCCTTTTCAAGTGTTTTTGTCTCTCATAGAGTATTTATAATGTGCATTCTTGTCTGCTTGAAAACCATTTCACTTACTTATACTGTAGCTCTTTTTCAGCCTTCTTTTTTATGTATACACTCACAACTATACATATATAGGTCACTAAACAAAATGGTCCATCCTATCCTGTAAAGTCTTTAAAGAGATGCAGGTTCTGTCATTATGTTAATAAAGCCATTTGTTCATGAAGATGTTTGGTTTATGCTGAAGTTAAGTATGATTTCTACCTACAAGCTCACCTGATATAATTCAGATTCCTTTGTTTTTTCTTCACTGCAGGATGAGTACTTCCTACTGCATCTGTTTTTATTCTATCATATACAGGTACTCTCTGCTGAGCTCCCCTAATTCTTAATACCTCAAATACATTTTCCCCATTATCAGCATCCTCTGTCATCTATAGCACTTTCTAATATAGGGACGTCTGGAGGTGTGAACATAGGCTATTGGCTCAAAACCGGAAAATTAAAATCCTTTGGGAGACACTGCTATTGTAACTTTTAGCAAGGTATCGCGCTCAGATCATACAGACTGCTCCTGTAAAATGTCAGTCACTTGGAATGTAAATGGGAAAATGGGTGCCATTCACTTTGAATAAAAGCATCAGCCAAATACAGAATACACACAACAAACCTTCCTAAGAGTCTAACAGAAAGCACTGGGCTCCAATATGTCTACAGGTATTGCTGTCATTAAACAGAACTTTGTCCCCTGTGCTCTAGTAATGGACCTTAGGATAGTGTTACTTTCTGATGGGAACCAAAGAGTCAGCAGCATGTTAGTATAAAGCTGTATAAAGTTACATTTAATTTTTATACCACAGCTATTGATCTGCAATGTAAATTAGAGAAACAAGTTTTAGAGAAACAAACCAGGTTTCCACATAATTATGATTATAAAAACATGCCTAATGTACAGGGATACATACGAATATGAGGCCATTTTATTTACAGAAAATAATAAGTAAAAATGCCAAAAATACTGTTTAATGTACAACAGAATACTAACATTAACAGGAAGAAGTGGTTAACCAAGAAATAAAGCTTTGAGTACCATGGACAATGCAGTCTGAGTCTGATGCAGAAGAGGGTCTGGGAGCAATGAGATGTGGACACATTCAGGGATTGTCACTGTTCCTCCATCCAGATCTGCCACTATGACGTCAAGCTTTAGGAAATCGGGAAACACAAAATAAGAAAAGATGAAATAATGAGACAGAAACATCACTGAATCTAGCTTTGAAGTACTGTTGGGCCGGAGTCCAATATTGCAAGTAAGTCTCTTCGTTGGTACAAACCTGACCACTGCCAGTCTTCAGCATTTTTATTTTTCTATCCACTACTGCCAGCTGTACACTTGTCTTAAAAAGGACAACTAGGGTCAAGACAAAAACTTATTACAATAATACAGTGTTACTACTTTTATTATTTCCTGCAAATACTGTGAATCTGAGAAAATGTTGTACTACATAAGTTTAGATTTATGTAAAGAATTTATCTTTAACATATACTGTACTATAATATTTCCTTTTGGATTCAATGCAAATAGTCACAAATTGCACAAATAATACAGTTATCTTAATAATCTTTTAATAAGTTGGTAAAGTATGTTGAGTAATTAAGTGAGTAACTTGAATTTATTTAGTTTAGATTAATTACTGATCACTAACCTACAAAGAGTGGTGTAAAATGGGTGGCACAGGACTCTGCTCTCTTTTTCTGTTTTAAAATTATTACATTTTAGGTTTGTCCTGTTCATCCTGTTATGTATGGTCGAACTTATCTCTTGGGCTTGCTCAAAGCTTAGGAGAGCTGGTTCTGTTTTTGTATGAACTGTGTTTGCTTTAGTCCTGGCATCATGCTGCTTAGTTTGCCTATTCTTATTTATCGCAGTGTCCTGTGCAGTTGAATGAACAGACCTAAACATACTTTCACCTAACCAATGGTTAGATACCTTACCATCAAGTTTAAATATTCTCTTGACATAAAACACAGGGAACTGTATATTCGAACCAACAGAAGGTTTTGAAAAATAGAAAAAAATATACACGATGGCTGAAAAAAGAGCTCTACACACTACTAAAAAAAATCGAAATCCAAATGTATAGTGAATACTGACCAGCTCCTGTGTCTCTGAGCGGAAGAAGGAATTGACTCCAATAATGAAGGGTGTTGGTGTGCTGAGAACCTCCAGAAGTTTACCTGGCAGGATTGGGACGTAAGTGAAACTGCAAGAGAAAGACCTTCAGATGTAATGTTCAGTGCTTGCAAGAACGCAGAGATCAAGTAGTACAAAAATACATCTATTTATTTAACTTTAAGAAACGCTTAATCCCCTCGTTTCCAAGGTTACTTCAGAAATATTTTAAAATTCTCTTTAAAAATAGGTGCGACTGTTAATTCTCAGCTGCAGATTTCCATGTCAGTGTAACAGAAGTTAAGGTGACTAATGCATTTACTTTGTTCTTAGGCATATTTATGAAATCTTAGGCAAGAATGTAAGACGGATGATAAGAAATGTCAGTGTTTTGCAGATCTATGTCAGGAACAAAGATCTTAAAACATTTCAACATCAAAACTCTTGAAAACTCGGGGGCTATTCTACTCATCCATCTACCTCAAACTCATGCTATCTGTATCCAACAGATCTCCACATTCCATTTCTTGCAAATTGAACCAAAAGGTTTTAAATAATATTTCTGACACAAAGGTGTCAGGTTTCCTCCAGATTAGATGAACCAAGCAATAATCTACTGCAATTACTGAATACAGGTAAACACCATGGACCTTGGAAAAAACAGTAGGTGCAGTCTTCCCTACCTCTGGTGACTAAACAAAAGCCTTAGTAATTTTAACAGCATTACCAATTTAAAAAAGCAATATACTGCCTTTCTCATTACTGAGCGCATGTCCCACAACAAATTAAAAGCTCTCCATCGGGGTCTACATTTTTCTACACATCAGTTACATAAAGTGGGTTAATGCTTGCCCGTCTGTTACCATGCACTTTCAAGTGCAGTCTGAGAACAGTGAAGAATCTTAAATCATTTAGGAGGAAGACTAAGAGGAATCATGTTTTGTGCATATGCCAACTGAGGCAAAGGATTCATTTAATGGATTTTACCCATTCCAAAAAATGAAACTGGAACTATCCCCTAGAATTCTTATTTATCCTTCATTTAATTTAAAGCGGATTTAGATTAAGCTTGACCACATTAACTGGAAATCTGGGGATGGGAGAAGCTGGGTATTAGTGTTGTTGCTGGGTGGGCTATTCTTTTTTTCCAATTTGTTTTTCATGATCTATGCACATTGTCTTTTATGACTAGATATGCTCCAGTTTTGTTACCCTTGCATCTTTATTAGCCCATTTAAACTGGTATAAGTTTCTCTGCCTGCATAGTAACAAAAATACCTACTCTAATATTCTGATGACTCTGTCAGATATTACATTTATGTCTTATAAGAAATTACCATTAAATGACTCGATTACCAAGCCAGACCTAGATACCCATTAGACAGAAACAGGTCAGGATCGTGTCCTTTCTTCTCTGGATTCTTCTTCTGTCAGAGACCTCTGTTGGGAAGCATGCACGTGTTCTACTCAAGGTTTTTGCTTGTCGAATTACAACCGGGTTCTGTTCTTTTCAGCATGTAGCATTCTTTGACAAACCATTGACAGTAACCTTGATCTATTAAACACCAACACTAAATACTCTTTTCGTTGGTGAGGTGACTTACAATTTTGACTACCCCTGCTTCCATACACACAGGTGACTGGTAATAGGGGATATCTATTCTGCGATCATTTCTAAAGTATATCTGAAATTATTGGTTACTATTTAGCCATAGTCTGAAAGAGGTACAACTTCTGCTGGAAGAAGATGGCTGGTTGTTACTTTAATTATAATGTTTTAAATATTAAAGAGCACTCTCTGCGATATCAACAGTGAGGCCCATATTTTTATCCACTCCTTGATAGAAAGTGTTCTCCAAGATTCAAGCTGAAAGTTAAACTTAAAGGATGCAGGTTTGAGCAGTGATGGGAGGGACTTTGAGTTGTGCTCTGATGCGTGGTCTTCTCACTTGATGCAGATGTAAAAGATGTGAAGAAAGCCAAGGTCAATCTGAACTAGAAAAGGCCATCATATCTATTCAAGGAGCTTTCAAAGCTGAAATCAGTCATTCATTAAGGCTCAAACCCCATGGTTCAGTGTCTAGTTTTCCATATATTTGCTTTGCCAAAACATAATGGAAATGGATTTTCTTTCTGGTCCTATGATATGTCATTTTTTAATTTTCTTCAGGTTTGTCTACTGTTATTAAAAAGCCCTCTAACTGTTTATCTGCTAGCAGTTTTCAGAAAATGTATTCTGGATGTAGAGAAATTAACTATTTCATTCTGACCTACAAAGTGTAGTTTGGTCCCTTGGCCTGCCTGAGTCCTGTAAAAGGCTTGGCAGTTTTTAGGCCAATTTTAACAAACCTTGTATACTCTGGCACAGGCAGATTTAATTGACAGTGGCTGAATGAAGACTATTTCGGAAGAAACATGCTATAGGCCATCAACTTGTCTTACCAACTTTTCCACTGTACTGTAGAATTCAATTCAATTCAGTTTTATTTGTACAGCTTTTTACAATGATAACTTGTTACTACATCTGTTTATCTATTTTTGATACAATCTACTGTAATGAAGTGAAGTATTTGTGAACTTGCAAATATGAATTAAGATGGATATAATACTCATGATACAGATGATTTATCCTTTCTTTGTATACAATATATTGCATATATTGTACAAAAATTTACACGAAAAATGTTCTTAATGCCATTCGAAGGATCCATGGAGGAAACAAGGTATGAGTTATACTTTTCCTACTGGCACATTTGTGAATAAAAATCCTTTTATTTCTACAAATGGATTGACAATGCTAAACAAAATAAAGAACAGGAAACCTCTAACATCAGACACATAATACAAAAAGGCAAAAGATATTTCTATGGCCTTGTATTATAGATGTACAGAAGTCAAGGTAACAGAACACCTACCTGTATTTAAGAGGAAACATGATTGCAAGAAGTCCTCTACATGCATCGGTGAGCCGTTGGTAACTACTGGATAAGAAGAGGATCTTGTGTTCGGTCAAAGCAGCACAGAACAAATACAGAACATTGATGATTCCTTGAAGAAAAGAGAAAACATTTACTTTTTATTTTTTAATTACTTTTGCAGTAAACATATTGTATTTATATGAAGCATAACTAGAGGTAAGTACCAAATACCACTAAAACCAATAACTGACTAGTGTATGACTGCATGCTGGATTGAGGCTAAGTATTTGTTTTTTTTTTCTCAATTAGGAATTAAAATATGAAAAAACTGATTTTGTTACAATAATTCTCTAAAGATGTGAAAAAAAGTGTTAAATTGGAAATTGAGCATAAAACTCACATTTTCATATGAAACAGGACTATTTCTTTACAAAACTCAAACTACATAAATCCATCCATGACCACTTAAAATCACACACAAATGGCCAGCTATATATCTAAAATACCAGGTGCCACTGTATCAAAAGTAAATGAGGCGAAATAAAACAACACTTACCTAACTGTCTAAAGAGATGTGCAACACTGCTTCCACTCACAGGGAGTGAATCAGTCATGGGAGTCTGGATCACTTGCCGATCTCCTGCTCCTAATGTAATTGTTCTCTAGAAAGAGACAGGAAGCAAAAGGCATTTTTAACCAAATTGCAGGTAACAGTTTAATAGCTTACAATACATTGTTGTACTTAGAAACAAATCATTTTTCTGTAACACTTTCTTATTTAAAACATAGGGCACATTTCCTCTGAATTTATCCAGTTTTGTTTTTCCAAACTTAAAAAAGTGAACTTCAAAGGCATTTAAAATAGCCTCCTTTGAAATTAAAGTCTCATAACACCACACAGAGAAAGAAACAGGTAGGTATGACAAGAAGAAGAGAGCGCCACAATGTGTGGTGTTATTCTTTAACACTACACATCAATTAAGTAATTACACAATTTCCTTTTACAAAGAAAATTTGGAATTGCCTACTATTACAGACCCTACTTAGTTATAACTGCAACCTTCACACCAGCATGTTTGGAATTGCCTACTATTACAAACCCTACTTAGTTATAACTGCAACCTTCACACCAGCATGTCCGTGCATGCTTTCCTCTTAAAAGAGCACTGTTAGAGCCATCTTCTGTTTTTCATAGTGCCTACAGCTGATTTAGCATCAACTGGAGGGCTGATACAGCTCTCAATGACAAGGCACAATGTCAACCAAAAGATGGCTCTGGTCCACACAAACCCAGTAGTACCACATCTGAAGCTGCACAGCTACTAACACAGCCCAATACAAGCATAAAATTAGGCTTTCGAAAGTATATATTTTTGATGTGCTCAAACTACCACACCAAAACGCGTGCCAAAACCAAAACACCAAAACATGCCATCTTTTGCTCTTGGTCTAACTAGAGGCTGATGGCGGGGGGCGGCTTCTCAGCAGATAAATTAGTTGTTTATTTTTTGTGTGCATGGATTTATTTTAACATTAGAACTGAATAACTTAAATGTAATCCTAGGAGCCTTTCGAAAAAAAGGCAGGGTGGTTACAGAGCACTTACCTTTAAAACAAAAAACAAAAAACAAAAAAAATGAAAGCATAGAAAGCGGTGTAATGAAGCATTTTGTGACCAGCCAAAGTATTTGAGAACCAGGTTTTCAAAAATCAAACAAATAAAAAAAAAATCAAACTGTGGTTTGATTCTAATACTAATAGTTCTGTACTAATGAAGACACAGGTGCAATCAAAACCTCAGCCCACCCACATCAAAAAAAGAAGCTCAAGTTTCTAACAGTTAGGACTGCAAAGTAAACAAAACAGCAAGCTGCCACAGTGAGTAATGCTCAAAGATAAGTTACAGAACAGAAAGCAAACCTTTATATAATACTAATATGACATTGCACTTTTTTATTGAAATAAAAACCTATAATGCGAAAAATATACGAAATAGAAAACATCCACAAAAGTTACATTATTTGACCTTTTCTAAATAAAAGCAGTGACTAAATTCCACAATTCCCAAATGTTTTCCCAAGTGTTGCATCCTGTTAGATTTAAATTATAATTCATAAGCAGGTCTTTTTGTGACAATGCCATCAGGTGCTCAAACTAGAAGAGATTGCTTTAGGAGGAATTATAAAATAAGTCATTTTTACATGAAGTGCGAGGGGTATATTGGTTATATATGAATATGAATTACGACATAGCCGTAGAATATTTTGGTAAAATGGCACAGACAGAGCAGTAACCAGAGTTAAGACACAGGTGACCCAGGCAATGTCACATGTCGATTGGATCCAGTACGTACTTAGGTTAAGTTAAGCCATTCGCTTAACATCTTCGTTTTACAGTCCCCATTAAGGACGTTAAACTGAGATCCCCTGTTCTTATAGGAATGGGTCTCATAGTTTAGAATCAGTTTTAGAGATCTTGTGGAAGGTTTTTTGTTTTATAGAGTTTTTCAGGTACCTACACATTAATATGAAGCCTGACACTAAGAGAACTGGGACACAGAACATTCTACGAAGCCAGTGATAGTTCTACAGGAATAGAAAACTGTCTAACATATTCGGAACCTCTTCCTTTGTAGTATGAAGTATAATTATACCAAACAAAATAATAACACTGCAAGCTAAGAGGTGAAGACCAGCTCAGTAGATCAGAAGTAAGGTGAGCCATAACACTCTCTCTTATCTTCGAGAGCTGAGGAAGCAAGACATTCCTATAGATAAAACTCCAGCAATCAGGGCCTGAACTGAAATTGAACAATTATGGAGTATTCAAGAGACCACTAAGTGAATGTAGGGACAAAGGATTGCACTCAATGGGTCATTACAGTAATTATTCTAATACACTGATTCATAAGTGCCACATATTTCTCCATAACATCCTCTGAGGAATATTGAAATCCTCCCTGTCCCCATTAACCTCTATTTCCATTATTTCATAAGTGAAATAATGTTTTTAATGACGTTTCTCAGCATCCATTCGCTTAACATCCTTGTTTTACAGTCCCCATTAAGGATGTTAAACTGGGATCCCCTGTTCCTATAGGAACGGTTCTCATAATTTAGAATCAGTTTTAGAGATCAAACGGTCTTGTGGAAGGTTTTTTGTTTTATAGAAACGAGTATGACCTCCATGAAGTGTTGTGTCAGTTTGCAGTAGGGCTGGTCCATCTTGGAGCTTTGGTTAGCTTTGAACTGCAGAATGCCTAAATCCAGGGACTCTCGGCAATTGTAAATAACTTGTAAACAGATGTGGTGTGTTTTTTTTTGTTTAGTTATTTGAAATAAGTATTGTTGCCATTTGAGTCTGTCTTGTGTTTATTACACTGACATCACACTGTGCCAGGAGAACTAAAAAGAAACCACATTAAAAGCTTGGTCAGTATTAATTCCTGACTAGAGAGGGTATTTTAGATGATATTTTAAATTTGTGTCAAGATTTTTACCTTCATATTTGTAAAACAGAACCTAATTTACATGATCTAGGTGATCACTCTTTTATCTTTATATTAAAGTGGGATATACCACAATAATGAATTCCCAGTACCATCACTGTCACCCATTAATTTATAACAGAAATGTTTAAAACAAAAATGCAAATATATGCATATATATAGATGAATATAGATATATAGATGAAGGAGTGCAAAATGTAACATGCAGAACAAAAGAAAATATAGATTGTGAAACAGGAAAAGAAACTGTTTAAAATAGGCTTAATTAATATGAAACAAACTCCAGCTGATCTGGCTTTGTAGGAGGCTACTAAGGTTTTTGTTAAATAGAAGAACAGACTTCACAGGAATCACCGATTACTCAACATTCATTTTAAGAAAGGGGAGGCAATGTGACAAGAAGATAATTAAACTGACACCTAACCTAAGCACTTATGTAATGTAGATAAAAGGCGGCGTACCAAACTTTCCTCCTTTTCATCCAGGCCGGGCTAGGTTAGCAACAGACAGAGACACCACAGGAAATTAGACAGGTTAGAGACAAGAGAATGTGACTGATGAAAAAAGAAAACAATTGGAGACATAAAACAACATCGGGCTTACAATTCACTTGGGGACAAACATGCAGTTAATTTTCCGACTTAAACAGTGCATGTTTATCATGAGACCCATTTCATACCTAGAATACAGAATCCCATTTCAATCGCGCATCCATTCAATGTATTCCAGTTTGTTATTTCCAAAAGTTCAGAAGCTATTAATCAGAGCAGCACAAATCCGCCCACAATCTGAGCATATCCTTGTTTCGTCATGTACAGTATCTGTGTAATCTGTGCTGACCGGTTAAAAGTTCCTTCTTATAGGTTTCTTTAAAAACATTAATGAATGCCTTTCAAATGTCAAATGAATGATAACATTAACAGGTTTAATCCATCAGAACAGTGACACCACATACTTGTATAGGTGTATATAACCTGCTTCTTTTTTTAAACCATGGCTTTTACTCACATTCCCGCCACTCCTTTTGTTGAATATCCTGTTTTAAATAGTGTGCCTATTTGTACATTTCATTTCGGTCTTGCACAGTCACATCTTGTTTTTATAAGGGTTTTCATACATGCTCCTAATGGTAATACCTCTCCCTAATTCATATCATGCATGTGCCATTTTACTGCTACCCACTGCCCCCTTTAAAAAACAATAAAAAGGTTTTAATGTGAAGGTGAATGAACTTTCATTCACTAATAGTTAAATGTTGAAAACTTGTTGCATTTCACTTGGAGAATGCTGTTTTGCGGAAAGCAAAGTCACGTCAATTTTTCCAAGTCTGTTTTCTTTTGAATCTTACTCTGAGGATCCTAATGTGTAAGAGAGGGGTGTTCCCACAACTAGAGCATCAAGAAAGAGCTTTTGCAACTACTTGGTAGCAAAAAGTCAGAATGCAGAGCTGTAAACATGAGAAGTGTTGTAAATGAAAATGTTCCAGCATTTAAAGTGTGGGCGCACTTAGCACCAGAAGGTATTTGTAAAGGACAGTGGTAGTTAATTTCAGAGCAGTCAATAAGTGATACTTGGCATTCCAAATTGCCCTTTTCCTCTTTAAAAGTTCATAATGTATATAGAAGGAAATCATATTTAATGACCCTCAAAACACTTAAAAGTCACAACAATGCAAGTTTGTACTACAAATTTACTTTTTTTCAGTAATAATTTTTGTTCATGGTCAGCTATATACTGATGTATTGCACTGGGAAAATGAAAATACTTAATGTAAGACCAACTGCAAGGGGTCTCGATTCGAAAAGGAATTATCCCCTGCTGATTCTCAGTGTCTAGGGGCCAATTCTGTAGCATTAGACTTTGGGAGGAGTTTTGAGCTGGCATGACCAATCTAATTGCAAAAACTGATGCAACCTCTAAAACCTTGCCATAAGGTTGACACATCATGACTAATATTGTCAAAAGTGGATTTTCAGTATTATTTGAGACATACAAGCTGATAGCTGTAAATCAAAATATTTTGAAATAATTCCTAGTGTTTGACAAATGGATGGGGCTTTAGTAATGTATAAAACAGAGAAATCAATAATTTTAGACATCTGATTCCTAAGATTTGATAAGTTAAAAAGAAAACTGTACTCTGGAAAGGATCTATATCTTTTAAAATATTCTTGTCAACTGTTTATCACTTTTTTCCACATCTTGTCACTATGCTAGTTATAAGTGGTTCATCTGTACTTTAAAGCACAAACATATCAACCACTGTTAAACCACTGATTGCTGTTTGGAAAAAGATTACAAAAATTTAAAATATTAATGTATTCAGCATTCCTTCGTCTTTAAAAATGCAAAATAATGGCAGTTTAATACTAAACCGAAGCAATAGAACCTGAAAATGGAGAGTAATGAGTGACTAGCCATCTGTTTCAGTATCTGAGACCCCTGCCTTGCTTGTGCACCTTAGCCATATGTTAAGTCCTCACTATCCACAAGAGTACAGACTCTTGCTGCGAGTTATTTTCAGGTTTTACTTGGTGCGTGTATGTATGCGAACAGCAGAAAGTCCAGTCTCTGTAAGCCATTTACAGAAAGGCACGCAGTCATGTGCATGATGAAAATCGAAAGAGAACTTTATAATGCATCCTCCGGGTTACAAGAGGCACTGTAATGTTTCTCTTAATTAATATTTTAAGACACTGATGTGTACGAAATTTAAAAAAGCAGATGCTGAATATACAGTATAAGCTATTAAAGACCCCTACACATCCTAAATTGAGGTGGACGTATTGCAACTTCTCATTGTAAAAAGTGAGGTAAAATCTACCTTAACATAATCTCACTGCTGACGTCCAGCAACTAATTAGACTAAACCTTAATTTCAGATGCAGGTCAATTCTAGCCAATATCTATATTTACTTACAGGACATTTTTTAAGAAAAGATAAATATATAACTGCATTGTTTGAGTGTGATTAGCTGCTAAAAGATAATTACCTGGAAGCAGCCCAGAAGCCAGTCACAGGTAAGATTCTGAGGTACCAAGTTAAAATTACATACTGGGGAGTCACATATCTGAAACACACAGGATCAGATATGCATGTAGAAATAAGCCCAGTGCTTGCTATTTCCATGTTGTTAAGCACAAACAGGGGCTCCCTCAATCTCATGCACCAAATGAAAGACAATTGGTCAGAGTACTATAACAGATCTATAACAATTTTAGAATTTAAAAAAAGAAGTGATTATAATGGGAAAGCATGAACTTACCACCTTGAATTATGAAAAATCTACAAAGTATATTATGTTAAGACCACACCCCTCAAAAAAGCAATAGTTCTGAGACTTATTAGTGACTATTTCTTTTCTCTTTAATACATTAGGGTGAAAAATTAATGACTTCCCCATAATTATTTCAGAAATATTGCAATTTAGTTTATGTCTGAAGTTCAATTTTTGAGTTGAAAAGGAGTGCAGGAATAATATGCATTAAATTAATGTTTACATTATTTTTCTTTTTCCTATTTTGCTGAAATAAAATACAAGTTTTCAGGTTTTTTTACAGAATTAGGTGAGTATGTTTAATGTCCAATGTAGTTAATGATTACACAAATCCACTGAGACTGAGAAATTAAAAGATCACAAAGATAAGCACAGTTACTCAGAGATTAGAAGCAACATTTCATATGACCAGGATTTAAAGCAGAAAATAACATTTATTCATGTACTGTAGGATATCACTCACTACACATTACCATTAGGCATTACTACACCTGCTGCATCTCCAAATTCTGAATGTGTGCTTGTATAATGACTACTTTCCTATGCTCTAGATTTAATGTTGGTACTATAATTCTAACTTCAAACATGCTGTTGCAGAGTTTGAAATACCAAACCAAATAATCTCTTCTGTGCTGTTTAAAAAAAAAAGCAAAAAATGAAGATTCTTTCATTTGACTGAAAAAATGCTGTACCTTTCCTTACATAAATATTTTAGTACATTTGTTTTTTTTTTTAATGTTGAGACTAAGATGACATCCCTATCATTACTGCTTAAAGAATGTGTATTTAAAACGTCAACCTGTGCTGGCCAAGGTCCCATAATAAACATTCTATGTTAGTAGTCTGCCAAACCATGAGACACTGATGAAAAACAGAAAAAACAAGGGGAAAATGAAGGATTTTAGGAAGAAAAACTTTTCAGGAGTTAAGGAGATTTTCAATGGTATTAAAGAAATAAGGAAGGTTTTCTGTTTAGCATGATTCTAGACAAGAAGAACCGTATAACTGTATCTTTCCTAACCTGGGATCCCCCTGCTATTGGGATGGTGCATGTCAGAAGATTTCCAATCAGCGTCTCTAATGGAAAATTCAGGCCATCAACATGCACTGTGTAGACCAGGCCCAGACAATTCTGTGAAGAAGAAAGGAAATATAAACCAATAAAGCCTCTGCTTTAACCATACAACCACTGAAGACTGAAAAGGTAGCTGGAAACTTCTCATACCCTAAAGACCTCTGTATGGTCCAAACGAGACACCAACACCAGGCTCTTTGGAGCAAATAACTGGTTGGGCTGCATGATGCCAGAATCATCATCTTCATCAGCTTCACTTGAGAGGCTCTTCTGGGGCTGCAGAAACAGAGAGGATACATAGCTTGAGGTCTCTACCAAGGTTGTGCTGTATAGTGTGCTATATGGCCAATGTATTTACATCCAGGAAAGTCATGCTTTTTAAGATGCACAATCGTATGTTTATTTCTCAATATGTTTTTAATTAATCGACCAAGTCCATGTTGACCCTGCTTCCTACAGTTTTCAAAATTCTCACAAATGGAACATAAACTTATCAACAGGAAAAAAAGTGATTGTTTCCTCAAAATGTATGCTCATATTACACAAATATGGTACTGAATACTTTGCTAATGGGCCAATGTCATCAAAAAATGTTTATGCAGCTATGTAGTTTATTCACCTCGTTTGAGGGAATAATGCTCACATTATCCGTCGTAGGATTTTAAGTGTGAATCTGGATCAAGAAGAAATTCTTCAGTATTTTTCAGGCAATTTATACAAATTCAACGTTCTTTGAGCTAAAAATCATTAGTATTCCCCCATCAAAATAAGTTTACTTTGCTGCAGTTTTGAGCAACACATTTCTAACTCTAGTCACTGAGAAAGTACACAGCAGATCATGAAACAAAAACTCAGGCTTACTGCTGACCAAAACTGAATATGCCTAACCTAAACTATGCTTGGGGTTACTGATTCTGGGCAGCATTTCCACCCAAAGGTGACTGTTTGATTGACTATTTCTGGGGGTGGAAATAACACATGCAATGAATAAGAGCTTGATTTGTTCTAGGTATTACATGCTGCACAAACCTATGGTATAATTACTGTGCTCAGTAAACAGTAAAAAGCACAGAGAGTGGAGCCTGGTATAGGAAGGGTTCTACAGATTATACCAGTCAGGGTCCAGTTGTTTCACTTTCACAGGATTCACATTGTTACAGTGAATCACCAATCACCTGAAGAAAACAGACTCATGAATAGCTAGAAGTAACTCTGTGGAATGACAAACAAAGGAAGATCTCAAATAAGAGTGAAGGTCCTTGTTTCTGAATGCCCAAATCGCAGTTTGTGAAGGGTTCTGCGTTTCTGTGACGGAGCAAAATTAAAAATTCATATCTCTAGAAGGCAGACAAGGTATCCTAGTATTTGCTGTTATTTTACCTATTTTATTATTTTTAAAAACTAATCATAGTTCTGAACATATTGGTTCTACTTTATGACAACATGTACTCATAATGGTGGTCCATTTGTGTCTCTCCCTTCCTTTTTCAAATAAACAGATATTTGTTTTGTTAGCTCATAAATAATTTTTTGTTACAAAGCCACATCTCAATGATGTGAGATACTGACTCTAGTCAACCTAGATTTAAGGCTATACAAGAAGTATAAAGAACATTATCTATAAACTGTACATATTGTAAGCAACAAACAGCATTCAATTACAAGACTGTTTCAATTAGTTCTCCTTATACATTACAAGTATTGGTGGAAACCCAGGATAAGGATTGGTATAGCAAAACGTGTGTTATACTAAAGGATGCTATATAGCTGTGTAGATATACTGTATTCATAGTTTTAAGGTAGGAAATAAACAGCAATTACTATCTTAAATACAATAATAATCTACATCTTATAAAATCTCAAAAGGATCAGACTGCTAGGCAATATGAGTTCTAATTCAAGCTCTGGTCAGGTAACCCATACATGTAACACAACCTAAATAATAAATACCGCACATTTTGAGAAAAGAGGTTACATTTTAATTAAACATAGTCCACTGAAGTCCACCTTCCTGAAGCTGAACAGTGAAGTATCTATATGTAATTTATTTACAATATCTGTATGTGTATTTGAAAATAACTTGTTTGCAGACCATAACCTACCTGCGAGTTATCCACTTCTTCCCAGAAAGTGAAACAGGCACAGTAATGGCGTTCAGAGTTAATATCTGTCAGAACGGCTACAAAGAACGTTGGAGGTTGCCTCTCAGCAAATAGCTGCCACCCGTTGGGTTGACAAAACTGGAAAAAGTAAAAACACACTTAATTCAATCACCAACTGAATTGAATTTAATTGAATGTGAGCCAACATGGACTGGGACAGTTCAAGATGAATGAATCTTGACATTTACTTTAATCACTAAAAAAGGGAAATAACTATTTCATTTAAAAATGTTAGAATTACAGAAAAAACACTGTATTTTATAGACATTTTGGAAGTAAAAGACATATTTTACAAGCGGTGCTTCAAGTGGATTATTTGCAATACATACTGTAAAGTCTTCTAATACAAAGTTCCCAACAAAACAGCAAAAGACCTATAATATTTTTTTTATTCCCAGAATTAAAAAAAAAACATTTAAAATACTTATAAATAAAATATTGAGAAAAAAAACATAACGGAACTGTATTAACTTTATGCTATACTTATGCTATGGTTTGCAGTTTGTCATCCCAGGTTGTGTAGGTTCTCTCCCTTTAGAAAAAGACATGTATTCGATACTTTCAGCTAAGAAGTGTCCAAGGATTAAAATAAGAATACCTTAAAAGCTCTAACAGCTGTGTGATGGAACAATATCTACCAGTCTGTTGTTAAATAAACAGGCTGGAAATACT